GGGGCAGAGTGTGTCACATGAGGTCATGGTCCCTGATGAGCAGCCAAACAGGAGTAGAGAAGATAGAGCCAGAGAGTAAAACAGTAGGGGGATTCAGGGAGAGGAGAAGAGACCAGATCCAAAATGTGAGCAGCACACACAGTAAGTGGTTAAGAGAAGAAGAAAATACTAATAGTAAGAACTAGGGACGGCCAAACACAAACAATCAAACCAAAGCCAAACTACTCTACTCATTTGTGGTGCTTGCCTCCTCTGCCTTTCTTAGTTAATAGACTTGATGACTCCCCAGATTTGTTGTGCTTTGAGGAAGTTTCTTTTTACAAAGTGAACATAAATGTGTCATCTATGGTGTAGAAACCACAATAATACACACGGTTTCTCACATACAGTGGGTACGGAAAGTATTCAGACCCCTTTAAATTTTTCACTCCGTTTCATTGCAGCCATTTTCCAAAAATCAAAAAAGTTCATTTTATTTCTCAGTAATGTACACTCAGCACCCCATCTTGACAGAAAAAAAACAAATGTAGAAATTTTTGCAAATTTATTAAAAAAGAAAAACTGAAATATCACATGGTCATAAGTATTCAGACCCTTTGCTCAGTATTTAGTAGAAGCACCCTTTTGATCTAATACAGCCATGAGTCGTTTTGGGAAAGATGCAACAAGTTTTTCACATCTGGATTTGGGTATCCTCTGCCATTCCTCCTTGCAGATCCTCTCCAGTTCTGTCAGGTTGGATGGTAAACGTTGGTGGACAGCCATTTTCAGGTCTCTCCAGAGATGCTCAATTGGGTTTAAGTCAGGGCTCTGGCTGGGCCATTCAAGAACAGCCACGGAGGTGTTGTGAAGCCACTCCTTCGTTATTTTAGCGGTGTGCTTAGGGTCATTGTCTTGTTGGAAGGTAAACCTTCGGCCCAGTCTGAGGTCCAGAGCACTCTGGAAAAGGTTTTCGTCCAGGATATCCCTGTACTTGGCCGCATTCATCTTTCCCTCGATTGCAACCAGTCGTCCTGTCCCTGCAGCTGAAAAACACCCCCACAGCATGATGCTGCCACCACCATGCTTCACTGATGAGACTGTATTGGACAGGTGATGAGCAGTGCCTGGTGTTCTCCACACATACCGCTTAGAATTAAGGCCAAAACGTTCTATCTTGGTCTCATCAGACCAGAGGATCTTATTTATCACCATCTTGGAGTCCTTCAGGTGTTTTTTAGCAAACTCCATGCGGGCTTTCATGTGTCTTGCACTGAGGAGAGGCTTCCGTCGGGCCACTCTGCCATAAAGCCCCGACTGGTGGATTGCTGCAGTGATGGTTGACTTACTACAACTTTCTCCCATCTCCCGACTGCATCTCTGGAGCTCAGCCACAGTGACCTTTGGGTTCTTCTTTACCTCTCTCACCAAGGCTCTTTCCCCCGATAGCTCAGTTTGGCCGGACGGCCAGCTCTAGGAAGGGTTCTGGTCGTCCCAAACGTCTTCCATTTAAGGATTATGGAGGCCACTGTGCTCTTAGGAACCTTAAGTGCAGCAGAAATTTCTTTGTAACCTTCAGGCCAGATCTGTGCCTTGCCACAATTCTGTCTCTGAGCTCTTCAGGCAGTTCCTTTGACCTCATGATTCTCATTTGCTCTGACATGCACTGTGAACTGTAAGGTCTTATATAGACAGGTGTGTGGCTTTCCTAATCAAGTCCAATCAGTATAATCAAACACAGCTGGACTCAAATGAAGGTGTAGAACCATCTCAAGGAGGATCAGAAGAAAAAGACAGCACCTGAGTTAAATATGAGTGTCACGGCAAAGGGTCTGAATACTTATGACCATGTGATATTTCAGTTTTTCTTTTTTAATAAATTTGCAAAAATTCCTACATTTCTGTTTTTTTCTGTCAAGATGGGGTGCTGAGTGTACATTACTGAGAAATAAAATGAACTTTTTTGATTTTTGGAAAATGGCTGCAATGAAACAAAGAGTGAAAAATTTAAAGGGGTCTGAATACTTTCCGTACCCACTGTAGCTTTGGTCTTGTGATTATCATCGTGGGTTTCTACTTTCTTCCGTTTTGCAGTATGTAACCGCTGGCCCACAAACAGTTATAAACATAGTCCTATATATGGTTCATTTAAATATTTTTATACTGTGTGAAAAGTACCAGTCTGAATATTGGCCTAGCATTACTCTTTATATGCCTTTGAAACTTTGAGCAGTCAGTGTCACTGTGAAACATATACTCTGGTTCAATCTTAAATTAACAAATATTGCTTTAAGGGCAGAAGGACCTAAACAATTGAACATGTTGACAAAGAGATATAATTTAATTAACATCAACACTTTATATTTTAGTGAATCCTAGTGTGTGATCATGTCTTCACTAGGACTACTGAGCAAACTCCCATCAGCCACAAGAGAACTTTCAGTATTTCACCTCTTTTTTGTCAAATGTTGCATATTCATTCCTTTTTCTATTTAAAATTGGTTATGCTTTCAATGATGTTCATGTTTATACAGATATGCCAATTAAGTAATTAGTCCTGTTTCTAAAAGCTCACAACAATAGTGAACTTTGTCTGATATTTCATTGAATTGAAACACAATCGGACTGAAGTTGTTGGCTTTATTGCTGTGATTTTCACTCTGATCTGTGTGTAGGTATCAGTAAAAAATGTTCATATGCAAAAATAATTATATTTCACTTTAGGTATAACATTTCAGGTATTGTAGCAGCAAAGTCAACAAAATGTCAACAACCACCATGCAATACATTTATGTCCATAATAATTCATTGACATCCTGTACATTTTGTGTCCATTTGCCACTTATCCACAGTGCTGGACAGTAGACCGGTTTGTCCTGTGAGTATTCTGAGTAATGCATCAGTGACTGTGTCAGACACTATAATCGCTCCTAATATGTTACCGGAGAGTCCTTTCATCGACACACTGTTTGCACAGGTTTAATTTATGTTGTTCTGGTATGTGTAATCATACAGCATATCTTTTCAAATTACAAAAAATATAGTAAAATATACTAATTTGATTACTCAAACAATCTGTCAGTTCATACCAGAAACAACTAACCCAAGACATTGCTTGCTTCTTGTAGAGCTAGACAGGTCAGTGCAGGTGTTTGTATTGATCTAGAAATCTGCCTGATTGTCAACCTATCCTGTCATTCTATGACTGACCTATTGGTTTCATTTAGGTCTCTTACCTCACTAGAATTCATTGTTTTTTCCCCTCTGTGTTGGTGGGCTAATATTGACAGTTGGCAGTGTTTATGTTGTGGTTGTCTGTCATGCAGCTGTTGTGTTCTGGTCTCACTGGTCATCACTAATTTTTTCCAGTGACTAAGCATCATGGAGCCCCCTCCCTGGGTGTCGTTGGCATTAGGAAGTCGTTCTTTTGAATGCTAGAATCATCAAGTCTGAACTTGAAATGTAATGCACCAAATGTTTCCATAGCCTGAAAAATCCTCTGCTTGAAAGGTCGGTACTTTTCATTACCATTCTGTGTTACTCCAGCTAACAAACCATCAATAGTGTTTAAAGGGACTATTTCTTCAGTAGAAAGTAGTTTCAATAAACAGTTGACAGTGAGATCTGGATAATCCAGTAACCGGGGAATTGTTTCTGGAAGAATGTGTTGCTGCTAATTTTTTCCCCCAATGCTGCTGCCACAAAGAAAGTTCACTTTGAAATCATGTTTTGTAATTTATGTTAACCCAGCCTTTTAAACATGACTACAGTTTTGCAGATTAGATGGGCTCAAAACTGGAGTGATGTTGCTAATGAAGACCAGGCAGCAGTCACCCAGTGCATCACAGAATGGAGGGCCATTCCCACTTTCCAGAGGGGTAGAGAGACACACATTCAGCTGCTCCTGTCAGTCTTGGTCCTGAGTAGCACCCTGCTCCTGGCACAAAGAGTGAGAGCTAGATATTACATACCAGAGAGATAGAGGCACATCCGTAGAAGAAAGGAAATGTACATATGGTATATTTTCATTCTTGGTCCTGTCCTGTGTCGGTATATCTACATGTTCAGAGTCGATGCCATTTGCCTCTTGGTTTAATTCATTGATTTGATTGTAAATTATATCATAGATGCCCCTGGACCTCAGCTGTATGGTATGGTGTATGTTATCTAGAACTAGTTCTAGGTGTAACTCGTACTTTTTATGCACACAGATTGTATGAAACTTGAGTTAGCAGTCTTTGAAAATGTGGAAATCTGCTTTTTTTGATCCTGCGCGAGGGTTGAGTGTGAATATATATAAGACTGCATCTCGAGCTGACCTGTTGGCCACATTGTTTTAAGGTTTTGACAACATACAAGGGAACAAGGTTAAATTAAATTGTCGTCACCACTGTGAAGCAAATGTTAAGACTTGCCCAGGGTGACTCATTATTCTTTAACAGGCTTTGTCCTTTATCCTAGGGGCATTGGTGATTTATCAGACCTTTCTTTTTCAGATACAATCACATTTGTAATACTAGTAGCTATTACGTTTTGTCTCATATCTATAGGGGCATGTACTCTGTCTCATTCTCTGTCTCATAGGTCCCCAGTTTGATGTTCACCTGATTCTTGACAGGACCTAGCCAGCTGAGGGTCAGCTAACAGATGACATCAACAGATCTGGCGCTCACAGCCCTGCCGGGGCTTCAGCTAGCCTTCTCCTTGCAACCTCTTACGCATATCCTTACACATGGTCAGACTTATTTCCAAACCTTTTACAGAAAAACATTTGTTAACATCATAACACACATCTTTTCACATAGACTGGTACTGTTGTAGTTGGGGTTTTCTCAAGACCACCACTGCCCGTGCCTCACTGCCATCCTCATAACTGTACCGCTGATGCATTAGCCTCAACAGGTGCTCTTTTCTGAAAGGATCACTTAGGTATATTTAGGTTTTGAAATGTGAGAGCACTGCCCTGTGATTGGCTGTGTCGGCCACATGATAACCTGGGTACAAACCGCAGCTGTGTGCTGTCGCCCGGTGTTTCTCTGGAGGGAAGCTGGGGAGGCATTCGCGGCTTGGGAGACCATTATACTTAAAAAAAGAACTGGTAAGCAAAGAATAGGAGAAAAAGCACAAATATTCATATTTTCTACATCCTGCATGGCTTTCCACTTGCTTGGAGATCCATCGTTTCCATCCTCTGCTGCCAACTGGATCCAAGAGGACAGCTGATTGAGGAATAAGGTGTGAGAGCTCTGCTGCACACTGAAGGAGTAACCAAACAATCCAGAACTGCAAGACTCGAGCAAGATCAGAAGAGGCCTACCTTTGGATGTATCTGAAATTTTCAGCAGCAGTCTGGCCATTTTGTCTTCTTTCCAAAATCTCAGCACCTGTCTGGCTATTTTTGTCCTTCTACCTCAACTGTTCCACCTATTTCACTTGTTTTTTTTTTACAGAGAACATTTAAGTTTTAAATTTGAAGAGAGGGCATTCAAGTGCTAAAAAAAGGTATTAAGTCTGCCATCCTATATTTAACCTGCAGCCTCAGAAGGCATTGCATCTCCGTTTGCTAAACAGAGTCAACCAATCAGGCTGTGGCATTAGCTTACATGTCAAATAGCTGAAGCAGTGTTGGGCAGCTGTCGCCAACCTTCAGCCAGGAGGCACAGTTCTTTGAACTGTTTTGTGGCAAGTCAGGAAGGAGGGGTGGCTGTCACACATTCAAAGGCAAAGGCCTGTTATAATCCACTCTATCTCACCTTCCTAATTTGTATTTTTCTCTGTGTAATTGTTGAATTACACTTGTTGCACAGTTTGTGAGGTGCTTCACATATTTTTATTACTTTCTTTAGGATTTGGACAAATTACAAAGTTGGACTATCAGTTTGAGACCCTAGTGGATGGCAAGAGAGGCTTCCTTACTGTCAGGAAATACTGCGGGAATCTTTTGCTGGTATGGCATGCGCATTGGTTGAACCTCAATATATTGGTGTTATATTTTTATTATTATTTATTATTCCTTTTAGCATTGCCTAGCTGCCAGCATCCTAAAATATAACTGGTGCAGTTGTCCTAGGGCCTCTTGTCTAAACCTCAGTATATGCTGTTTGAAATTGTGATTTGGTGCTACTGATAGGACATTTAAGTTAACTCTGCAACACTTATGTTATACACTTCCCCATTAGATATGGTTTTCAGCTTAGGAGGACAGACCTTGTCCAGTTTAAATGATGAATTCCTGAAAATTCCATCTGTGTTTTGTATAGAACCTCTAAAACCGTCCCATAATGACGGAAATTGTGGAGGAATATGAGGAATTTGAGGAGGAGGAGGAGGAGGAGGAGATTGTAGAAGAGGTAAGTGGACATCTTCTCACTGGTTATGCACATTAATCGTAAAGTACTGCTTTGCATACTTTACATAACTATATACTTTTAATACATATTTCAAAATTATACCTAATTAGTTTTGTTGTTTCCAGCCTAAAAATGATTAAACCTTGAGATTCAGTACAGGATCTGCAGGTCCAGTGTCAGGCCCTATGAATAGTTAAGTAAGTCCAGTCAGCAGTTTATGGAACCATCATCCATGACTGCTAGTGGATCCTGTTTCAGACAGACACCTTCAGATGGGTTTTAAGTCTTAGAGATCCCTTAACAGTCAACTATAAATCAAAACTATTTCAAACTGAAGATAGAACATTTTCTGTTGTCCTGTAAAGGTACAGATACCTTTACCAGAGGCCCTGCCCACAACATTATAAATGGAGTATAGTGACGTAAGCACTGCATAACTGAAATATGCATTAGATCAAGTCATTTATTTCCACAGATTGCTGCAGATGACTTTACAACATTCATTTTAATGTATTTTTTTGCTCCAACATATCTAACCTCTAGATGAACACATTTTACAATGCTGTAATTGTACCAGTATAAGGATGGTATCATTCCTGTGTTGCATTAATAGTGCAAGATTGGATTACATACAATTTGGGAGAGCGCCAGTTTCTGGAAGTTACCATTTTGTCTTTTGTTTTAAATAACCTGTTGAAAGTCTTTATCATGATTCACACCAATCATACAATTTGTATCATATTCTCCAGATTATGTGATCAGACCTCATGTTCATTCAGGATGTTTTTATGCTGCATTCTGTGTATGAATTATTGTGTCACTGAAGGTCTCCGTTTTAGTGCCCAATGGAAGAGTGAAAACAGAAGGCTAACAGGTTAATCCCATATTTCCTGGTGAAATAGGATTAAAGTTAGCCTCGTATTTGTTCATACTTAATGTTGCTGATATCTTATAGGGGAGTCTAAATGATTGTTTTTGGCTGTCACAATATCAGCTGATTATAACCAAACAATGAATTGTTATCATTTAACTCCCATATAACATATCAACTGTTTCAAATAGATTTACCATTTTTACTGCAAAGATGTAAATTGTTTGGGAGGCAGGACTGATGTATACCCACATAATCAATACAATCTGATTTCACTAGCACTTTCATCGACACTGTGGAGAAAAATTGCATTGTTTTGTGTAAGATGGCTTCTTATTTAATCTACAGAATGGGGAGAAACATAGTGCTATTCAGGTCAGATATGAAAATATACATATAGTTATAAACTACTATATATATATATTTATACAATACCTTCACAAGACTTTAGACCTAGTTTGATTATCTAATAACTGCAAAATGAGTGTAGTAATAGGTTTTATTTGACCTTATATTTTAAGTTAATATGAAGATAATACTCATGATCATACTTATTAATGAAATGAGGTCATTGAGGGGTGGAGTGTAGAGTTCTCTGTCTGGCATCCAGACAAATTTAGAAGTGGACATCTACGGCACATTGGCAGAGAGATGGAGTGTAGGGAGAAGTAAAGAGAGAGAAAGCAAAAGGGGTGGGTGGGGAGGGATGAGCCACTGTCCTGTAAATCACACTTTGATAGCTGGAGCGTATTAACGTCACAGTGATAGAAATTGCTTAGGAGAGTTGGATGCATGGAAAAACTGCCAGACGGGTGGTAGAGAGGTTGTGTTTGCATTGCTTTGTAGGGATGTGTAGCATTGTGGTTTCATTTATAACTATGGTTCTCTCCTGTCTGATAGACTGAGATATTGAAGCCTCTTACAAATGTTCATCAAAATGATTGAGATGTTCTTTCTCTCAGCTCTGGTTAATCCTACATTTTTGATTATTGGTTAGCGGCCAAAGCCACATGTCTTAAAATGTTTAACCTTATGGGACTGTAAATGTTTCACTGCAATACTTCCTAAGTAGAGGGTAATTCAGGCTCATTCTGTAAGTTAGATTTAGAGTTAGGCTATTAATGGCACATTATGCTATGTGTGGGAATGCTGTCAGTTACTGTAGTCTGAGGTACTTGATTGCAAAAAAACGTTTCCCCTTAAATGGAGCGTTTTTCCCAATTTACAAGAAAACAGTTTTTTCTCTTACTTCAGGTAATATTTAACCATGCAGACATGCTTGATTAAAAGCCCAAGAATATCCAAAAATCTCAGAGATTTCTGTCTCCACTCCAGTACAATGTAGGTGAATGGGATTTCATTTGGGGGATCCACAGCATTGAAAAACTCTTTCCAGAAAGAGAATAATTGTTGCTCCGGATGATCCAAGGAAACAGCTGTCGACAGTTTACATGGTGTTCTGTGGATTATTCTTGGAGTAACAAGGACATTGTTTCTTGAAATTCAAGGTGCTGTTTAAGTTTTTGAAATGCCACTCTTCAATGCGGTAAGCACCACAAATTCAATTCCATTCACCTTCACTATCTTGTAGTGAAGGCAGAAAACTTGAGACACATGTCTCAAAATATTTACCAATAAAACCAAAACTATCTGCATTGCTAAATATTACTAGAGGTAATTTGGGTGGACCATTCATTTAAATCCATGAGAGTTGTGTGTGAACAGACATGGAGTTTTTAAAGGTGTCTACAGTTTGTGTACTGCTTGTGTTGTAGCAACTGATAACAGGAACAATGGTCTATGAAATATAAAAATAAGAATAGAATTAATGTCATGTGAGTGCCTGGTGTTTATAGACTTGGTCAAAGAGTTACAGTGGTCAGGCTGACGTAACACAGAGGATATTAATGCTTCTCTTTTCTCTGTAGAATACATGCTTAATTAGACTGCGGTCAAAATTACAGTTGAATAAATCCACTGTATATTCATCTCTGAGGATTTGAACTCTTTTTCAAAACTATTTGATTGGCCAGAACAGCTCCTAATGATTAAACCCCCAGTTATTATACTTATTGTGAGTGTCAAGCAGTAAATTGATGAGCACCAGAGCTGGTGAAAAATCAACCTCAATCCACTTAAAAGTACTGTGCTGTTTCTCCCATAACTTGTTCTGGCAGTTTTGAAACCCCAGAGTGTGTCCTATATTTGTAATATGTTGAGCAGATTACGACGACGACTGTCTCTGAGCAAAAGACTCAGGTCTTTCAGGTAAAGCACCTCCTCCCAAGGGACACAGTTCAAACAGTGCAGGATGATATGATACCCCTCCCTTGTCTTGTCAATGGTGCACCCCTTTTTTTTGTCTGCATGCCTGTATGCATACTCTGCTGTCTGGTTATTTCATTGAAGGCAGGGCAGAGTCTTTTGTCTTTGAAGATTTTTATGTTAAAACCTTTAAAATTAGTAACCCCGATAAAAATCAATTAAAACTCTGCATGGACATTTTCAACAGTTTTCAGTAAAACATTTTTTTGCCAAATACGCATTTTAATGTGGCCTCCAAGAGACCAATGGCTGCTTTTTGGAGAGTTGATTGCTTCTTCTTATTACTATAATGTATCGCCCTGTTGCTTTGCTTCCCAACAGATGATATACTATAACCTTCATCTATATGTGTTGAGCCTGACATTGCATGTAGTGCAAGATGCTTATAGATACTGTAGGTGTTACTGTAAATTGAACGATTCCTATTCACTTGTGTTGGTTTTGACTGTCCTTCAGTCACCCTTCATCTAGTATTATCTCAGTACATAGTCATGCCAATATCCCAACTATCTGAGTTCCATGTAGAATATTTTACTGATTCATTCATATCCCTGTAAGTCTTGATTTGAATCACTTCAATTACTGAAGGTGAGTTCTTAGTGTAAGAGGTTTACTGCAGACACACAAATTAATATCAATTTGATAAGATGTTTTCCCTTCACCTTGACAAGATCAGATCGTTATTTAATCAGTTGTAGTTGCAAAATACCACAGCCCTGTTGCAAGTGGATGTAGTTTTACTTCCTGGCTAATATGTTTCCTGTAATCAAGGAACCTAGGCCCTTGAGTTTGTTGGATAGTTAATTGTATTTCCCTCTGTACTCCTCCAGTCTGGCTTGCCTACCAGGAAAGTTAGGAAGAAGGTCAAGGTGGATACCTCCAAGTTCATGACTCCATACCTGGCCCACAGCCAGAAGATGCTGGAGCAGTTCAGCCATGTAAGCAACAAGTTTGGGTTTGAGGTTGAAAATCAGTACTTAGCTTCTGTCTATATGTTGTTTGGTTTAGCGGTATTTGGCTGTGGAAATGATGTATTTAAATCAATTCCCTTTCATTTGAATATTTGTAGTTCAGCTTTACTGTTACTTCAGGATATTTTCAGTGGTCACAGTGTGTATCGTGATTATTGTACTCAACTCAGTGATCGCTCTTCTTGACAGAACAAGTACCGGCAAGCTTATGACAGGTCCAAAGGGAATGCTCCTGCCATCGTCACTGATAGCCCTGAAATGATTCGGATCAGGAAGGCCCAGGAGCAGCTGAGCGAGGTACTACTTAGGACTGTGGCAATATTTTTCCCCAAATCATGTTGTCTAAAGTTTAAAGATGATGGATGGAAGGTATTGGAATGTAAGATTTCTGATTTAAATCCCATCGTAAAAATGCTTAAATGAAACTGTTCTGGTGTGATCTACGGCATGATTGTGGAGCAGAGATGCTGAACAAATTTATTGTGATTTTGTCTTTGGGTAAATGAAAGTGTAAAAAATATTAAGATAATAATAAAACTCAATTCCTTAAACTTGATTTGATTATGCTCTTGTCATGAATGAATAATAAAAAATGACACGTGTCATCATCAGGTTAAATACCGCATGGAAGGAAACAAGGCTCGGACGACAAGCTTGTATGATGGTGAGGCCAAAGAGGTCATCCACGTCAAGCGTGTATCTGAACTGATCAGCAAGGTGAGTAACCTAAACCTTCAACAATATACCAAGATTTGGAAAAAAAAAAAGATTATTTTTGAAAGTTTAACACCAATGATGTTTATCTTTTTATAGGTTCTGTACAGACAGAAGTGGGACGAGACTAAGGACAGGTACCTGCTGCCTCCCGATGCTCCTGAGCTGGTCCTGGCTGTGAAGAATGCTGCTAACTACAGCAAAGTAAGCACAATTGAAGCCCTCTATTTTATGTTAATAAAGAGGATTTTTGCTGAAATTAGAAAAGCATCTGATTGTTCTGATTGTAACATTTCATATAAAAATGTCTTTTACTTTAGAAACTTTACACTGAGGCCTGGGATGAAGAGAAGACCCTGTTCTACCCTTACAGCGACAGCCCTGAGCTGCGCAGGGTGGCCAAGGCACAGGAGGTCCTCAGTGATGTAAGCTGAGCTTCCGGACAACACCCACTTTTCAGCTGCAGTAAATGAAAATACAGTACATGTTTTCCAACATTCAGATTTTGGACGGATATGTGGTTTAAATACTAATTGAAAAAAACACAGTATTGTGACATCATATTTTTCTGGGAAAAAAGCTTTTAGTGATTCTAGGGTTAGGCAATATGACAATGTTGTCAACTGTGGGAGCTCTTTATTGGAGTTACAGAATTTTTTTTGTGTCAGTTTAATTCACTGAAATAACTCAATGTAGACATTTCTATCTAGTTTATTTATCTATAAACAGTTTTTTAAGCATCTCATCCTAAAAAAAAGCATTGAGGAATGTATGGATGGATGGATGGATGACAAATGTCACTGAGCATGCTTGGCTATGTGCCTCTGCGTTAACACTGTTTTGCTAGTTTAAGAGTTGAGACTGAACTCTGCATTCTGCCCTTTCAGCTTGATACACAAGAAAGAAGAGTTTAAATACAGGACATTGTTAGGCTGGAACTGAGAGTTGTAGGGGCGAGTGATTAAATTACTCTGGTCAAGATGTACCACTGAAGCCAGTGATGGAGGTAAAAGGTGTGATACTGCGGTTGAAACGGTTTTGAATCTGCAGTAAATATACAGCATCACTATCAATATATAACAATTAACAGTTGGGATAAAAAAAAAAAATAATAATAAAAACAATTACATATACCACGATATAGGATTTTATCCATATCGCCCCAGTGATTTCAATGATTGTAGTTTGGTGCTGTTTCTTGTGGTTTTCTGATATGAAACAATGTAGAACATCTAACACATTGTTAATTAAAAAGAAGAGGTAAGCTGTGACTTTAAGTAACTTTCCTGGATTGCTGTGATACAGTCAAACTTATTCTTTCATTTTTATTTTATTTACGTGAGCAGTTAATTTCTCACTGACTTTGCTGGCAGATTGCCATTCAGCATCAGTCACAGGCAATCACATTTTCTCCACCTTTTCCCTTTCAGGGTGCATTTGTTTGTGCTGAGTCAGATGTATCATGTGTAGCAATTTCCACTCTCATTGCTTCTTTTTGAACACAATTGCATTTAACCTTTTCTGCTGATGTAGGAAAGTCAACACTAATGAATGTAGATACGATCTGTGTGAGGCAGACTGTGCAGTAAGGTCAGCTGTCAATGTTGAAGAATTAACCACCTCAGTAAATTTCAACTCCTACTTTTGTGCCCCTGCAGGTTCGCTACAAGAAGGGTCATGATCAGCGCAAGGCCAAGTACACTTCTTTGGCTGATCCTCCTGAAATCGAGCTGGCCAAGAGAGTGGCCCATCAGCGCAGTGATGTAAGCAGAACAATTTTAAACTAGTGTTAAACATGGTCACACATTACCTGTGGAGTGTTTGGAGCAGGTATGAGTAATTGCCAGGCACATGATGGGCTGACAGTTTGACTTTGGAGACAAAAGCCCAGGCTATCTCCTCTTAAGGGGCAATTCATTTTCTTTCACTCAGGGTATTTCATCACATATTTTCAACAACACCAAACTGGCACAGGAGAAAATGTAACTTCATTGCTTCTTAGGAAAATTTTAGAGGCTCAAACTTGCACCTACATGGAAACAGGGCCTTCACAGACCTACCAACTCTGAGCAACTACTACGGATAACTGGCCACCTGCTCTGCTGTCATATTACTAGCCACACTTAGCTGGAAGGGAGAAGCCAACAATAATCTGAAATTACAGTGATTCCAGTCATTCCTAATGTGTTGTATCGAACAGAATATGAAGATATCTAGTAAATGCCTCTATATTCCACACATTACTATACAACAAGATCTTTATTATGTAAAATTAATCTTCTAATGCTGATATGTTGATCGTGATTTGTTTTCCACAGCTGAAGTACAAGGAAGATTACAATAAAAATGTGAAGGGTCAATGGTGTGAGACGCCATACTTCGACGTGGCCATTGGCAGGATGGCGATGGACAACCTCAGCAATGTAAGATTGTACTAAATCTACTATTACCCCTACTAGGGGCAAGTTTTTCAGAATATTATTAGTTTGTCATTTTTCTGTATCTAACCGTCGACCTTTTCTTTTTTTAGAGAAAATACACGCAACAGTATGAGGATATGAAAGACCAAATTTATTTCATGCAAACAGACACGCCTGTTTATGGCACAAACAAGAAAGCTCGTACTGCTATTAGTGAGGTAAGTACACACAAACACACACACACACACTGACAATGTATTGGAGTATTTTTATAGGTCCTATCTCATGTGGAAGATACGACAGAGAGTTGACCCATGGCTCAGAGCAGAGTGTGAGTCAACTTTTGACGCAGGGACACTCTGTATTGTGCCCAAACATGCACTGCATAACTGAGAGATCTACATTTGGTTCACTTTCACTGCACAAATTCATCATTCATCAGTCATTTCACTAGTCCCCAGTAGCAACACATCAGAGGTGATCAGATGTAAAGAGGCTTTTCAGCTACTGAATACATCACAGCCACCCACACACAATGCAAATATATGTAATTTTAGGATACAATGAACACACACGTATTGTTCCAACATGACTAAGTGAACCAACGTTCTGTTATATGAGTCACTGTTTCAACGACGTGAGTAAACATCATCAACACTCTTTGTTTTCTTTTTACTCATGTTTCTGTTTTCAGGTCCAATACAAGAAGGAATATGAGAAGAATAAAGCGCAGGCTGACTACAACACGCTCCCCGCCACAGAGAATCCTCTCCTCAGACAGCTCAGATATGCTGGCACAATCCTCAGTGATGTAGGTGTCTGACTACGTAGAAAGGAATCTTTTAGCACAGCTGGTTTTAGGAAAAATTATGGATGATATTTTGGGGAAAACAAATGACAAAATCTTAAAAATAGTCTAGTAGTACTATAACAATGTATCATTACTGATCTCCATGTCTGTTTCCTGTGTAGACAGTGATGCTTGCATGAATTTGACAATTGCTCTTCTTAGACAACTAAAAAAATTGGGCAACTGCAAAAAATTATTGAGGTGGTTGTGGGTGTTATTTAAACCATCTGGAAGTCACTTGCAGTTCCCTTTTGCATACAGTGAGTCAGCTGGTGCTGAGAAGGATTTAATTGAATCAAGTTAACAGTCTTACTGACATGTTGTCTGCAGTTAGCCATTGAGTTTGACATCCACTTCATGTGCCATAAGGAGAAATGATTTGTTGAGCTGTTCTTTTGTTTTTGAGTGTTTTCTTATATGAGTTACAGTTCATAATTTATATGTGATTTTTTTGTTCATCATTTGTTTCACATCGTCTTTGCAGAAAGTATATAAGTCCAGCTATGAAAAATCCAGGGGTTCCAGCATCAACTACTGTGACACACCCAAGTTTCAGATGGACTCAGTACTTAAACAGTTCAGTGATGTAAGAATAATCTACGAGTTTAAATATTTTTTTTGTCATAAACCAATGGTATTATTATTGTTATAAATATATGCATTTTGATTATTTTTTAGGCACGTTACAAAGATAAGTATGAAAACGAGGTGAAGGGCCACTACATTGGCAGCTATGAAGATCTCTACATGCTTCACTGCCAGAAAGTTGAGGAAATGAAGAAGGAGGTAAATCATTGTGCATCTTCCTTTCCTTTTTTCTAAATTAAATCACTGATGAAAAATGTATTGTGTACTTCATTATATCTTTCCTCATAATTATTATATTTTATCTTGCAGCAATTATATAAAGCTGATTACGAAGACATTAAAACAAGGTGCTTCTTCCCTCAAACAATTACGCCTGAATATGAAGCTGTGAAGAAGCTTCAGCAGTGTAAAGATGTGAGTAGTCTTGGCTAATAAAATGCTTCTTTGCAGCAAAACAGATTCACATGTTTTTTGTGTTTTGGTATACTCATAAGTCACAAGATGTTTCTATCTTGTGGTTTTCAGAAAGCTTACCGGCAACATCCAGACACAGTGAAATTTACACAAGTGGTGGATTCGCCAGTTCAGGTTCAAGCCGCCATCAACGCCAAGCAGCTAAGTGACGTATGTATGACTGCATGGACCACATTCCGTTAGTACTGATACAAAATGCATTAGAATTGAAATTGGTACCGTGTATATCTCATAAACTTCCATTGGATCAGACATGTTACTTATGAATATTGCTGTCATTTGAATTCCTTCTTACTGTATGTTCACATAAATCATAGACATGATTCATGTAAGGTTGTTTGTGAACATACCTATTTTTTATATTGCCCATTTATTGAGTGAAATTGGTACAGTCACCAGCTAATACTGTAGATCAAATTCTCCTAGATATCACCTTGTGACCATGTGCCCAATCATCCACATAGCCCAGCTGTCTTTCTGTGGGCACCATGGAAACTGGAGAGCCATCTCTCTGTAGTATATAAATAGCAACAAGCATTCAGTTGGCCCAGAATAAACCCCTGTGATCAGAGAGGGGCTGGGGAGGCAGGGAAAGGGATAGTCAGTAGGTCTCAGCTAATACACTGCTGCCATCCAGTGACTGAAAATCAAATAACACTTCTGTCAATGTACAAGTGAAGGAAATTCAGATTTTTTTTTTTCAAATTACACATCATTTTATCACTTCTTTTTGTAGTTGAACTACAAAGCAAAGTACGAGGAAACAAAGTTCAAGAACAGTCTGCCCCCAGACTATCCCTTCTTCATCCAGTCCAGAGTAAACGCTTTTAACCTCAGTGATGTAAGTAACTTCATTTCCAGCAATCACCTGAACTGACAGCTTTAATTTAGTGTACATTTTTAATTTCCTGAATGCCATGATTTTCTCCTTGCAGAACTGTTACAAGTATGATTGGGAGAAAACTAAAGCGAAAAAGTTTGAGGTCAGAGGCGATGCTATCTCGATCCTTGCTGCCCGTGCTCACACAAACATTGCCAGTGATGTAAGTAAGCTGCAATATCAGCCTTTATGATTTCAGTATTTCTTGAGTGCTTTGTATTTCCGTTACTTTTAGTACACGTTTACTTTTTTTAATGAATCTACTAATTAATAACCTTTTGCTATTAAATATATATTAATATATTTGCAGGTTAAATATAAGAAAGAGTATGAGAAGAATAAAGGGCAGATGGTTGGAGCTCTCAGCATTAATGACGATCCAAAGATCTTGCACTCTGTTCATGTGGCCAAAATACAGAGTAATGTGAGTCAGTAGCTTGCTGTGATGTTCTAAATTATGTCCCTTAATAATAATGTATTAGACCTGAGATAAGGGGCATTCTTAAACAATTTCTTACTGATATCTCCACAGCGGGAATATAAAAAGAACTATGAAAAGATTAAGACCAAGTACCATACACCACTGGATATGATGTCAGTCACCTTGGCCAAGAAATCCCAGGGGATTGCCAGCATGGCTGGGTATAGGAGCGTCAGCACTAACTTCTTCCTTCCCCATGACAGTGTGCTGTTGGACTTGGCCAAGAAAGCCAACATCATCCAGAGTGATGTAAGTATAGGCAGACTTTACAACGTCTTATTGTTGGCACTGTGGTTTTTTGTTATAATCATAATATAAAACGTATATATAATTGCACGGTTGTTTTGAGATTAATTATGTATTCAGTGACCCCATTTAATTTTTTTCTGCATCTCAGAATGAGTACAAGTCCGACTACAACAACTATACCAAGGGTTCCCCATGGGTCCCCTTTGGCTCCTTGGATGTGGAAAAGTGTAAGAAAGCTGGTGAGATCCTCAGTGAGGTATGTGCACAACATCATTGCTTCGGTCTCCCCTCTTTACAAATTCCCTCTTGACATTAAAAAAGGACATTTTTCATAGTTGGTAGGATATGCGTTAATCTACTTGTTTCCTACAGAAAAAATACAGACAACACCCAGACAAGATCCCCTTCACATCGATTGACGACCACCCCTACACACTGCAGGCCAAAGTCAACCAGCTTCAGAGGAGTGATGTGAGTCTACTGTCACACTCACTGTTAATTCTGCAGAAAGAAATCTTTCACTTTGGTTCACTTTTTTTCTCAGATAACTTTTGAGAAGATTGTTTTTTATCTTTACTTTGATCTAAGTACACATTACTTCTGCCCTCATTGCTTTCTTGCCTTACAGCTGTTCTACAAGAGAGGTCTGGAGGAGATCCATCAGAAGTACTCTCTGCCTCCTGATGTGCCTGAGTTGCTCCAGGCCAAGTGCAATGCATACAACATCAGCAAGGTAAGGCAAGGAAATACTGAGAGATCACTTTATTGAGTCATATAAACCAAATATTTTTTCATAGTACACTTTTTAAGCAATCATTTTGGGTACATTTAAATTAATTTCCTAATATTCATTCATTTGCACTGACATATACTGTAGGTGCAAATGTGTGTGCATGTAAATACGTAGTGGATCCATGCTAAATGTATTCAGTGTTTGGATTTTTTTGTTGTTGCTTTTAATCTGTAATCTGTCATTTCAGAACTACTACAAACTTGCCTGGCAGGAGACAATTGCTAAAGGTTATGACCTGAAGCCTGATGCTATTCCTATTATCGCTGCCAAAGCTGCAAGACATGCTGTCAGTAATGTAAGTTTCCTAAAAGACTGAACCAACTTCTGAGGGTCATGTGCAAACTCAATTTTAACATGCCCTTCTTGTTGCATCATATACTTGTTAAAATTCTTTAAATGCTAAATAATTAGGGATGGTGTATGCCATTTTACCTCTAGGTTCAGTATAAAAAGGCTTATGAGAAAGCCAGAGGCCACCATGTTGGCTTCCGCAGCCTCCAGGACGATCCTCTGCTGGTTCACTACATGCAGGTGGCTAAGTTGCAGAGTGACAAGAACTACAAGAAGGACTACCACAAGGCCAAGCTGAAGTATCACACCCCAGTAGACATGATGAGTCTGGCTCACGCCAAGCATGCCTCATCAGTGCAGACCTTTGCTGGCTACAAGCAGCACCACCATAATTACTTTCTTTTGCCTGACTCGATGAGTCTGGGCCTGGCTCGCACCATGAGCTTCAATGCCAGTGATGTAAGTTTAATTTCACTTTTAGGGTCTTTTGTGTTATAATTTTGGTAAATATTTTATGTCATGGCTAAAAGATTGTGTTTCCACAGGGCTGAAACTTTGCAATTCTCACTTATCTCTTTTACTTTCCAGGTTAACTATAAACTGGATTATGAGTCCTCGGTCAAGGGAACTGGCTGGATTCCCATTGGTTCATTGGAGGTGGAAAAAGCCAAGGCAGCAGCAGCAGCTCTGGATGAGAAAAAATACCGCCAGCACCCTGACACCATCAAATTCACTAGTGTCACTGACTCCATGAACATGGAGCTGGCCAAGGCCAATGCCAAGATCCTGAATGTGGTGAGAAGGAGGAAACAGAATAACTTCTTGATTTGCTCTAAAAATAATCAGTTTTAGATTTTAGTCTTTGAATTCCTTTTCAGAATAGACATAAACCAATCCCTTCATTGTTATTATGCAGAAAGAGTATAAGGCCAGTGGAGAGAAGTTCATGCACACTTACCATCTCCCTGCTGATGCCCCTGAACTGATGCAAGCCAGATACAATGCTGTCAACATCAGCCAGGTTAGTTGCAGATTCTTCCATTATTTGTTCATTATCTTTCAGCCTTTGTGTACTTTTAAACTGTATATAGAAATTTAATTGTTACTTTGTAACATAACACTGATGATCATTTTATTTAGAATTACTACACCTATGCTCATCGTAAAGATCTGCTCAAAGGACATCATTTGAAGGAAGATTCCATTCCCATTGTTGCAGCAAAATCTTCCAGAGACATTGCCAGTAATGTAAGTTGTGAATATGCTAATAATAATGCTAATCAAATGTTACTAAATTAAACAATGCTATTCATACCTAATGCTTTTCTTTTATACAGTACAAGTATAAACTGGCTTATGAGAAGGCAAAGGGCCACCATGTCGGCCATCGCAGCCTCCAGGACGATCCTCTGCTGGTTCACTACATGCAGGTGGCTAAGATGCAGAGCGAAAAGAACTACAAGAAGGACTACCACAAGGCCAAGCTGAAGTATCACAGCCCAGTAGACATGATGAGCGTGGTCCACGCCAAGCATGCCTCTGCTGCTCAGACCATGGCTGGATACAGGAAGATCCCTCACAACTACTTTCTTCTGCCTGACAACATGCACCTGCAGCGGTGTCGCAGCATGATGGAGATTCAGAGTGATGTATGTTCTCACTTTTCACTTATATGCTACCATGGTGTAATGCTAGTATAATTTGTGCTTATATAAATAAATGGATTATTTACATAGTTGCAAAGCATTATGCACAGTGATGATGTAAACTCTTCTAGATATTGTGAGAGAAATGCTTTCTCTTTATACCCACAGAATGTCTACAAGTCAGATTACAGCAACTACTCTAAAGGCTTAGGGTGGGTCCCTATTGGTTCTCTGGATGTTGAGAAAGCCAAAACTGCTAGAGCCGCGCTGGCTGAAATAGGCTACCGCCAGCATCCCAGCACTCTCAAATTCACAAGCAAGACTGATGGCATGAACATGGCTCTGGCTCTGGCCAACACAAAGCAGCTGGACAACGTAAGACTGTCTTATTTTTTACATGTGATCAAATACCTTTAAATCTCTTTAAATGTGTTAAAATATTGATGCATATCGGAACTTCTCCTGCTAGAACCTTACAAAAATTCACAGGTTTTATGCTTATTTTTCCTTCCCATTAGACTTCATACAAAGCTTCTGGTGAGAAGTTCATGCACACCTATCATCTGCCAGCTGACTGCCCTGAGTTCCTTCAAGCTAAATTCAACGCACAGACCCTTAGCGAGGTTAGAGAACAATGCATTTATGGAAAAAAGAAAAGTTTGATACTGTTTTATCACCCAAATATGCAAGTCAAATGAAAATGAATGGCTTGATATGCCAAGTCATCTGTGTACAATACATTGTTGTAACACTTTAACGTTTACCCACAGAGTCACTACAAGCACAAGTGGCTAGAAGATATTGCCAAGGGATACGACATGAAGCCTGATGCTATTCCTATTCTGCATGCCAAGCAAGGCAGACACATTGTCAGCAATGTATGTAGATTATAAATCTACCTGAACACATAATAAATTCAACATTTTAAAAAAAAAACAGTCTATCATCTACAGGTAACTAACTAATTTTTCTTTATCTTTTAGGTCCAATACAAGAAAGCCTATGAGAAAGCCAGAGGTCACCATGTTGGCTTCCGCAGCCTCCAGGACGATCCTCTGCTGGTTCACTACATGGAGGTGGCTAAGATGCAGAGTGACAAGAACTACAAGAAGGACTACCACAAGGCCAAGCTGAAGTATCACACACCAGTGGACATGATGAGTGTGGTCCACGCCAAGCAGGCTTCTGCTGTTCAGACTTATGCTGGTTACAGAAAGATCCCTCACAACTACTTTCTTCTGCCTGATAACTTAAACTTGCAGCGGTGTCGCAACATGAATGTCCAGTCAAGTGAAGTAAGTGGCAGCGGTAGTTTTATCAGTGAATTGTGTCTTTTAGGATCAAACCCATGTTTGTAATGCTACTAAGGAAATAATGGTCATTGATCTTGACTTCAGAGCTAATATGCGTCATAATCTCATTGGGTTTTTTTTTTAGTGTGATTACAAGTCTGAATGGAACAACTATGTCAGAGGTACTGGATGGGTCCCAATTGGCTCACTTGCAGTTGAGACCGCTAAAGTTGGTGGTGAGATTCAGAGTGACAAGAAGTACCGCACTCATCCATCCAACTTTAAGTTCAGCAAGTTGATGGACTCCATGGACTTGGCTCTGGCTACTGCCAACAATCAGATCATGAACAAGGTACAGCATTTTCACATGGACAGTGCAGGATCACAAAATATAAATACTCTTGTTCACATGCGTCATTCATTTGTTTTTCTGGTGTCTATATTTACAGAAAGCATACACTGCGGCTTGGGAGAAGGACAAACTGACGGTCCATGTCATGCCAGATGCTCCTGAAATTGTCCTGGCCAAGGCTAATGCCATCACCATGAGCAATGTAAGGCTTTATCTTACATTATTTAATTTCTTTGCTAATAGTATTTTATTGTATTGTGTTTGATTCATATCAATTTATATATTTTCACAGAAACTTTACAAAGCTGGAGTTGTGGAGATGGCCAATAAGGGCTACAACCTCAAAGCAGACGCCATCCCAATTGTTGCTGCCAAGTCTGGTACCACTATCGCCAGTAATGTAAGTTGTAAATAAATTGTACCAAGTCAAGAATTTTTATATGCTATAACCCACTATACATGCTAAACAAGTATTTATTTATGTCTTACAGTACAAGTACAAGTTGGCATATGAGAAAGCCAGAGGTCACCATGTTGGCTTCCGCAGCCTCCAGGACGATCCTCTGCTGGTTCACTATATGGAGGTGGCTAAGTTGCAGAGTGACAAGAACTACAAGAAGGACTACCACAAGGCCAAGCTGAAGTATCACACACCAGTGGACATGATGAGTGTGGTCCACGCCAAGCATGCTTCTGCTGTTCAGACTTATGCTGGTTACAGAAAGATCCAGCACAATTACTTTCTTCTCCCTGATGCCATGAACCTAGTGCTGGCTCGCACCATGAACACCCAGTGTAGTGATGTAAGTTTGAAATGTTAAAATACATGCTGTGCTATTCCCTCAATAATTATGTCCATTTATAAAGGCAGATAACAATTAATAATTGTAATATGATTCCTTGATTCATGAGACCTTACATTTCTTTTTAGTGTGATTACAAGTCTGAATGGAACAACTATGTCAGAGGTACTGGATGGGTCCCAATTGGCTCACTTGCAGTTGAGACCGCTAAAGTTGGTGGTGAGATTCAGAGTGACAAGAAGTACCGCACTCATCCATCCAACTTTAAGTTCAGCAAGTTGATGGACTCCATGGACTTGGCTCTGGCTACTGCCAACAATCAGATCATGAACAAGGTACAGCATTTTCACATGGACAGTGCAGGATCACAAAATATAAATACTCTTGTTCACATGCGTCATTCATTTGTTTTTCTGGTGTCTATATTTACAGAAAGCATACACTGCGGCTTGGGAGAAGGACAAACTGACAGTCCATGTCATGCCAGATGCTCCTGAAATTGTCCTGGCCAAGGCTAATGCCCTCAACATGAGCAATGTAAGGGGTATTAAACTGTTAAATCTATAGCTTTTAGTTGATACTGTATATGTTTAATGGTGATCAGTTTGTGAATGTAATCACATTTTTATTTCACTGCTATATTACTCTTTTCCAGAAACTTTACAAAGCCGGTGTTGTGCAGATGGCCAATAAGGGCTACCACCTCAAAGCAGACGCCATCCCAATTGTGGCTGCCAAGTCTGGTACCACTATTGCCAGTAATGTAAGTTGGAAATAACCTATTGTACCATATCAATAAGTGTATATACCACAACCCACCATGCATGGTAATTAAGTATTTATTTACTGTTACAGTACAAGTACAAGTTGGCATATGAGAAAGCCAGAGGCCACCATGTTGGCTTCCGCAGCCTCCAGGACGATCCTCTGCTGGTTCACTACATGGAGGTGGCTAAGTTGCAGAGCGACAAGAACTACAAGAAGGACTACCACAAGGCCAAGCTGAAGTATCACACCCCAGTAGACATGATGAGTGTGGTCCATGCCAAGCATGCCTCTGCTGTTCAGACTTATGCTGGTTACAAGCAGATTAACTCCAACTACACTGTGCTACCTGATGCCATGAACCTGCAACTAGCCCGTAACATGCAGTTCATTGCCAGTGATGTATGTAGAGTCTAAGTTAATCATCTTAAAATTAATTATAGAATTTAAATTTTTATAGTACCTAATTAGATGTTTTAATGCCATTGCTGTTAAAATTCTCCCTCAGAACCAGTACAAGAGTGAGTATGAAAGCTTCACGAAAGGAATAGGATGGGTTCCTATTGGATCATTGGATGTTGAGAAAGCAAAAACAGCCGGACAGATCCTGAGTGAGAGCCGATACCGTCAACATCCTAGCAACTTCAAATTCACTAAGGACATGCATTCTATGGATCTGACACTGGCCACTGCCAACAACCAGATAATGGATAAGGTACTAGATAGGACTTGCTATGAAAATAACACAAAAAGCTCTTCCCTAACGTTTATGTCTAATGATATCAAACCAACAACTACATTTTGCTTTTAGCAATCCTACAGCAAAGCCTGGGAGAAAGACAAGACTTCAATCCACATCATGCCTGATGCAATGGACATTGTTCTTGCCAGAGAGAACAAGAGGCACTACAGTGAGGTACTGTGAGATACCTTCATTTTTTTGCACAATTTCCTCACAAATTTTCATGATTTGTAATCTGTCATGAATTGTAATGAAAAGTAAATCCTACGTCCCATGGTAACCACAAGGCTTTGATCTTGACAGACAGGAAATTGGTACATCACTTCAAGTTAGTGTACATTTGGAAGTAGACATGCTTTCCTTTATAAAAATGTATTCTCTCTCTCTCTCTCACTCTCTCTCTCGCTGTCTCTCTTTCTCCAGAAACTGTACAAACTGGACAATGAACTGTCTAAGAAGAAAGGCTATAATCTTCGCGCTGATGCCATTGCAGTCCAGGCTGCCAAAGCCTCCGTTGCTATTGCTAGTGATGTAAGTGTTTGTTTGGTTATTTCTATCCTGTACTACAACTATATATATTATTTCTCATGCTTTCCCCCTCACTAGAGTTTGGTTATGAAAACTTTTGCACTTGCTTTTTTAGTACAAGTACAAGGCAGGATACCGTAAGCAGGTCGGCCACCACATCGGTGCTCGCAGCATCCAGGACGACCCTCTGCTCATGCTGGCTCTGAACTCAGCCAAGATTGCCAGTGATGCTCTTTACAAGAAGGACTTCAACAAGTCCAAGACAAAGTTTAATCTTCCAGTGGACATGATGGCGTTTGAACTGGCAAAGAAGAACCAGATTCAGGTCAACCACGCCAACTACATCACCCGCCTCCACAACTGGACTTGTCTGCCAGACTCCAGTGACGTTGTACAGGCCAGACATGCATATAACATACAGAGTGATGTGAGTATAAATCCTTGAATTATACTAGAAAGTTTTCATGTTTATTATGTATATTTTATTAGTAAAAGCAGTTTTGGAACATCTTTCATCATAATAAAATCATTTTGTTTGGTCCAGGCTGTTTACAAGGAAGATCAGAGGATGATGCAGGGTATTGGATGGGTGCCTATAGGTTCACTGGATGTTGAGAAGGCAAAGAAAGCCGGTGAGATCCTGAGTGAGATGAAGTATCGTCAGCACCCAAGCAACTACAAATTCAAAAGCACCACTGAAGACATGCCGATGGCTTTGGCCAAGGCCAATGCCCAGATAGTGAACAAGGTATTTAATTTAACATTTTATTGTGTTTCATTTCCTTATTTCCTTATTCATATAAAACATAAGAAAGGCAGAGGGCATGGAAACAAAGTAGATCGCTTTATCAAATGAGCTTGACCCTGTTTAATAGATGAGTGTAATTTCCTTAAAATAAGATATTTAACTGTAGAGTATTAAAACTTCTAAAATACTTGAAATGACCCCGTGCCAAAAAAAATTATAACATTTGAGTAAATGGAATGTGCAACAGACAAACATTTGATTCTTTCAAATTTATTGTATATCCAAATATCTCCTGAATTGTTCCATTATGTTAAAAAAAGTGCCGCAATTTCTGTAGCTCTGTGAAAAATAAAATCATGTCATCTGCCTTAGATGATAGTACATGCTCGTTATCAGTGATATTTAAACCGTAAATATTTGTTTTTTCTCTTTCACACAAAGTGAAAGGTTTGACAATAAATTTAAACAACTACGGTGATAAAGGACAACCTTGTTTTATGCATCTACTTAAAGAAAACAGATCTGAGGAGGTCTCTTTTGTGATGACTGCAGCCTTGGGCCTTTGTTATTCAGTATAGTTGTAATCCATTTAATAGGATTTAGACCCAAAATGTATGTGTAAAAAACTGAGAAAAAGTTCCAGCCGACTCAAAAATCTTCTCTGTTTGATGAGATAAATAAATCACAATCAGGAGCAGCGTAATTTTATCAACGGAGCATTTGTTTAAGATCAGTGTTGATTTAATTATGAATGAAAACCAAAGAAATCTTCTTCTAAATGTTACATTTTTATATGGAAATTTAACAAAAAATGTACTTTACAGAAAGCTTACACTCAAGCTTGGGAGAAAGACAAGACTACCATTCATATCATGCCTGATGCCATGGATATTCTCTTGGCCAAAGCAAACAAAGTCATCTACAGTGAGGTGAGTCCTTCTCAAAAATGTTCTTAAAAAACTCAAGTTCTACCTTTTGAAACAACATACCTCATATTATGCCATAATTTTGCAAAAGATGCTTAAGTTTGCTTGTGTTTTTATTTTTTACACAGAAACTGTACAAGCAGGCAAATGAAGAGGCCAAGAAGAAGGGATACGATATGCGAAATGATGCCATTTCCATTATTGCAGCGAGGGCTTCCAGGGACATTGCCAGTGATGTATGCTGTTGGATTATACCAATAATAAACATTTACCATAAATGTATTACTGTACATATAACCATGGGACTTAGTTTTTAATTTTTCTTCCAGTATAAGTACAAGACAGGATACCGTAAGCAGGTCGGCCACCACATTGGTGCTCGCAGCGTCCAGGACGACCCTCTGCTCATGCTGGCTCTGAACTCAGCCAAGATTGCCAGTGATGCTCTTTACAAGAAGGACTTCAACAAGTCCAAGACCAAATTCAACCTTCCAGTGGACATGATGTCCTTTGAACTGGCCAAGAAGAACCAAATTCAGGTCAACCACGCCAACTACATCACCCGCCTCCACAACTGGACTTGTCTGCCAGACTCCAGTGATGTCGTACAGGCCAGACATGCATATGACATACAGAGCGATGTGAGTATGAATTTAAAAAATGCGTACTGAGGGAGGTTATTTTGTTTATGGATTTATATTTTTTCTTAAAAATTTTGAACATCTTTCATCATAATAAAACCATTTTGTTTTGTCCAGGCTGTTTACAAGGAAGATCAGAGGATGATGCAGGGTATTGGATGGGTGCCTATAGGTTCACTGGATGTTGAGAAGGCAAAGAAAGCCGGTGAGATCCTGAGTGAGATGAAGTATCGTCAGCACCCAAGCAACTACAAATTCAAAAGCACCACTGAAGACATGCCGATGGTGCTGGCTAAGGCCAATGCTCAGATTATGAACAAGGTATGAAATCATCAATCCTCAAAGTTCTGTTAGGTGTAAATGATACAAAATGACTAATTTGAACTCCTTATATGATAAGGAAATTTTCCTTTCATAAAAATGCTTCCTTCAGAGTTCAGAATATGAATAAACTTGCATATTGTTGTTTTCTATTACTGCAGAATGCCTACGTTGAAGCTTGGCAGAATGAAAAGACGAAGATCCACATCATGCCTGATGCTATGGATGTTCTTCTAGCCAAAGCAAACAATGTCAATTTCAGCTTGGTAAGTGAAAAATAAAACATTTAGGGGGAAAAAAATATATAGATTACTTTAAATTAGGGCTTGAAGATATGGTATATTCATTAGAATATTTTTTTTCTTTTATCAATACATATTTATTTAATTATCACTCAGTTCTACTTATTTGAGAATACATGTGCTTATATATGTGGGGCATTTGTGTTTGGTTATAGAAAAAGTACAAACAGGCAAATGAAGAGGCCAAGAAGAAGGGCTACGATATGCGCAATGATGCCATTTCCATCATCGCAGCCAGGGCCTCCAGAGACATTGCCAGTGATGTAAGCTGTCTGATTATTCCAATGATAAACAGTTACATACATTTATTGCCATACATGTAAACATGGAACTGAGTTTTTAATTTTTCTTCCAGTACAAGTACAAGGCAGGATACCGTAAGCAGGTCGGCCACCATATCGGTGCTCGCTGTGTCCAGGACGACCCTCTGCTCATGCTGGCTCTGAACTCAGCCAAGATTGCCAGTGATGCTCTTTACAAGAAGGACTTCAACAAGTCCAAGACAAAGTTTAATCTTCCAGTGGATATGATGGCGTTTGAACTGGCCAAGAAGAATCAGATTCAGGTCAACCACGCCAACTACATCACCCGTTTGCACAACTGGACTTGTCTGCCAGACTCTAGTGATGTCGTACAGGCCAGACATGCATATGACTTACAGAGCGATGTGAGTATGAATCCTTGAATTTATACTAGAAAGTTTTTGATTTTATTAATGTATATTTTTTAAGTGTTGAAACATAAAAACATAATTTTGTTTTGTCCAGGCTGTTTACAAGGAAGATCAGAGGATGATGCAGGGTATTGGATGGGTGCCTATAGGTTCACTGGATGTTGAGAAGGCAAAGAAAGCCGGTGAGATCCTGAGTGAGATGAAGTATCGTCAGCACCCAAGCAACTACAAATTCAAAAGCACCACTGAAGACATGCCGATGGCTTTGGCCAAGGCCAATGCCCAGATTATGAACAAGGTATGAAATAATCATTTTGTATAATATCAAACAACTCTATCGACTACTTAAGGATATGATAAGGAAAATATTTAATCATATAAATTCAGCGTTCTAATGTAAGTAAATTCTCATGTTGCTGATTTCTGTGACTGCAGAAAGCATACATGGATGCCTGGGAGAAGGAGAAGATGAAGATCCACATCATGCCTGATTCTATGGATGTTCTTCTAGCCAAAGCAAACAATGTCAACTACAGTTTGGTAAGTAAAAAATTAAATAGTAATGGTGGTACAGCATCGTTTATTTAAGGATTACGCTCCATGTTAGTTTTATATATGTAACTTATTTGAGGTGACTGTGTTTGTTTACAGAAAAAGTACAAGCAGGCAAATGAAGATGCCAAGAAGAAGGGCTACGATATGCGCAATGATGCCATTTCCATTATCGCAGCCAGGGCCTCCAGAGACATTGCCAGTGATGTAAGCTGTCTGATTTTGTTATTTAATTGAAAAGTGAAAAGTCACAGTAAATTGTAATGATCCTTATATTATAAATGTGATGTGTATCTTAGTAGAGGTGACTAATTACAGTTTGCCAATAGTAAATAGTTGTTTTACTTTGCACATTGTACAAAACATGTTTTTTTTTAACTGTTAACAAACAATGATATTATTTTAAAAATTTTCCAGTACAAGTACAAGACAGGATACCGTAAGCAGGTCGGCCACCACATCGGTGCTCGCTGCGTCCAGGACGACCCTCTGCTCATGCTGGCTCTGAACTCAGCCAAGATTGCCAGTGATGCTCTTTACAAGAAGGACTTCAACAAGTCCAAGACAAAGTTTAATCTTCCAGTGGACATGATGGCGTTTGAACTGGCAAAGAAGAACCAGATTCAGGTCAACCACGCCAACTACATCACCCGCCTCCACAACTGGACTTGTCTGCCAGACTCCAGTGATGTTGTCCAGGCCAGACATGCATATGACCTACAGAGTGATGTGAGTGTAGCTTCCCTGCTAATTTGCTTGTCTTAGTCTTTTATTTGATTTTCATACTACCAAGAATGTCAGGAATTGAAATTTGTGTTACTGCGCTTCATAGGCTGTCTACAAAGCTGACCTGAAGTGGCTCCAGGGCTTGGGCTGGGTCCCCATTGGCTCACTTGATGTGGAGAAAGCCAAGAAGGCTGGAGAAGTCTTGAGTGAAAGGAAGTACCGCCAGCACCCCAGCACTGTTCCCTTCACCAGCACAACAGATGCCATGAATATTGTACTGGCAAAGAATAATGCTTTGACCATGAACAAGGTAAAATTCATAAATTATTTGGGTAAAATGCAAATGAATTTTTGTGTGAAAGGGCTAATACTATAAAATGATTATCTTGATTTGCAATAAAACTGGGATTAATTGTGTTTTCTTCCAGCGTCTCTACACCGAAGCATGGGAGAAGGACAAGACCAAACTGCACATCAACCCTGACACTCCTGAGATCATCCTCTCTCAGCAGAATGCTATCAACATGAGCAGGGTTAGTATACTTTTTATTGCACGTGATAAGAAGATGGCCCCTATCTTATCCGGTATGCAGTTGTGGTTATCTCTATGTCAATTAGATTGTTCTTGTGTTAAAGGTGCCAGCATCTTCTAACTGTTTAAAATAACTTTCACAGAATTTGGAAATCTGTTTGTTGGCAGTTGTGTGTACTTATTAACCACTTTAAGCCTCACATTACTCTTAATAATAATAATAATAATAATGCATTACATTTATATAGCGCTTTATCATGGAAACTCAAAGAGCTTCACAATGAAGTGGGGAGGACTCACCTCAACCACCACCAACGTGTAGCACCCACCTGGGTGATGCACGGCAGCCATTTAGCGCCAGAACGCTCACCACAGAGAGGGCTTGAGACAGAGAGGGAGGGAGAGATTGAGACAATTACTATGGGGGATGATTAGATGGCCAGATGGTGAAAGCCAGGTTGGGAATTTTGCCATGACACCGGGGAACCCCCTACACTTTGCGATAAGTGCCATGGGATCTTTAATGACCACAATAAGTCAGGACCTCGGTTTAACGTCTCATCCGAAGGACGGCAGCTCCCACAGCACAGTGTCCCCATCACTGCCTCACTGACTTTACTTGAAGTAGCAGCTAGATGATGATTATTACACGAATGTGATCCCTTGAGCAAAGCCCTACTGCAAGCCTTATAAGCCACAATTACACCTCCATTTGTTAAAATGGTTAACACAAGTTATCATGTACTGTATGTCCTACATTTCAGAAACAATACAGACAAGGTTTTGAGGCCACCATCCAGAAAGGCTATTTCCTCCCTGGGGATGCAATCTCTGTCAAGTCTGCTAAGGCCTCCAGGGACATCATCAGTGATGTGAGTGACTCAGACTGTACCATATACTATATATTATATTTATTTGAGTGACACTTTGGTATTAGACATAATGTGAGAGGTATTCTAGTTCTAACATAAAATGTTTTCTGCTGATATTATCAGTATAAGTACAAGACGGGATACCGCAAGCAGGTCGGCCACCATATCGGTGCTCGCTGCGTGCAAGACGACCCTCTGATCATGCTGGCTCTGAACTCAGCAAAGATTGCCAGTGATGCCCTGTACAAGAAGGACTTCAACAAATCCAAGACCAAGTTCAACCTGCCAGTGGACATGCTGAATCTCGAGCTGGCAAAGAAATGCCAGATTCAAGTCAACCATGCCAACTATATCACACGCCTGCACCAGTGGACATGTCTGCCAGACTCCAATGACGTTGTCCAGGCCAGAAAAGCCTATGATCTTCAGAGTGATGTGAGTCCTCCTGTGACATAGTCATCATATCTCAAAAATATTGTGCCATGTCCCCTGTGCTTTTGTTCTTTTTATTGTTACATGAATATGCTTTTCCCAATAGGCTGTGTACAAAGCTGACATGGATGAGGTCATAGGGGTAGGATGGGTCCCCATTGGTTCACTTGATGTGTTGAAGGCCAAGAATGCTTCAAATATTCTCAGTGACCGTCTCTACAGGCAGAAACCAGACAAACTGAAATATAAATCTGACATGACTTCCATTCCCATGGTCTTAGCCAAAGCAAATGCTGAAATCATTAACAAGGTGAAGAATATCATATCCCTTTATTTATTGTTTTATTTTTTTTACAATTTGTTCAATCTTTTTACAGTGATTAGAATTTGTGTAATTTTTATTTTTCTCTTTCTCACCACAGAGAAACTACATTGCTGCTTGGGAGGCTGACAAGGTTAAGAATCATGTGTCCCCTGACCTACCTGAGCTTTTGCTTTCTAAAGCTAATGCTTACAACATCAGTAAGGTAAACTTAAGTTAGTATTCTGTATGCATATCAATGTTATAGCCATAATGATTTTCATTTTATAATTCATATATAATTACATTTCTTTTTCAGAAACTATACAGGGAAGATGTTGAGAAGATCTTCAGAAAGGGCTACAACCTTAAGCCTGATGCTGTGTCTATTGTTGCTGCCAAACGTGGAAGAGAGATCATCAGTGATGTACGTAACATATAACTGAATGCTTTTCTGTCTGATATTGACTTGTGCTAATTTGTATATTATTTTGTTAATTATCACTTTACTCTCTCCACACAGTACAAATACAAGACTGGGTACCGTAAGCAGGTTGGTCACCACATTGGAGCCCTTAGCGTCCATGACGACCCTCTGATCGTGCTGGCACTGAACTCCGCCAAGATTGCCAGTGATGCCCTGTACAAGAAAGACTTCAACAAGTCCAAGACCAAGTTCAATCTGCCAGTCGACATGCTGAATCTTGAACTGGCCAAGAAATGCCAGATCCAAGTCAACGATTTCAACTACAGAACTCATCTGCACAACTGGACCTGCCTACCTGACTCCAATGATGTGGTCCAGGCCAGAAAAGTCTATGACCTGCAGAGTGATGTGAGTATTGAAATTTCTTATAATGTGTTTCCAGAACATGGGAAGAAAATGCTGTTTGACTTCCATTTTTCTCCCTCTGTGACTAGGCTGTGTACAAGGCTGACATGGAATGGATCAGGGGAACAGGTTGGGTGCCAATTGGTTCACTTGATGTGGAGAAAGCCAAGAAAGCGGGAGAGATCCTGTGCGACAGGAAGTACCGTCAGCATCCCAGCAACTTCAAATTTACTGCCAAGACAAGTGACATGCCATATGCCCTTGCTATGGCCAACGCCCAGATCATGGACAAGGTAGAGATAGCGCATCTTATTTTGTGTTTCTTGACTAATATCGTGTAACTCTGAAAATATTATACCAAATGTTTCAGTATTTCCCTTTGTTTGACACCAAAGAGGATCATTTGTTTTAGACAAAGCCGTGTTGCTTTATAATAATGTTTTAGACTCAAATAAAATCATGTCTTACTAAAACATGTTAATCTGCTGTTTACAGAAAGCATATATTTCTGCCTGGGAGAAGGATAAGACCAACCTTCACATCATGCCTGATACACCAGAAATCATCCTGGCCAAGCAGAATAAATTAAACAACAGTCTGGTAATGCATTACCTCTTCATGTAGTTGTATAACCAATTACTACCTCACAGATTATTATCATATTAGTAATTGTTAACTGGCTTTATGTATCTGAATCAGTTAATTAAGTTAAGTTTGAAAAATGATTGACATTGCCCTGTAATTTTTGTCTTTTTACTCTAGTGTAAAGGAACTTGTCTGCTCTATAGTTATTACGGTGTATAGCACACAATGCATATATCAGACACCCTGACAGCATTATTTTTGTTTCCCCAGAAATATTATCGTGAAGGCTATATGGACACCATAAACAAAGGGTACTATCTTCCCAAAGATGCAATTTCTGTTTTATCAGCCAAGGCTTCCCGAGACATCGTCAGTGATGTAAGTGTGTACTTGCTTTTAAACTTTTTCACATTCCCTTGAATTTTACAATTATAAAGTCCTATGCAGCATTTTTTTATTTTTCACTGCATTGATTTCAAACTAATCAACATATTTCTATCACAAATTTTCAGTACAAATACAAGGCTGGTTTCCGCAAGCAGTGTGGCCATCACATTGGTGCCCTTAGTGTTAAAGATGACCCACTGATTATGTTGGCTGCTCATGCAGCCAAGATCTCCAGTGACAACATCTATAAGAAGGACTTCAACAAGACCAAGACAAAGTTCCATCTGCCTGTAGACATGCTGACAATTGAACTTGCCAAGAAATGCCAGCAGCAAGTGAATGACTTTAACTACAGAACTCACTTACACCAGTGGACCTGCCTGCCAGACTCAAGTGATGTGGTTCAGGCTAGAAAAGTGTACGACTTACAGAGCGATGTAAGTACATTTAAAGTATTGCAGGCTTGTTGATAGCTGATGAAGTAAGAGAGAACAGTGTTTGGTGGGTTTAAAACTGATATTTGTTTTTTAGGCCGTATACAAAGCTGATATGGAGTGGCTGAGAGGATGTGGCTGGTCACCACAGGACTCTGTGGACGTCATCAAAGCTAGAAATGCCCAGACTATTCTCAATGACAGGCTCTACCGCCAGCACCCAAGCACTGTGAAGTTTACCAGCGTTGTTGACCTCCCGGCTATCGTCTTGTCCAAGCAAAACGCTGACATCATCAGTGATGTGCGTTATAGAATCTTGCTAAATGCCTTCTCTAGTGAACTTAAAACTTAACATTAAACAATTTGACCAATCATCTGTATACATGAGTGTTTCAAAATAAAGAAGTTCATTTTCTTGTTTTTTTTTCTTTCTGACAGAGGAAATATAGGGAAGTCTGGGATAAAGACAAGCTCACCATTCACATGCCACCTAACGCCCCCACCTTTGAACTGTCCAAGGCCAATGCTATCAGCATCAGCAATGTAAGTTTGTATTATTACAAGTACTGTACCAGGTATATCTGAAAAAATTTATAAATATCTTAAAAGTATATAAATATCTTATTTGTTGAAATGTATTATTCAATCAGCACATGATTACTGTGGTTTTTATGTGCTGTCTTTTTGATCATACTTCTTGTTCTGTTCAGAAACTGTACACAAAGGCATGGGACGACCAGAAGGCCAAAGGCTACCATATCAAGGAGGATGCTATCTCTGTGCTAAAGGCTAGAGCTTCCAGAGATATCATCAGTGACGTAAGAAAAAATATAGACACTGCTTAAATACAATAGATTCGTAATGTGACACTTTCTGACTTTTCATCAACTCTATCGTCTCGTCTCTTTTAGTATAAGTACAAGACGGGATACCGCAAGCAGGTCGGCCACCACATCGGTGCTCGCTGCGTGCAAGACGACCCTCTGATCATGCTGGCTATGAACTCAGCAAAGATTGCCAGTGATGCCCTGTACAAGAAGGACTTCAACAAGTCCAAGACCAAGTTCAACCTGCCAGTGGACATGCTGAGTCTTGAGTTGGCCAAGAAATGCCAGATTCAAGTCAACCATGCCAACTATATCACACGCCTGCACCAGTGGACTTGTCTGCCAGACTCCAATGATGTGGTCCAAGCCAGAAAGGCCTACGACCTGCAGAGTGATGTAGGTTTATAGTAGTGATCAGGGATGGTATTCTTGGATCTTTTGATGACATACTCTGTACTCCCATTTTATCCCAAGAAAAGCTGACATTGGGATTATTGTCCATGTACATTTTTAGTGTCATGGAAACACCTAAACAAATATGCCCGTTTTGTTTCCTCAGGCTGTGTACAAAGCTGATATGGAGTGGATACGTGGATGTGGATGGATGCCACATGAATGTGTTGATGTTATTAAGGTGAAGAATGCACAGAAGGCCCTGGCTGAGGTAAGCGTGACTATGATTTTACTTTGTATGTACTTGTAAAATCAAACATCTATATACATTTGTACATCTTCAAAAAAATCTTCAGAATTTATTTAAGCCAGAAAAATCAAATGTATCTTCAAAATCAAACAAGTCTTTCTTACTATTTTACAGAGAGGCTACCGTGTCAAGTTGGATGAGCAGAAATTCACAGTTCCAGCTGACAGAGTCGACCTGGTCTGTGCCAAGAATGCTGCTGAGGTCCTCAATGAGGTGAGGGTTACGCTCTGCTTTTCAGAGGCTGTTTAGATATTCAGTTAAACCACCTGACAGAATAGTAGTAATGGCAGATTTTACTTTTTTCTCATCTTAACTGAGTTTGGACATCTCACTCTGTTCAGGCCAAATATCGTGAGGCCTGGCACCAGGACAAAACCAAGTTCTCACTGGTGGACACTCCAGGTCTTGCCACAGCCAGAGAGGTGGCTAAGAACGTTCACCCGGTAAGATGACTCCTCATGGGAGGTATTTGCTACATATGTCAGTTCAACAATACTTTGTCCTATACCAATCGTACCCTCGGTTATTATCAGCTTGACAAACAATAGATTTTCATAAGCATATGATAACTATTTCCATTTCTTGCAGAAACTGTACACCAAAGATTGGGATAAGGTCAAAGCCACGGGCTACTTCATGCCTGGAGATGCTGTACCAATCAAGCAGTGCATCCAGACGTCGAAAGTGCAGAGTCAAGTGAGTAGTGGGACAATGTTTCATCTGTTTCGTTCATAACAAGAACATTCATGACTTCTGTCTGTCCTGTAGCACAAGTACCTTGAAGGATACCGTAAGCAGGTCGGCCACCACATCGGAGCCCTCAGTGTCAATGACGACCCTCTGATGATGCTGGCTCTGAACTCAGCCAAGATTGCCAGTGATGCCCTGTACAAGAAAGACTTCAACAAGTCCAAGACCAAATTCAACCTGCCAGTGGATATGTTGCAGTTTGAACTGGCCAAGAAATGCCAGATCCAAGTCAACGATGACAACTACAGAACCCGCCTGCACCAGTGGACATGTATGCCAGACTCTAACGATGTCATCCAGGCCCGCAAAGCCTATGAACTTCAAAGCGATGTGAGTGCTAATCACACCAACCTTGGACTTATATATTGACAGAAACTTATATCTTATTTTCCTAATATGTATATTTGTTTCTGTCTTCAGTTTGTGTATAAGGCTGATATGGAATGGATTCGTGGCTGCGGCTGGATGGCAGCTGACTCTGTTGACCACGTCAAGGTCAAGAAGGCCCAAGAGATTCTCAACGAAGTATGTTTACTATATTACATTGAGTCTTTTGATGTGACTATTTTCTTTTAGCATGTTTTGACATTTTTGTGGCAGTTTGTGATGCTGTAATTTTACTTACAGAGGCTCTACAAGAAGAATGCCAAGGAATGCTTTGGAAAATTCACCCTGATTGTGGACCGCCCTGAAATTGTCCTGGCTAAGATAAATGCTGCCAACCTCAGTGATGTATGTAAAACTCATTTATACATATCAAAACATTTAAACTGCTAAATCTTGAGATGCGTACTAATAAACAATAATCAAATCTAAAATTCTGTTCCTACCACAGCTGAAGTACAAAGAGACCTTCAATGCAGAAAAGGGTCATTACATTGGATCAGATGACACTCCTCAACTGGCCCACAGCAGGGAGGTGTCTAAGAACATCAGTGAGGTAATGTAAAATATTTAGCCAATTCATTACTTTCTTTATTAATTTAGTGTGTTTGTTGATTGCATATCATATATTGTATAAACATTTGCCTGCTTTGTGTGATTTCAGAAACTCTACAAACAACAATGGGATGAGTCTAAGGCTACAGGCTACCAGCTGAACCATGAATATATCCCACTTCTCTCTGGCAAGAAGGGCAGGGAGATCGCTAGTGATGTGAGTGTGTTCACACTCACTTCATAATAGTAGTCATTGCTGATAAGGCAAAAGCACATGGACTCATGTTCTTGTCTTACAGTATGTAAACAAAATTGAGACTTTTATTATTATTCCTGATCTTAATAGGTCAAGTACAAGGATTCCCATGAGAAGGCCAAGGGTCACTACATGGCTGGGACTCTAGTGGACTTCCCTGAGGTGATGCGTTGTGGAGAGCAGGAGAAGAACAAGGCACTGGTAAGATATTCATAATAATTGTCCTTTTATTCTATATATCAAGGCATCTTCATACATTTGCAAAGCCAGTTGCAGTAGAAGTTGTTTGTGAAGATTCTCAGTCATCCGGGTCATAGTTATCCAAGAATGGTTAAATCAAGGGCAACTGGACTGGTTGAGTGGTAGAGGAAGTATTCAGATCCTTTATTAAGTGAAAGTACTTACCACACTGTAAAAATATTCCATTACAAGCAAAAGTCTTGCTTTGACAATGTTACTTACTAAAAGTATATTATTTAATAAATATTAAAACTAAAAGTATTCAACACGGAAAATGGCCCCTATGGCTGTTGTACTATTATGCGTTATATCATTATATAATATTTGAACTGAACTAATTATTATTTTCTCTTTATATTCGACTGATTGTTCGGTTTGTAAAAATTAATAATTCATAGTCATAGTGGAAAAATAGTAAGAAATGCCGTCACAATAACCCTGAGCCTGTAGTGACACCTTCACAATGCTTGTTTTGTGTAACCAATAGTACAAAGCTCAGAATGATTAAACAATTTTTTTAATTAAATTAAGGAAAAGCAGCGAATGCTCACATTTGAGAAGCTGGAACCCTGGAATATTTTTCCATGAAAAATGGCAACTATCAGCTATTTGATTAATTGATTAACTGTACACTGTTTGGTAGTATAATTTATAACAAAACATCATATTCTATAAGCTGTATAACAACCACACTAGCACTTTAGCACTTGCACTTTCATCCATGGAACTATGTTGTCAACAAAGTCCTTTTTCTTCTGTGTTTATATTTTCCACTTGTGAAGTACAACATGTCGATGCTTCTCAGGTTCTTGTTGATGTGTTTTGTGATGTATGATGTCTTTTGTGAATGTTAATTTTTTTTTTTTTATGAAGAAACTGTGCCCAAGCAGAATTTCCCCTTGGGGACAATAAAGTTAACCTAATGTAACCTAACCTAAGTATAATTTGTAATTAGTAACTAAAGCTGTCAAAAATGGAGTGAAATACAAAGTATAAGATTTCCCTAGAACTAGAAAGTAGCATGAAACGAAAAAACACATGCACCACGGGACATAAAGACTTTACCTTTGTGATCAGAATAATGGACAACCAGGTTAACTGTGCTTCAAATTAAATATGGTTCAAGGACACAAGACGTGTGGCTTTCAGATCTTCTACATGTAGCATTTTTAACCATTTGAATTACTTTAATTTCTAGAGAGTAGGATTTACATTTGTTATAGTCCCCATAAGATTATTTTTAGGTTAATTTGTTTCATATTGTTAAAGACAATGTCAATAACTTTCCATGGTATGCATATCTTCATAGAGGGTCTACCAGAAGGACTACCATCTTACCAAGACCAAGACCCACATCCCATCTGACATAATCGCTAACCAGGTAGCTAAGCGGTGCCAGGACATGCTGAGCGATGTCCTCTACCGTACCTACCTGCACCAGTGGACTTGCCATCCTGACCAGGAGGATGCCATTCGTGCCCGCAAGACCAATGAGATTCTCAGTGATGTAGGTCCTTCTTCACTGCACATCCGCTGCTTGTACTTGATTATTTATTGTGCAAGATTATTTATTGTGCAACGTCCTGTTGCAGCCGTTTGGACAGTCTCATATCACATCAGCTGTTTAGAAATGTTATGTGGTTAATTTGATAAAAGCTCTCTTATGGTAGATCTTCAAAAATTGAGCGCTATTGTAAGAGCAGTTGATTTTCTTTTATTGTGCCTCAACTTGATGCAGGATATCCTATACTAGATTTGTTTTGTTATCTGTAAGCAATAGATTATAGAAAAATCCAGATCTTCTCTCCATTATTGAAAATATTAATTTGTGCTTTTTGTTATTGTCATTTGATAGGTGTTCTACAAGGATGACCTGAACTGGATGAAGGGAATTGGTTGCTATGTCTGGGACACACCAGAGATTGTTCGTGCCAAGAAGTCCTACGAGCTGCAGAGTGATGTGAGTAAAAATATGGAAGATCACAGGAAATCTTTAGATTTTGTTTGGTGAAGATGTTATTTTTTTGGACCATCCTGGCATTTAGAAACAAATTATTTATTTTGCAGAACTGTGATAATTTACCCATGTACCATCTTCCCTTGTAGCTTAAATACAGAGATGAAGCCAAGAAAGAATTCAACAATTACTCCATTGTGACAGACACCCCAGTTTATGTGACTGCTGTCCTGGGTCACACCTGGGCCAGTGATGTGAGTGAACTGGACTTCTAAAACCATTTATTTATATTTATATATATATATAATATTTCAGTTTAAAAGGCCTAATTAAATGCAATAATAAAAAAATTGTCATTGACAGCTGAACTACAGGGAGGCTTATCATAAGGAGAAGCACCTGTATACTACCGTTCTGGATACCTACGACTATGCCAGATGCCACAACTTCAAGCACTTCTTCAGCAACGTAAGTGAAGATAAAAGTATTTATTTTTCAGTCGTCGACGAGATTAAAGATGTCAGCTTTGTCAACGGCATCTTCACACGCAACATATTGATTGTGTTCTGGATTTTCTTTCAACAGAAAAACTACTCTGCTGCCTGGGACAAAATCAAAGCCAAGAGCTACCAGATTCCACATGACTCACACGCCCTGAAACACGCCAAACAACAAAAGATCATTCTCAGCAGCGTGAGTTCAACTTTGAACTCTGTTCATTTCATTCCATGTTATTATGCTGGGATTTTCTTCAGTTGTGAGTTTGGCCTTTGACCTTCAAAAGACAATGTGAATCTTCTTGCCCCTTTAGGTGAAGTACAAGGAGGACTATGAGAAGTTCAAATCCCTCTACAGTCTGCCCAAGTCTCTTGAGGATGATCCTGGCACTGCTCGCTGTGTGAAAGCTGGAAAGCTGGTCCTAGATGTAAGTTAAATTTGTTGTGCAATTTCATCCTCCACATGTCTGCATTTCTTTTAATAAGGAATACAGAAGCTACACAGAGCTCTGTTTTAACAAACAAGCAGCTAAAATGCATCGAACTGTTTGTGCATTCATAATGCGAGTACTGAAAGAAGCATCTGTTGTCCATCTTTATAGCGTCTGTACAAGGCAGACTATGAGAAGACCAAGGCCAAGAACCACATCCCACCAGACATGCTGGAGATCCTTTCTGCCCGCAACACCCAGTCAACCGTCAGTGGTATCCACTATCGCAAGTATTTGCATCAGTGGATATGCCTCCCTGACATGCAGGTCTATGTCCAAGCCCGCAAAGTCAACGAGCAGCTCAGCGACGTGAGTAACTGCCATCAGCTTGCTATTCTGTGGTTGTTACTTTGAAGCCTCAATAGCTACAGATTGGTCAAAGTTACAGCCACATTCTTGCACGTATTTTGTCAGTGTATCATTTATGAAATTATACCTTCTTAGTTATCTAGCATTTTTCTAGCATCCAAGATCATTTTAGATTTGAACAGATCAGAAGTTTTGTCTTTATCCAGTTACCAGCTTTTTGTAAGAACCCAAAAAGTGAAAATACAGTTCGGATCCTTAGTATATGTTTTTTTTGTTTTAGCTTGTCAGTCAGTCCATATACTGCATAAAAAAGGGTCACGTTCTCACCTGCCAAAGTTACTTAGCTTGTGTTTTGTTGTGTGCTCTCCCCAGATCTTCTACAAGGATGACCTGAACTGGCTAAAGGGTATCGGCTGCTATGCCTGGGACACCCCAGAGATCATCCGTGTCAAGCATGCTGGTGATCTTCAGAGTGAGGTTAGCACACCTGATATATTCATTCTGATGCTATCCTTCTTTCCATATCCTCTTCAGTTATTTGGTTTAGCTAATCTTTATATTCCTCTTCAAACAACTTTCATTATTTTCCCTCCCTGGAAATCCTCTATAGACTTTTTATACTAACTAGTATTTAATCAAAAGCGACGCTGATTGCCATGTCGTTGTGTTTTTATTCCAGAACAAGTACAGAGCCAAAGGTGTTGAAGCTTTCAAGGAGTATTCTGTGGTAACAGATACTCCAGTGTATGAGACAGCTAAGCAGAATGCTCAGAACCTGAGCGATGTAAGTGACTCTTTTAATGTTTTTAACAATGTTGGGTCATTACTATGTATATTTCATTTCTAAAAAATCATGGCCTCTGAGTCACATCTTTGTTTCTTCTCTTTTTCCAGCTGCACTACCGCTATGATTACAACGCCAATATCAAGGGCACCAACACTGCTCCTGCTGTTACCATTGAGACAGAAAGGGCACGCCTGGCTAACTACATCCAGAGTGATGTAAGATAATATTTCTTAATATTCAGTGTACTTATTTAGAATTGACTGTCCTATATGTAGATTATGTATACTGTAAGATTTTTTAAAATTCTGGATAGAAGGAACAGCCAACAAAAGACACGCACTCTTTTGTTTCTGCTATAGTTAACAGTATTAGGACACACAAATAATCATCATTTTGCTGAAAATGGTGTCATTTTTACAGCTTATTTTTTCAGCTATGATCTTTACAGCTTTTACCTAATTATGTTAAGTCAGTAAGTGTGTTTCTGTGTATTGGTGTGTATGTTTTTCAAGCTAAAATGCATCCTGTCTCATCATGTTGTCTTGGCCTCTCTCAGAACTGGTACAAGGAGGCAAACAAGGCCTCCATGCCCACTGGTTACTCCCTGCCCCATGACACCCCACTCATCAAGCAGGTTAAGATGAACAGCGTTGTCACCAGCAATGTAAGTACTATCACTGTCTTGAATCAACCAATTATCCTGTTCTTTTGACAGCGATTAAACCTTTTTGCTAATGTAGTTTTGATCTTACTGAATCATATACTTTGCTAACTTTTATTTGGGTAGGTGAAGTACAAGGAGGCCTACGAGATGATGAAGGCTAAGGCCTACACTCTTCATCCAGAGGGTGTCAACTTTGTCAATGCAAGGAATGCAAACAAGATGATCAACAATGTAAGATAACCCACTTCTGCTATTGTTGACACCAGACACATTAGTGTTGATGGAGATTTACATTAATGTCAGATACACATATCAGATGAAACAATGTCATGTGTTCCCTTCTGTTCTTCCCCAGCGTCTGTATCGGGAACTCTACCATAAGCAAAAGGACAAGATCCACACAACCTACGACACCCCTGATATCAGACAAGTCAAGATGAACCAGGAACACCTCAGCGACGTATGAAACCATTTTCACACAATTCCTGTCATTCTTGTGCCTATCCTTTTTTATTATGTAGCTTGATGGAGTTGAATAGTATGCTCTGTTCATGCCCCCTTTTTGTTCCCTTCTCATCTTAGTTGTGCTACAGAGAGAAGTACTACAACAGCAGAGGCCAGCTGATCTCTATGCCCATGACGCCCCAGCTATTGCACTGCTACCACGTCAATCAGATCACCAGCGATGTATGAAGAAATGAGACATAAGTTTGACACAGATTTTCCCAAAATAACTAACTTTACTTGAAAATATTGGTTAAAATGATTATTTTTTGTTTTTTAGCTTAAATACAAAGAGGATCTGATGTGGCTGAGAGGCCTTGGCTGCTTCTTGTATGACACTCCAGAGATGGTCCACGTCCGCAACATCACCAAATTCAGGGTATGTGGAATATCCCTTTATATCAGTGTAATTCATTTTCATTTCATAATCAACTTCCTGCAGTGGAATCACAATCATTTGTATGGCCTGTTTTTCACTTTTATAGGTGAGCTATCCAGTGGATGCTAAGAAGAACCTTGCCAACTTCTCCGTGGTCCTGGACACACCAGAGTATAAGCGTGTAACTGAACTTAAGAGCCACATGAGCAACGTGAGTCATTTTCCTTAAACACATCTTTATCACATTATATCAATAGTTGCTGAATTGTCAGGTCTCCAAAGAAAAGTAAATGCCTTGGCAGTTAAATAGCCTTTAAATAGCTTGAAATGTCTGTATTCTGTCAAAAGTTCAATATTGTGACTTGAGATGTGATTGAGCTTTAGACCTGACCTTTTTACTTTTTTATTTCCAGATGATCTACAAAGCCCAGAGCAAGCAGGAAATGTCTAAGGTCACCACCACTTTGGACTCTGTGGACATCCAGAGAGTCAAATGGGCCCAGCAGCTGACTAACAAAGCAAGTTCATATTCCATCACCAATGTATTGTTTTACACAGACTTATTTTCTTTTCCTGATAAACTAATTATTATTTTGTCTGTTTCTCTACAGTACAAGTACACCGATTTGGCTGCTAGGGAGAGAGCTCATTTCACTCCAGAATTGAATACTCCAAACATGGGCCATGTTAGAAAAATGAAAGTGGTCTGCAGTGATGTAAGTCTTCACCTTCCTCATTTCTTCTTTATTTTGACTTAGATATCCTCACTGTTTATCACTGGTCTATAATAAATTCATAACCCCAAACCTCCTTGAAATTTTAATGAGAATATCTTAATAGTATGTGTTTGTTCGGTTATATTTTGTAGCTGGCTTACTGCTATAGAATAGTAGTTACTTCAAATGTTCTCAGTGAGCTCAGTTATCAAAGTTATGTAACAAGATTTATTTAACTCTCTTCTGAAAATCATCCCTGATGTGTTGCATTAATTATTTCTCCCCTTAGAACAAATACAAGGAGCAGTATGAGAAGATGAAGCACAGATACACTGCCATTGCTGATACACCTCATCTTATCCGGGCCAAGAAATCCTACCTCCAGTCCAGCGATGTGAGTATGCTCATTGGCTAACCTTCAACACAAACATTTATATCAGTACCATAAACCAGGAAAGGACATTTATTTCCAGTTTTCACTCTAGTTCTCCTGCTAAACCTTCCATTTAGCAGCAAACCTATATATGATTTTGAAGATATATAATGCCATTATACTGTAGATAATAACAGGTCAGTGTTGCTCTGCTGATTTCAGAGTATTAATACCTGCAATTAAACCTGTGTTACTCCACCTGAAGAAGCTACCAATTAAGCCAAGAATTTCATTAGCTTATGGAGATTTTTTTATCACCTATGATAGTCTAAAAATGTTTTCATAAACTTTCAACCATACCGCAAAATTCAATCTTTACTAATCAGTGCAAAAATGTGGCGTTTGCCTATGAATGATAATTACTGACAGAGAAGAGATTCTGTAAATACTACAATATTTATTTTTGTTTGATGAACATATGACACATTTTTTGTTCTTCTTGTCTTCAGCTGCGTTACAAAGAGACATTTGAGCTCGCCAAGGGCCACTACCACACAGTCAAGGACGCTCTGGACATAATCCACCACCGCAAAGTCACTGACGACATCAGTGAGGTCAGTAATTGAAATTAGCTTGTTAATTATTTGTTAGGGATATATTTATTTGAATATTTAGAAAATGATAACAAAACTTTTAAGATAATTTTAATTATTTATAAATTAATTATTTAATTTTAATTATGTATAAATTAATTATTTAATTTAAAATATATTATAATATTTTATAATAATAATATTTATAATACCTATTTTGAGCTCTTTAATCTCTCTCACTGTTTTTTTTCTCCATCTCTTCTCTTCAGGTTAAATACAGGGAGAAGTACATTAACTCTCTGGGCACATGGAAGTCCATCCCCGACCGTCCTGAGTTCTTCTTCAGCAGAATTGCTAATGAGAACGTCAGCAGCGTGAGTACTGTTGACCTGCAGTCCAAAATGATGTACCCTGTTTTAAAATATTTAACTACAGTAGGTAGAAGGGCATATAGTATTATTGACATACTATGTAATACTAATAAATTTAATCTCTTTTTGTGGACCTCTTTAGGTCAAATACAAGGAGGACATGGAGTGGCTGAAGGGTATTGGCTGCTTTGTGTGGGACACACCTGAGCTGGTTCAGGCTGAGAAGAACAAGACGCTGTATAGTGAGGTAAAGGATCTGTTTAGTTCATAATTTAGCATTTGTAATGTCAACAATTTGATAAAATGTTGTAAAAATGCTTGTTTTTTTTCATACTATAGAAAATACAGTATACTACTCATGATGACTTAGGTTCATATTATAAGTATGCTTTTTATTGTAGTAAATGAAGAGGTCTTTAATGGATTGTTATATTTGTCTGCATGTTCCTAATAACAGTTTCATTTCTTGGTAACAGAGACTGTACAAAGCCTCCTATGAGAAGAACAGAGGCAACTTCAAATATACCTCTGACACTCCGTTCTTCCAGGCTGCCAAGAATGCCTCTATTCTCATCAATGACGTGAGTCCCTGTTATTCTTTAACCCAGTACAGTAATTCAAATTTTTATTTTTGTAGCAAAATCATTATTATAATTAGTTTGTTGAAACCATTTGTAAAATTGACACTGGAGATACACATTGAAATCACATTTCTGTCTCTGTGTGCATCTCAATTTGACTCTCAGTTTAGTAGTATTATCTGATTATTGCATATAATGTTTACAACCTGCTTTTTTTTGTGTAACCATAATACCAGGTGTTTAAAATATGTCTATTGTTCTTCATAGCAACTTCTTTTAACCTCTCTTTGTCCCCTGGAAAAGTTTCATCACATGACAGTGCGTATTGTTTTCTGGACATTTGTCTTTAACTACCTTCTGACATTCTGAGCAGAGGTTCTACCGAGCTAATTATGAGAAGACCAAGGATAGGTTCACCATAACTACAGATGATCCTAGATACCAACTGGCCAGGGAGAACAGAAAGATGAGCCAGGTAAACTCCCTGGGTATGCTGTACGACCGGCCTGCCTCCTCTGCTGTTGCCTCCAGTCCGGTCCTCCAGACCTCTGACACTGACACTGACACTGGCATGAGGTCATGGACAGACCTGCTAGTGGTCGTTGTCGCATGGCTATGATAGTCCTTCCAACACGATACATTTTTCTCCCTGTCTGTACCGGCCTTTGCTCGTTCTCTCTCTTTCTTCTCGTCCCACACAGGTTATTGTGAACAGTGCCACTCAAATAACCGCTGGAACGCTATCTTGAGTGAGCAGGACTCTCCTTTATCTGTGCCATCAGAGAGACAGTTCAATCACTCATTTACCAATGATTAAATTATGCTTGATAAATCATGAACATGTCTAAACAAGCCAATATCAAACTGTCAAGCCAGCACTACTCAAGATGATGATTTCTGTCATTCTGAAGGTACAGATGAGGACAAACAGCTCTTTCGTCACACTCGGATCTGTGGAGTACTGCTCCAGCCCTCCTAGTGTTACTGCTGTTTTTCATGTGTCCTCAACCATGGCATGCTGTGTGTGTATGTCGTTGTGTGTGTGAACAGGCAATGTATAAATCCAGAGCAAAGGATCTGCTAAAGAGTGGCTGCACTGAGCTACTCCGCCCTGACATCCTCACAGCCCTTTACCAGTCCACTATGAGCAGTAAGGTAAACAGCCACAGAGCGGTGAACCATGGTAACTCTGACTCCTGTCCACAAACAAGCAGAAAATAAACCCTGTGTAGTTTTAAGTCCTGCTATTTCTGGACATGGTCTTATCACATCAAATACTCATCTTGTAGAATTACATTCCTTCCATTCAACCAATTTTAACTACTAAAGGGGTTTTAATAGGGCTGGACAATAAAACAATAACAACAACAATGTAATTTTTTTCAATAACAATATAATAAATGTTCAGTAAAAAATGATAAATTTTTGACTTTATTCACTTAAATCATACACAAATTAGGACTTATTTGTTTTATTAAGATGTTTATTTTGTTGAGGAAAAGGGGCTGAAAAAAGATTTTACTTTTTTTACTCGTGCATATTTGTTGACAAAGATTTTATCATAATTGTTTTGAATGTTCTCCCTCAGATTTGTGAAGCTATCCATTGTTTGGCCTCAAGTGTTGATCATAAAGAAGAATTTACACCACAGTTAACCATCTGGTTTCTTCAACTTTCAGCCTTTAAACTCGAAAGAAATAACTTTGATACTTATCGTGATAATTATTGATATCGAAATACATGAAACCTTTTATCAGGATAACATTTTTGGCCATATGGTCCAGCCCTAGGTTTAAACTTCCACAAATTCCATCATTCTCCATCATGTTTTAATCTCTCCATCACCTATTCACATTCTATTCATGTCTTCATGTCTCATTGATGACTGAACCTCATCTTTAAATGCAGTGCAGTAGTTGACCAGCAGTAATAAAATTGCAGCATTACAGGCTGAAGCTTCTGCAGAGACCGAGGATGTAATGTATCTGTACATTAGTCACCTGCTATACAGTTAGACATTTTGTTAAAACCTATGTATAGACAGTTTTCTCCCCATTTGTTTTTGATGGGAGCCACAATGTCTTTTCCAATATCTCCTCTTAAGTAAACCTCATCTTCATTATCAGCCTCAAATTCAGTGAGCAATAGCATAAGATGGATTGCTGGTCACCATGAACTACATGGGCACTGCAGACCTTCATGAATAGTGGTAACATGTGTCATTGTCATGCATTTTCATCTGATAAAATAACCCTTTATGTTTGTGCATGTTTCGTGAAGCATGTCTTATATACTTATGCATGGCACCAATTCAATCATTAGACATACAATATTATTTTTAGACAGAGAATTGCTACATAATACACGTTAGTCAACTCTTTCTGACTTTGCATATATACTGTCAGGGAACTGTCCAAGAAAAAGAAGAACAGTAAATGGAAACAAAATGATCAAATAGTTTTTACGTCGTTTTATTGTGTAGTAAATGAAAGTGATCGTTTAAAGTCAACCGATCTTCATATGAAGTGACTCAGTGTCCATCCTGTCTTTTCAAGAACACTCCAACATCTCTTTTCATGAACTAATTCACCCCTTTTCTTTGGCAGTTCTTATCTTTACTTTAGCTGCATAAATTAGAAGCAAGACAAGTTGTCAGAATACACATGAATAAAAGCAAATGATTACAGCAGCAAAATGATTTTGAGTGATACTAACTTTCTTGTGTTTACACGTCATCGTCTTCCATCAGTGGAAGTACAGGGAGCAGTATGAACGTGCCAAGGACAAGTTCACCTCTATTCTGGAGACTCCTGAGTATGAGGCCCACAGACGCAGCAAGAAAATCAGCGATGTAAGTTTCAGATTTTTCAGTCTTTACATCTTTTTAGTCTTTAAGTGTAATTTTTAAAAGTCAGTGTTTAATGTTTTTGTTTGTTTGATTCTTTGTCTTTTGAATTGCTCCTAACTATGTGATGATGATTATTCCTCAGATCATCTACAGGATGGAGTACAACAAGACCAAGGCCAAGGGATACACCTTGCCTTATGACACTCCATACCAACAGCACATGAAGAAGGTCAAGGACATTACCAGCAATGTAAGTTCCACTCAGACTGGCTGCACTTTTAACAATTTTTTTACAGAGTCATAGGAAGACATAATATGAAATACATTTTTGTGTTTGATGGTATGTTTTTCATGCATCTTGCAGCTAAAGTACAAAGAAGTGTATGAGAAGAGCAAGGCCCAGATTAACATGGACCCCGAGGCTCATGAGATTCGTGCTGCCAAGGAGGCCTACAAGAACATCAGCAATGTAAGTGTATTTAATGGCGGTATCAGGGAATATCACTTTCTGTTCATTACTGATCAAAGCTGAACTTGACATACACAAATCTTTTCCGTTTTTAGCTTGACTACAAGAAGAAATATGAAGCCACCAAGAACAAGTGGATCTGGACAACAGACAGACCCGACTTTGTCAATGCTGCCAAGAACTCCTTGCAACAGAGTGATGTGAGTTGGTGCTTCCTCTTCATTGTGTGATTTCATGTTTTTGTTTTTTACAACATCCAACAGTGTTGCTCTAATTTTTGCCATCATTGATTCACCCACAGATTGAGTACAAGTATGACAAAGAGATGATGAAGGGCTGTGTGATACCTGTGGTTGATGACAAGTTAACCCTCCTGGCTATGAAAAATGCGGAAATGGCGAGCACTGTGAGTTTTTCTACATCTTTGTTACCATCTCTAATGAAATGATATATACTAAATAATCTAAAGTAATTTCAAACAACAAGACTACTTCAGCACTGAGTGTTTAACAAACTTTACAAACAACCTTTCTTTTGCTGCCCTCCAGGTGAAGTACAAAGAGAAGTATGAAAAGGAAAAGGGCCACTATGTGCCGGTCCAGGACACTCCTCAAATCCTCCATGCCAAGGCTGTGCGCACTCTGGCATCAGAGGTATCATTCAGTAAAAAGTCAATCATTTTTTGTATACTTAAGAATTTTGTACAGGTTAAGAAGACATTATTCTAAATAACTTTTTTTAATCACTTTAACAATACATGTGTTATAAATTCTTCATTTTAATCCTCAGAGCAAATACAAGGAGGCCAGTAAGAAGGACATGCAGTCTGGCTCATTCACTACCCTGTCTGAGACTCGTGACACTGCTCACAGCAAGGAGATCAACAAGCTTGTCAGCGGGGTACAACTGTCTTACATTTATTTCACAAAATGAGCACAGCCACCTTATAATCATGGTGTATTTTTGAACGGCTGGCCTTGACATTCATTTCTCTCTTTCTCTCACAGAAATTGTACAAAGCTAAGTTTGAGAAGGAAAAGGGCAAGTCAGTGTATAACAACATGATTGTTCCACCTGATGTTCAGCATGCCATGTCAGTGGCCAAGTGTCAGAGCAATGTAAGTCATCTCCGCAAAGAAATGACGTTGTATCGATTTTATTTACAGCACACAATCACCACGTTTCACAGCCTCTCAAATTTCTCTACAAATTGTCAGAGTTTACCACATACTATTCTGTCTTCTCTTCTGCCCAACCCCACAGATTTCCTACAAGAAGGATGCCAAAGCCAACCTTCACTACACCAGTGTAGTCGACCGTCCTGACATACAGAAGGCTACCCAGGCTGCCAGACTTATCAGTGAGGTAATCCGCAAGTACATGCATCAAACTTGTATATTAAAGAGTAAAACCTGTACATGTAAAGGCAGAAATATGCTGTACAAGCCTGATTTTCACTGCCAGAGTTAGCCATAAAAATATGTAGACCCACAAATAAATATGTCCCACTGCTTAACTGCTCACTGCATGTTATTAGACCTTTTAATGAGAAGAATGGCAACGAAAGAAATATGTCGCATTGGCATGGTCCCCAAAAGCACCGGTATGACTCCACCACCAATGAAGCCACATTTTTCCATAGAAAATGAATGAAAAATTGCTGTACCATCAACACTGTTTGACTGAATAACAACAATGAACAGTTTTTTGTTGTTTCATCTTTGGTTGCCCACTGCCTTTTAGTGCACTGATTCTTGTTTGGTATTTTTTCTATCAGATCGGCTACCGTGACAAGGCCCGTGAGGAGGCAAGCCGTGGAGGTTCTCTGGCCTACCGCCCAGACATCACTCTGGCCACTGAGGTGTCCAAGCTGACCAGCCAGGTACACCTAACCAAACCAACCATCTGTCTTTTACAGACGTGGGCCATGCTGCTTTCCCAATGGTTCCTTACAGTTACAGTCATCTCCTAGAAAATGTATCCCTTATTTATTTTACATACAAGATGGCTGGAATCAGTGGTAGCCATATTACACCAACAAAGGTCAGATGTCCGTCATTGTCAGTTCAGCTTCCATAAGCTAATATTTGCAGACTAGTATTGCTGTGGTAGATGCTTAACAGTCCTGTAGGCCTAACGATAGAACTAGCAGCTCTTTCATAGCGCTTCCACTGCCATCCTGCATTATAATCCATGCCTTAATCTATCGTTGTGACTCCGTGATTGGAGATTTACATGTTTAACTGCTCAAATCATTGTACATGTCCCAAGCCTATCTCTAAACCTACACTGCTCCTCTTCCTATATCCTTCTACACTTTACTCTCCTTATTCCTCATCGCTTTCCTTTCCTGTCTCCTTCCATACTGTCCTTGTCTGTGTGTTCTTATCCTTCCATTTCACTGCGCTTTGTAGGTGGAGGCCAAGCCCTCCCTCCATGGAGCAGCTTCCTATGATACCCCCCAGATGCGCCACATTAAGAAAATGAGTGCTGTGACTAGTGATGTAAGGAGGTTCATGCCCTAAAACCGAGGGGTTGCTGTCTGTCTCCTCTGTCTGTTCTATTATAATCAATCCATTGACTGACTGGTTTTGATTTTACTGCAAGGATCGCTGAGCCTTAAGTCATAAGGAACTTTTAAAAAGGATTTGATTCAGAATATCAAGTTATCAGTTTGATTTGTCTTGCAAACCTGTGCGGTTTAGCATTGTGTGTGCCCTCTGCTCTTTTGTTTGTCTGAGAAGCTGTGGCTCAATGCTAAGCATAGACAAGTGTTGCTAACCCTGCACTGGTGCCAATACTGTATGTTGTATGTATGACACTATTTAAGGATATTGCTTTGTTTCACCTTCTATTTAAAGCTGGTTCATCTGCAGATTTAAACACAGGTGTAAATGCACCTAAAATACATAAAGAATGGGAGTGTGAATGAGATTAGATCACATTAGAGCACGAAATGTTACCACATAGTGTAGTGTTAACATAAATGTGAATTGAAGGCCCACCTAGTCAACTTTAACAACTCCAAAGTATTTGCAAGTTTCCCAACCATTAAATCAAATAGGAGTCACAAATTGTCACTTGAAACTCATTAGAGATGCATGCTAATTACGTGTGTGAACTACAATCCACCTGAATCAAGGCACAAACTGGAAACATCTGGATGTAACAACAGTGTCCTTGGGCGTCTCCACAGCTGACCTGTTTGGTTTTATTGAGAAGAACCCTGATGTGATTGCTTTATTAATGAAGTTTGTTACCTCTAATAGCTGCAAATGCTGCCAGGCAAACTGCAGCGTAGACCCAAACAACAACTGATTTGTTTTGTGATACTGCTTTGTTATTCATAATAGATTTGTGTTCATAGCCAACTGTTTGTTCATTTGCTCTATAAAGATAAAGACAAAAAGCCTTTGAGTGCACTTACATGTAACTTTATTTACCAGGAAAAGGCCACACTGAGATTCAAAATCTCTCTTACAGGAGTGTCCTGGCCAGAATAAACTCTGAAATAAGCATTTGAAAATGTTACAATGCAGGGTCTGAACCACCGTCATGATGTAGAAATACAATATGTTAGTAATCTTGCCATAACTCCACATGTTTACATGTGTGGAGTCATTTTTGATAAGACAAAATTGTGTTAAAAAACTTCAAATAAATATAAAATAGGATTTTCTTCTCACGCCTGGAGCCAAACTGCAGATGTGAACACATCCATAGAGACCTTCTTGCCCTCCAAGACTAATGGACACTATGATTGCTGAATGAAAAGGGGAAATGAACTGATGCATGTAAAAAAAAAAAAAGAAAGAAAAAAAAACTTTTAGAGAATACACATTTTGACCACAGTTGTTTTTTTTTGTATAACAAGGGATACAAATTAAAGAGTTTAATTAATTAGTGCTTATATTCAGAAGCATTCAGTCTAAATTATTCACACAAATATATTGCAATAGTTTTGAAATAGTTTAAAGAAATCTTAATTACTCATCCCTTTTTATACACTATAAAAACACATTATTTTATCCTTTTAAATGTTTCCATTGAGATGGAGTCTGTTAATCTTCCACTGTTTTTTGTCTCCCCAACAGTTACCACTTATGCTAACTCCTATATGTATGTATCCCACCCTAATAGCTGAAGTACAAGGAGAAGTTTGACAAGGAGATGAAAGGAAAGAAACCACAATATGACCTGAAGGAGAGTAAGATTTACCAGACTTTGAAGGATGCCAGTGTGCTGGCTAGTGAGGTAGGTGCTCACATGGCCTCATTCTGTCAACCGCCTTTCAAGACACAGATTAGGCTACACAGATACAGGATGATTATTACACAGATAAGAGGTAGTGTGCTGTTTGGAGACATTTTCCTACTTCAAATTCATAGATGCCTTCTAATGTCTCTGCATGCACTTAAAGTTTGCTGAGTTGTTAGAGTAGCATAGCTTCAGGCGTCCCGATATTCCTAATGGTTAAGGTGCATACTAAACAAATGTTCATGGCTAAGGTCTGTCTAATCTTACCATTCAGCATAAAGCACCTTCAAAATCTATGCAGCTCTGTCTCAAAGTGTTAATATTAATTCCCCCGAAACCTTACCATTTATTGAAGGCTCTATTATTTATTTTTTCTGTAGTTTTTGTTCAGTGTATCTATTAGAAACAGGGTCACAATGTTTTTTCTGTTTATGTCATAAAGGTTAATTCCAAATCTATCAAAAACCCTCATTAATAATCTGAGGAAATTACCATTATCAGTTACAAAGATCACCCACTGTGTATGTTAATTTGTAATTATGAGTATGTCTGCTAACGACACCTGCAGGTTAAGTACAAGGGTGACCTGAAGAAGATCCACAAGCCTGTGACTGACATGGCTGAGTCTTTGTCCATGCAGCACAACCTGAGCACCAGCAAACTGTCTAGCAATGTAAGACATCATCCTTTAACCATCTTACATTCCCACCCAGGAAGCCGCTGAGAGTCAGATCAGTTTCAGTGCAATCTCTGTGCAATCTCTGTGATTTGTATTGAAATGTGTCTGAACTCAGTGTTCCCGTCACCCCATGTACCACAGTAACAATCAACATGCTGCAGATTATTGACCATCTCATGGATTTATGCACTAAACTCCATCATTCACACCATTATTCTGTGACCTCATCTGGTAGTGATCCTTACCCTTCTTGACCTTTTGACCTTTGATCTTCCCATACAGTCACCTTCTTTAACCTCTACTCCTTCACTCTTTCAGTTTGATTTACTTCCTCCTGTAGTTTATACAAACCTAGTATTTTATTAATGATCGCTTAACACAAAACTCCCTGTTTCTCCTTTAATTCTACATAGTTTTTCACACAATTATTAACTACCATTTTTAATTTTCACTCATTGTTTCGTTAGCATGTCATATTTCTTGACATTGCTAAGAGCTGTTTTAAAAAAAAAAAAAAAGAAAAGAAAAGTTACTAATTTTGTTTCTGTCATAAAACATGAGGCTTTTTTTGTACTATGTAATGGATGGGAGTAAACTCCAGGCGCTCATTTTCTCGTTTGCTGTACTGAGCTGTCTTACTTGCTTGGGAATTCCCCCGTAGTACCGCTACAAGAAGAAATTTGAGGAGAGTAAGGGTCACTACCATATGATTCCTGACACACCAGAGCAGCTCCATCACAAGGAGGCCTCTGAACTTCAGAGCAATGTAAGTGGTACAGACTCTGGGGGTCAACAAACACTCCGCCCACCCAAAAACACTGTGTGAATGAGATATTTGCATATCACATCTTCATTTCCTGCACTGACAGGATGGTGATGTTGCATTCATTTGTTAATAATTTAAGTTGGGGACAAAATAACACTCATTTGGGTGTTGAACTAACTTTAAGCCTACTCTGGTACAATTCATCAAATTGTAACATTTATGTTTAATATTGTACATGACTCCTTCCAAAATAAATAAATAAAAGATGTCAAATGTCAAAATTATTTCACAATTTAAAAACAAAAACTGCCAAAGATTTAACTGACAGAATCTTTTTAGAAATATTAATTTATACATACCTCAAACACGTCTTACAATTTTTCTATTTGATTTTCCAAGCGTACTGAAATGAACAGCAACCGGAATATAATGTACCTGTCCAACGAAGGTTAAAATCAAGGGCAACTGGACTTGGTTGAAGATACTGGAAGACGTTTCGTCCCTCATCCAAAGGACTTCTTCAGTTCTGACTGACTGGCGAACGAGTGTCCTCTGTCCTTCAGATGTAAGTAGACTGCAGAGTCTTGACCTGAGGAGTTGGCCCTTCTGTGTTGAGCCATGCGTTTGCACAAACGTTCGTTTGAGGACCACCAGGTGCACATTTTAGACAGAGAAGATGGATGGTTTGAAAGAGGTGTCAAGGAAGCCATCTACACCAGGGTTGAGAAGCCGTCATTGAACAGGGGAGGGGGTCTACACCACCACTTATCCCCCACTTACAATGCTGTCCTTTCATCACTTCCCAGGAAACTCAACAAACGTAACCTATTGGCCTCAGGTGAAGATACCAACGATGGTCGTTCAGTCTTGGCCACAGGTAGTCTTAACGACTGTAACGACTATCGTCACAGCAACAAGGAACACTAACGAACCAGCGGTATCGATGACCCGGGCCAACGACCCCACTGAGGTTAAATAGCTGAGTTTCCCTGCCAGTCAGTCAGAACTGAAGAAGTCCTTTGGATGAGGGACGAAACGTCTTCCAGTATCTTCAACCAAGTCCAGTTGCCCTTGATTTTAACCTTCGTTGGATAACTATGACCTGGATGACTGAGAATCTTCATAGACATAATGTACCTGCTACTGTCTGTTGAATACAGTTGACAATACATTTGTGTGGGCTGTTCCAGGTGAAATACAAGGAGAAGTATGAGAAGGAGAAGGGCAAGGCTATGCTGGACTTCGAGACACCCACATATGTGACTGCTAAGGAGGCCCAGCACATGCAGAGCCAGGTAAATACCCTGTCTGTCTCCTCTGTCTCCTCTCTTTTGAAATGGCTTCAGATGCAATTCACTTTCCATGACCTGCCTCTCTCTCAGTCTGAAGATTCTTCAGTGCCTGCTATATATTAACCTGTATTGTAATGCCTTATGTGGTATTTTGATATGCTTGTAGGATGTCCGGGTATTGTTAATATTGGACTTGGAAAAACCTTTTTGCAGTGCCTTTAATACCTTTAAATCAAGACATGTGTTTCAGTGCGTGTTAGTTGAAATATGTTGTGAGTTGTTGATTACAATTCGGATCACAGGAAATTGTCCCTTGCACTAGTGGTCCTTCAATGTTTTCTATTCTGAACTAGCTGGTAGAAGGCAGTGTAAAATGTGTTGAAATTAAACTTACCCAATGCCTTGCGTATTGTTGTTCCCTAATACTGTGTATATAGACTGCTTAATCTTACTCTCATGATGCAGGGATGGTAAAGGTAAAGTATGTCTCAGTCTATGAACATTTTTATGGAGAAACACAATACATTTATTTTGATTATCATTATTACCGTGACAAACCCCAGACTCCCTACATTACAGTTGCTTCCGTTCTCTTACACTTCACAAATGCACTCATGCACATGCAGAAATAATCACATTTAAAGGCTGCAGATACAGGAACGGGTGTAATTGTAAGGCGAATGGTGCAATCTGGGATGAGGTAACTGCATTGTGAACCAGCACTGCTTGCATGGTGTTATCTGAGCTGAGTCTGTCCCATGTCTTATCTTTGCGGGCAATAGAAAGACTATAAGAAGGACTTTGAGGACCACATGAGGGGCAAGAACCTCTCAGGCTTGGAGGTCACCCCTGCCATGATACATGTCAGACACGCCACCAAAATAGCCAGTGAGGTAACTAAAGGATAGTTTATACCTGACAACCTCCCCTATTTACCTCACCTATGCTTTATAATCCTACTAAGACTACATGACAAGTACAGTCCCTCTTTCTTTTCACCACTTTCTTTTAATCCCACAAGTGTGTCCTTTTGTCTTTACTTCTTATAGGTCCACCCATGCAATAAAATGTTTGTTTGTTCGCATGATTCACTACACAGCTATAAACTATTAATAATACTACATTCATCCATCTCCTTCTCTCTATCCATTGCATGACTTTTAGCAAAGTAGTTGTTTGTATGTTATTTATATCTGTGTCCGTTGACATCTTGGACTCATAATTTCACAATCACGGCTTTTTGTTAAAAAGTCTGCTTGCCTGCATTCATTTGAATGATGCCGCAATGTTTTTAAGGTGAATTGCTGACTGAATTGTTTTGTTGATATTGTTGTTATTTCTTTCTGTTTCCACGCTCTGATAAAATGTGGTTCTCCTAGTCTTTTATCAGGATTGTTGCCAAAGTCACCAACGTCTCTGATCTCTCTGTAAAAATGTGACTGATTGTAACAGTCTTCACAGTTGTATACCTAAACTCTGAATCTTTCCCTGTTTAAGTTTATTTAATTTTTTGGAAGCTTTGGTGACTTTGAGCTCAAAGGGCAAGCCACAGAGTTTGCCCACTGTGCTACTGTCTGTCTGTACGCCTTGGCCTGGCCTGCCTGTGTGCCCTTCTCTGCAGTCTCTCTGTTCTTCTTCCATCCTGTAGAGAGAGTACAGGAGGGATCTAGAAGAGGGAGTGAAGGGTAAAGGGCTAACTGTACTGGAGGAAACTCCGGAGCTTTTGAGAGCAAGGAATGCCACTCAAATCCTGTGTGAGGTACGACTGACTGAGAGCTGATGGAAACAGCATCACGCTCTCAACCGAGGGCCTTCCCACAATCCTGCTCTTGGTGCATCACCTGCTGAATCCCATCCCCTTAACTAAGCTTCATCTTCATACTAAAAGGGCACCTGCTGAGTTTGACTCTTGTCCCCGCTTGATGACGTCACTAATTTTCCAGCACTCTCCTTTCTCTGATGTCTATAAAGTGTTCTCATAAGCATAACTTGACCTTTACCCTATTTGATTTTCCTGTGATTTTGTCTTTTCTTTCATTCTTTCTTTCTTTAATGTCAGATAAATATTCAAAAAATCAACCTCAAATTCAGATATTTTGATGAAACATGTTGCATTATTTTTTCTACAGGATTGTATTTTTTACTTTAGTTTATTGTTCGATTGTTTATATTACAGCGCATTTAGACAGGCAGCCGTAGCCCATCTACAATACAGAAGGACCAAGAAAAAAAGGCTTAATGCTGTGGTCAAGATGGCATCAAAGCTGCGTACAAAACGTCACTCATTAAATTCTAATTTAATTCATTTCGTTGTCAAGATATGCTGTGAGGCTGATTTTTTGGAGTGCACGATAGACGTAGCACTATAAAGCAGTTGATATTTTAATAAACTGCAGTAATAGAATATTAAGAGAAAACAGGTTTACTGAAAATGTCTAATTTTGCTTTAACACACTGTCTTTAACTACTGCTGTTTTTCAGTTTTAAGTGGAGCTTCACACACAACCTGCTGGAAAAAAATCCTAATTTCTTCTAAGCTTTATTCACCATTCCCCTAGATGTTTCCCTCGGTGTTTTGGTATTGCAGCCCCACCTCCACCCCTCCCCCCACCCTTATGAATGAGTAGAAATCCTGTTATTTATAGTAATCTGACAGTCATGTCTGCTTTCATCAACTACAGTGATTTAATACACTTTCTCACCTGTAATATTTACAGAGAGAGTACAAGAAGTCGCTGGAGCAGGAGATCAAGGGCAAGGGAATGTTGGCTTTGGCTACAGACACCCCCGACTTCATGAGGGCCAGGAATGCTACTGACATCCTCAGTCAGGTCTGAATCACATTGATTCTGATTTTTTGCTCTCAGCAGACGTGGTGGGAAATATATAGATGATTCATACATGCATATAATCTGGACCAATTCTGGCATATTTTGCAGTCATGCTGACTGTTTTCTGTTCTTTAGACTAAGTACAAGCATACCGCCGAGATGGACAGGGCCAGCTACACAACTGTCATCGACACCCCAGACATCATCCATGCTCAGCAGATGAGGAACATTGTCAGCCAGGTAGATTACCATAAAGTTTCATTCAGAAAATATCTCCTTCTAGGTTGCTTACCTGTGCATCTGGAGGTACTGGTACCTCTTGGGAAGTTCATATCCTTGATTACAGAGGTTTTTAAAGATGAATGTAACTGTTTTTGAATAAAATGGCTTTATATTGATGTATTTAACTGCTTATAGAAGTTTGAATGTACTGGTTTGATAGTGGGTTGCGACTGTTGCATTTGTATATAGGGAAAAGGCTAAATGTTTTGATTGTATTTTATTGTTTTATATTTGTACTGTATGACTTGCTGTCCTGCTTCCTTTCTTGGCCAGGGCACCCTTGAAAAAGAGATTTTATCAAAATGCATTTTTTCCCCTGGTTAAATAAAGGTTAAATTAAAATAATCTGGAGACATCTCACAACAATTACCTGAGGAGTTATAAAATACTGTATAAATATATTTTAAAGTGTTTAATGTAATCCTGCTGTTTGCATTTTTGTCTAAAAGAAAAAGTACAGAGAGGAGGCTGAGAAGACCATGTCTCACTATGTACCTGTCCTGGACACTCCAGAGATGCAGAGAGTCCGTGAGAACCAAAAGAACTTCAGCACTGTAAGTAATAAATGTAAATGATGAATTATGCTGCTTCTTACTAGAGCAACATGTCTTTGACCGTTGTAGGAGTTATAGTATGAAGTCAGTTCTTCCAGTGTCTGGTGGCTCTGTATATGTCTCCATGTCTGCTGTAAAGTATTGTATTCAATACTTTATACTATTTTGTTGGTGTTCTCTGATTCAATTGAATCCAGCTGTAAATTATGTGTTTCAAAGCAGTATAGTATGTTTTACTCAGGCATTTATGTGAAAATTGCTTTCAAGCTAATCCTGACCAGAAACTAAGGTAATTTTTTTTGTTCAAATGAACTAGTAGTTTCTGCACTGGTTTGCTTCTTTTTTATTTTACCTCTTTATCATTGTGAAACATTTTAACTGCACTTTTGTTTTTCTCCCTGTAGCTTCAATACCAGATTGACCTTAAAAACATAAAGGGCAAAGTGTCTTCTGTACAGGACACTCCTGAAATGCTTCGTGTTAAAGAGAATACAAAGAATTTCAGCTTGGTATCTACTCCATAATATATATATTTTTAGTGTTTTCTAATAACACATTTTTTCTGTTTTTCTTAATTTTTTTTAACTTTCTTTCCTCATCTTTAACACTCCCTGAAATGCAGCCCTTATTTCTTTGGACCAAACAGATATTTTTTAACCTTGTAAAATAAGCAGCATTTTAATTCACGCAACTAACACATGACATTTTGTTGTATAGTGTACCATTTACACTTATTAGTGCAGAGCTTGTGTGTTGTTAAATACTATGTTCACAGCACCATGTAGTTGTGGAAGTGTCCAGACAAAATGTGTCCCTTTAAATGTTGATTCATGTTTGTTTCATTCAGTGTGTTTTTGTTGATGTGTCTCCAACACTAAATCAAGGATAGTTTGAAAATGAAATCAAGCTCCTAGTCCTCCATTATCCTGGAGTTGAAATCAAGCTAACCACTGGTTGCTGCTTTCATTCCTCCTCCATGTAAAGATTCAGTACAAAGAGGATTTGGGAGGAGGAACAGCTTTGCCCAAGACCCCAGAGATGGAGAGAGTTAAACGCAATCAGCAGAACATTAGCACGGTACTCCACAGAGTGACCCTGCCCTCCTTCATCTCCTCCTCAACCAGTCTTCCCTCCATATTCCCTCCTCATCTAGTGTTCCAGAATATAACCAGACTTTACTTGACATGTAATCTCTTGAAATGGCCATTTTCAATCCAACTTTTTACAGAGATTTTTTCATGCTATTATTTTACTTTTTTGTTTATTCAAATTTAATTTACTAATTATAGGACTTTACGGAGCCCTCAAAGGCCCCAAACGTTTTTACCTGTGGATACACATAGATATTTGATGAGATTGTTTGTACAATACACTAAATGGCCAAAAGTATGTGGACATACCCCATCTGGGTCCATAGAGAAATGGTTTTCACAGTTTGGTGTGGAAGAACTTGAATGGCCTGCACAGAGACCTGAACTAAACCCCATCCAGCACCTTTGGGATGGACTGGAAGTCAGGCCTCATCACCCAACATCAGTAGCTGACCTCACTAATGCTTTTGTGGCTGAGTGGGAGCAAATCCCTGCAGCCACAAGATTGGAGGCTGTTATAGTCGCACATAAATATTCAAGCTCTACAAAGTGTAATGTGTAATTTAGGGTGTCCACATACTTTTGGCAATATAGTGTACATGGCTCTTGTTTCTACTATAAAATAAATTGGTCACTCAAGTTAACATCTTCATTATCTATTGGGACTTTGAGGGCTCTGTAGGACTTTTTTTCTCATGATAAGTTATTATATCTAAACCCTGAAATAATAAACTAAATGAAGTATCGTACATTTTAAAGCAGAAAGTGCAAATCTCCCAACTTTACTTATAGCCAACAAACCCAACTACTAATGTGTGATAATGTGTTATTGTCAGTTGTTCCAAAGTGTGTGCTGTTGTTATGAATGGATGGACGTGTCTGTGTCTATTGTACATACTGGGCTCTTGTTTGTCCCTGTCTTACTCTGTATCTGTGTAACTTATGCAATGGGCAGATACAGTACAAGGATTCTGTGGGTCAAGGCACAGCCATACCAGATCTCCCTGAGGTGAAGCGGGTCCGTGAAACCCAGAAGAATATCAGCTTGGTAGAGGATAAGGACCCTTATCTTATTCCCTTATAATCATTTCCCAAAACGTCCTCTGACCTCTCCTACTTTTTTAAGTCTAGAAAACATTACCTTCCATGTTTTTAGTTTTGGTTTTCCCTCCTCCATCCTAACTATGTTTCATAAATCACTCGTTTTTACCAGCCTTGGTTGATGACTTGATTTTGAATTCACATTTACACAAAACCATAATTGCCATTTATTCTTTTCTTAAATTAGTCTGCATTTCCCTGGATTTTTTATTTTAATTTCTTATTTTTGGCATGCCCTTTCCTCCTAAATTTTAAACTAATCTGCCTTTGAGTGTGTTACCACCATATTTGACTTTTTTGTGCTGTCTCATTTAAAGCTTCAATACAAAGCAGAAGTGGGACAAGGCACGTCAGTATCAGAGACCCCAGAGATGGAGAGAGTTAAACGCAATCAGCAGAACATTAGCACGGTACTCCACAGAGTGACCCTGCCCTCCTTCATTTCCTCAGCCAGTCTTCCCTCCATATTCCCTCCCTATCTAGTGTCCGAGAATATAGCCAGACCTTACTTGACATGTAATCTCTTCAGATGGCCATTTTCAATCCAATTTTTTACATAGATTTTTTCTTGCTTATTATGTTACTTTTTAGTTTATTTTACATTTTAAAAATTAAATTGTAGGATTTTACAGAGCTCCTAAAGGCCCAAAATGTTTTTTTGTTAACTTGTTGAAACACATGCACTTCTTTGCCCACCCAATTTGATGTTGGCGAGATAATAACTTGTTCTCACAATATGCTAAATGGCCAAAAGTATGTGGACACCCTGCTAGGTCCATAAAGTAATGGCTTTCCCCGTTTGGTGTGGAAAAAATTCACTGGCCTGAACAGAGACCTGAGCGCAAGGCCTGACTTGCATTCAGCATTCCATTTCATCCGAAAGGTTTTGGATGGGGTCATCACCCAACATCAGTAGCTGACCTCACTAATGCTTTTGTGGCTGAGTGGGAGCAAATTCCTGCAGCCACAAGATTGGAGGCTGTTATAGTCGCACATAAATATTCAAGCTCTACAATGTATGTGTGTAATGTTAGGGTGTCCACATACTTTTGGCAATATAGTGTACATGGCTCTTGTTTCTACTATAAAATAAATTGGTCACTCAAGTTAACATCTTCATTATCTATTGGGACTTTGAGGGCTCTGTAGGACTTTTTTTCTCATGATAAGTTATTATATCTAAACCCTGAAATAATAAACTAAATGAAGTATCGTACATTTTAAAGCAGAAAGTGCAAATCTCCCAACTTTACTTATAGCCAACAAACCCAACTACTAATGTGTGATAATGTGTTATTGTCAGTTGTTCCAAAGTATGTGCTGTTGTTATGAATGGATGGACGTGTCTGTGTCTATTGTACATACTGGGCTCTTGTTTGTCCCTGTCTTACTCTGTATCTGTGTAACTTATGCAATGGGCAGATACAGTACAAGGATTCTGTGGGTCAAGGCACAGCCATACCAGATCTCCCTGAGGTGAAGCGGGTCCGTGAAACCCAGAAGAATATCAGCTTGGTAGAGGATAAGGACCCTTATCTTATTCCCTTATAATAATTTCCCAAAACATCCTCTGACCTCTCCTACTTTTTTAAGTCTAGAAAACATTACCCTCCATGTTTTTAGTTTTGGTTTTCCCTCCTCCATCCTAACTATGTTTCATAAATCACTCGTTTTTACCAGCCTTGGTTGATGACTTGATTTTTAATTCACATTTACACAAAATCATAATTGACATTTATTCTTTTCTTAAATTAGTCTGCATTTCCCTGGATTTTTTATTTTAATTTCTTATTTTTGGCATTTCCTTCCCTCCTAAATTTTAAACTAATCTGCCTTTGAGTGTGTTACCACCATATTTGACTTTTTTGTGCTGTCTCATTTAAAGCTTCAATACAAAGCAGAAGTGGGACAAGGCACGTCAGTATCAGAGACCCCAGAGATGGAGAGAGTTAAACGCAATCAGCACAATATTAGCACGGTACTCCACAGAGTGACCCTGTAACCTCATGTGCTGTACATTCATTTGCCTCCATCCGCCCGTCTACCTCACTCTTCATCTCCTACAAACACACTGTCATAACCTCTTTCCTGAGCCTTCACCACGCGTTTAGTGGTGTTATGGTAACTGTTAATGCTTGTCACATCAAACCAACTATGCAGATATAACACCAATGAGCCTCGTGGGGTCAGCTAAACCCCACTGTGTCTCTAACACAACTTGCTTCTTCATTTCTCAGGTGTGTTTAATTCCATGTTTCGTGTCTGCTGTGATTTTTGGTGATGTGCTCTCTATGTCCTGCAATTGTCTCTGATTGATCTGCTCTTTATTTTTTCCTTCACTGTCTCTGCATTAAACCTCAACTGTGTGTTGGGTAGATAAAATACAAGGACTCTTTGGGTCGAGGCACAGCTATACCGGACCTCCCTGAAGTAAAGCGGGTGAAACAAACCCAGAAGCACATCAGCTCGGTAGTGGAACAAAACTGAACTCCTAACTGTTGAGAGTGGACAGTAGTGCCCATCAATAATGCCCATCATAAACATGTCTGCTACTTCCCCTGCCTCCTTCCATCTAGTTTCCTGAGCTCCAGCCCTGCAATCATTATCATTCTCATCCGCGCATTTCTTTTTTTCTTTTCTCCTCTCACCCCTTCAAATCATCTTTAATACTCAACCATCAACCCCCCCAAGCTGAGTGAACCCCACACCCCCTTTCATACAGTATTTTCTAACCCGCAGCCCACACATAAAGCTGCTGCGTGCTGCTTAATTAATTTCTACTTCACAGCAAATGACAAGCTAGATCTCCTGCTGAAGCGTTCGTGCGTGTGTGCGTGCGTGCGTGCGTGTGTGCGTGCGTGCGTGTACGTGTGCGTGTGTTTCCATATGTTTGTTTCTATAACTGATATCCTGGCTGTTTGACAGGAGCTGCCAGGATGAGTCACTATAGGACCAATTTCTGAGACACTGCTTAAATATATTCCTAAATGCAACAAATGTCACATCACCTGAAAGCAAATATTTCCCTGAGATATATTAATGTTTCCTGAAAACTGCTTTGTCTGTATCTTCTGTCTAAGATTTGAGGTTAATCCAGGTCTATGAAACCAGTCCTATAGGTGTGTGGTCTGTGTATGGTTCAGAGTGTCTGATTGGCCCCTTGGGGCACTGTGCTTCTGTCCTGTAGGTGTTGTATAAAGACAGTTCAGCCAAGGGAACTCCTGTGGTGTTCACTCCAGAAATGGAGCGAGTCAAAAGGAACCAAGAAAACATTAGCTCGGTACCTTCAGAACCACCGCAAGAACATATTCTATTGAAGAAATATTCTTCTACCCCATGTTAACCTTTCCTAACCGACTTGTCTCCCAGCTCTAGTTAATTTTATTAAATCTCCCCACTGCACTCTCTATTTAATTGTGTTTAATACTAGCAGCTGTGGTGTGTCTGTGCACATCATCACCGCTAACCTCTCCCGTTGTTGAAACTACTCCACTTCATCTTGTTTCCCTGCCGTCGTCCCACTGAAGATTGGGACATAAATCTTGTTTGATTTAATACTTTAACCTCTTAATAAAAATATCCCTGCTAATTCATTCGTCTGAAATCCCAATAATACGTGTGTGTCTTCTTCTCGTGTGTTAACGGCTACTGTTTGATAACTTCAGGTTTGAAACTTTTCAGATGCTCACTGTGTGTCCTCTCTTCCTCCACCTTCCACCAGGTGCTGTACTCTGACAGTTTCCGTAAACAGGTTCAGGGCAAGGCCGCCTTCGTTCTGGACACACCTGAGATGAGGCGAGTCAGGGAGACCCAGCGCATCATTTCTGGAGTAAGACCTTGTGGTTGTTTGTTTAATTGTGTTTATGCACCTTAAGTTTTATTTCTACCCCAGTAGTTTACTTTTCTACTAAAGTACTTCTCTAGTTAAAGTGTAAGGCTGGTGTTTGTTATTCTTTACTTTTCTTGTCAACAAATCCCATGAAAAGACCAGAACCAACAATGTGTCTGTCCCTACCCTGTAGGTCTCAGCCCCAAGCTGATTTCTTCCCACTGAAGATAAAAAAAAAATAGGTCATGAATATAAACATTTATTTTCATAAAAGGCTCAGTAATTTTCTAAAACAGATTTTAGATATTTCAGATAGATTTTTAGAAAAACGTTACTCAAACAGGAGTAAATAGTGCATTTATTGAGGACTATTTTCAACGGAGGGTTAATACACATTTTGGGCTCTAGTGGGTATTTATGGCAGCAGGACCGTGTATGTTAAACTGAGCTGGTGTGACTTATTGTTTTTGGAGCTCTGGCACGGAGAAATAAGCTATGTCAGGCTTTGGCTACTCAGACAATACTTTTTTGGGGGGGTCTTTTAATGGGATTTGTTGACAGGAAGAAAAATTTAGAATATTCCCAGAGTGTACTGCATCCTAAAATATCCCAAAACACCACAATAAGGGGGATTATTTAAGGGCATTCTCTTTTGAAGTCACAGAGATGTGCATATTTCTAGAGTGGTCATTACATGTATAAACTGTGGTTACACTTACTGTGGTTGTGATTGGTGCTTTCCAGGTGAGATATCATGAGGACTTTGAGAAGAGCAAGGGCAGCTTCACTCCCACCACCTCTGACCCGGTGACAGAGCGCGTGAAGAAGAACACCCAGGACTTTAGTGACATTAACTACCGTGGCATCCAGAGACGTGTGGTGGAGATGGAGAGAAGACGTGCCATTGAGCATGACCAGGAGACCATCACTGGTATAGCTACAAGCATGCAGTCATTACTTTCATTACTTGGTGTGTTGAAAACTAAAGAAATGGACATTAAAGTTCTACTAAACAAAATTTGAACTGAAGAAATCCAAATCTCCGCATTGAAAGGCAGTTTATATTCTTTAAGAACTAAATGAAAATACTCCGCATTGTTTGAAAAACTGGCTCATGGAGGTCCTATTACTTGATAAAAGCAAATTAAATACAATCAATAAATACAATTAAATACCATCAATCCAGATTCCTCAGACGTTTCTAACCATCTGGAAAAAAATATTTCTACACGATGAAATAGATTTTTAACCCACTTCCCAAGTTGCAACTCTATTCCCTAATCCAAATAAGAATGGTTAGTAATACTTGTCTATATTTTAAATAGGAAGTCACAACTTGGGAACCAGGTTGAAAATCTTAATTGTGCAAATATTTTTTAAGGAGAACCATTGAGGATCCTGGAAATACTTTCTAAACAGCTGTATATGCTGGAAGATTTTCATTAGATTTTTCAAAGATCAAGGGTTGATCCACCAGATACTCCAGCTCTATGACTCAAATGCTAGTACATGAGAGGCACAAACGGGGGCAAATTTTAGACACAGACTGAGATGAATTAGAAATTGACCAATCCTGTATTTGCCCTCAGATCTGCGTGTGTGGCGCACAAACCCCGGCTCTGTGTTTGACTACGACCCTGCTGAGGACAACATCCAGTCGAGGAGTCTGCACATGATGTCAGGTGAGATGAGAAGCTCATAGGTCTGAAGAAGTTTTGCATATTTAGTTTGTCCTCATTTTCCCAAATGATTGTAAGATATTGGCCGGAGGCTGAAGAATGGGCTCAGTATGCTTTATAGCAATCTGCCCGTTATGCTCCAATGTTTAAACAAAGACAAATAAATGAATAGAAATCTGACCATTAGTTTTTGAGTTACCTTGTCCAAACTATTAAAATAAAACTAATAAAATTTTACACCGCATTTAGCAATTATAAGCAGTTATTTATTTTTATTTATTTTATTTTATTGTTTATTTGAAAAGGGACAATGTAGACTGATCAACATTCAAAGCAAAGAGTAAGTGCACCCGAGTTAGCCACAGGCTAGTTTTCATCGGCAGTCCCCTTGCCAGGTGTTATTGGGCATCCTAAAATAGTAAACTGTTATAATACAATAAAATACATTATACAATTAACTTACACTGTGTAAAAAAATCATAAACAATCGAGTAAACAAGATGAGCAGATAAATGCTTGATAAAGTATAATATAGCTGAATGTAAATTACTCACATGGACAAATCTTAGAGTTTGTTTTACAACATTTATTAATTGTACGTTCAAATCATTCACAGGAGATCTTAAAACTGTTTATAAATGAGTTAAAAAAAATCACAAGGATATATTATTAAATAAGAATACATCTATGGCATATTATACAACCAGGGCACGGCAACTTGCTGGCCCCCAGCTCTTTAGGGCAGTCTGAGAAACCAGACTGAATCAACAAAAAGAATCATCCATGTGTTAAATTAAACAGATTTGTAGCAGCTATAGCTCGTATGATGCAAATGTTACATCTGATAATATGACTGGGTTTTACATAAAGTCTTAAAGAACCATTTGTATCTTACCGCTGACAGTGCAAGCTCAGCGTCGCAGCAAGGAGCACTCCCGCTCCACCAGCGCTTTGAGTGGCATGGCTGATGAAAAGTCTGAAGTGTCCCAGGACGCTGACCCCCACATGTCTCTCTATAGCAACGGCTTCATGGCCTCCTCTGTTGGTAATGATCCCGAGTCTCCACAACAAACTTCAACATGATGTATTATATTGGCGTGTCAGGATATTTACTAAGTATGCGGGGTTTAGCATCTACACACTGCAGTGTAATTGTATTAATAATAAGACTGTGCCTTGTTGTTGGGTCTGTTGTTTCTTTTTTAATCTCTGCAGGCTACCAGCATGCTAAGACGGTGGAGGTACAGCAGAGGTCATCATCAGTAGCCACCCAGCAGACCACAGTCTCCTCCGTCCCCTCACACCCCTCTACCACCGGGGTTAGTGACACACATTCACTTTACACGCACTGCACAAGCCGGTACGGAGGCGTAAAGAGTAACTGAACTGCCCCTGAAAGTCTGACCTCCACTGGGTCAACTTCTCACCTCGCTGCAGTGATGCACAGGTGTTCTCCGGGATCCCGTGACTTCACTGTTGGGTGTCATTAGAGGTGCAACAAAGCACGCTTCTTCTGACCACACCTAACCACATCCATCAGTGATGCTGAGTGTGGTCACAGGTGAAACTGGAAACTTCTAGCCACAGCGGGCAGTGAAACTAAGACTTTCAGCCTGCTGTTAAGTTTTCTGTCTCAAACTTGAAGCAAAGTTCACACTAAACTATCTGCATGCCATCCTCAAATCTTCTATTGGAAAAGGAACTTTATGTTGTCATACAGTTGTGACTTGCACCACGTTTTCTTGTGTTATTACACACTTCCATCCATTTTGCGGTATTTTACCACCTCATATAGTAGCCTTTGTATGTTCAGATTATGAAATCCCTCCTAGCAGCGTGACTCAACCTTATCCTTTAAACTCTCGCACTCACCCAACCCTTCCTATACTCCCGAGTGACTCCTTTCCTTTATTCTCTGCAGAAAACTGTGCGTGCCATGTATGACTACGCTGCAGCCGACAGCGACGAGGTGTCCTTCAAGGACGGCGACGTCATCGTTAACGTGCAGTCCATTGACGAGGGATGGATGTACGGCACCGTGCAGCGCACCGGCAAGACCGGCATGCTGCCAGCCAACTACGTTGAAGCAGTTTAAAGCCCGCCCATCGTCCCTCCGGAATGGGCGAGACACATCCACAGGGCAAACTGATTGGTCTTCCTGTGATCACAAATGTGGCTTAGTGCAATGTGTATCTTTTAGTTTCTTGTAGCTCTGTAACTTTATTTTAATTGTGTTGTAATTCTCGTTAGTAAGTCTGTTATCATTCATATGCTGCTGCCCCTGTTGCCTGTGGATGTGACATAAGCATCTTAACATAACACATATAAATATTTCTGATTATACATACTATGGCTACTATGAATGACAGACTATTTTAGGTTGTTTAAAGAAAAGCAAGACTAACTAACATACGTTCTGTCCCACTATTTTGTAAAGTTCACAAAATATGTATGATTATATTAAAAACAATTGTCCGAGTTATACTGAGAGAGGATTTTCTCATAAAAGCAATGAGCTCAAATAGTTCCAGTTATGCCTTTAATGGAAATTCTATGGAGAGCAAAAGGGAAATTATTAAAATAATGAAACTTATAAGGAGTCAGTTACCATCTACCTCCTCTATGAATAAGCCACTCCTGCAGAGTTGTATGAGACAAGCCTCAGTCTTCCCTCCTTTATACTGAAGGCTGGCCACTAGTAGAATGTGTGACTTGTTTCTTCCGATTATTTAGGTCCAGGTAAGGCACGTCCTCTACCTTTAATCAGTAGCTAATAAAGCACACCAAGCTCCTGCAGCACTCCGCCTCCTTCTTTTCATTCTCAATTTTCACCTTTGGCAAAGTCTTTTTTTCTCTCCAAGTAGTCTTTATAGATTAGCTGCTGGATGGGTCTACTGTGTAGCATTTACAGAATAATAACCACGACAGGTTTCTCCAACCAAATACAGACACATTCATAGAGAGTGACAGAAACTGGGTTTTTAAAGCCAATATCAATATTTGAGAGTTAAAAAAAATCGTGTTCTACCCATTACATAGACATTTATTATGGTATTTTAATTTGATAAGAAATAAATCGTGTCCAAGATAAAAACTGAGTTTGGAATTTTACACTTGGAAAAAAACCCAGATAAACCCTCTGGTGGACAAACTATGTAAACTATGTAAAACCTCTGAGTTTACAGTACTGGTATGATATGGTTGAAGGTTTAGTTGGGAGATTTATACTACTGCCATACACACTGTTGACCAGTATTTAGATATTGTACTTAAGTTAAAGTAGCAAGACCATAGTGCAGAAATACCATGTTACAAGCATTCAAAATTTTACTCTACACATTATCATTATATAATTATCGATACATTAATATGTAAGTATCACTAATGTTGCAGTTGGTAAAGGTTCAGCTAATTTTAAATTACTGGTTATACTGCTTGGTAGCTTAATCCATAATAATCCATCATGATTTAGTAGTTGATTGTTGTTGAATATTTGTTATATTAATCTAAAAGTAACTAAAGCTGTCATAAATGTTTTGAAGTATCTGCCTCTAAAATTTAGAGCAGTAAAAGTATAAAGTACGAATAGCATATAATGAAAGTACCTCAAAATTGTTCTTAAGTACAGTACTTGAGTAAACATTACACCACAGCTGCAGAAATCTGCAGCTGTGGTGTAATGTGTAATGTTTCATCATTCAGTCTGACGACTGAATGATGAAATGAAAACTAAATGGGAATCCAGTCAGATCATCAGCCTTTGTTAACTAGAAGAGAAAGAAGTGACATCTTTAGGCAATATATATTTTATTAAAAGGACAATTCCAGCAGTGTTGTCTTTCTTTCGGTTTTAGATCACTGTAAATTTGAAAAAGTTTAAAAAATATCTTCGAAGTGCGTGCATGTGAAAACATCAATATTAAAGAAACAGAAGTTATGAAATCAAAAAAAAAAGGAACAGTGAATGCATGCTAGATTTGTCCTTAATGCTGCACCATTTCTTTGTAAGGATTATTGGTACAACTTTCTAATCAGGCACCCTTTATAAAATGGTTTTATACAGTTAAGTTATAACTTTGGGTTGCCAGGTCATCCGGTATTCATCCTCCTCCGGCTGGACTCTTGTTTGTCTTTTTAGCTCCTTAGTTCATGACCTAGATCTCTGACCTTATGGATCACTCACTCATTTATTAACAACTTATTTACATTTACAATTAAAGACTTTAAACCTTTATTATTGACTTAATTACATTTTTAATTGCTAACTTTGCTATCTTAATATAAAGTGAGGCACATTTAACTTTTATTAATTACACTATTATTGACTTGCTATGAATGACTCTCCAGAGATGTTTCGTGCTTTATTAACCTTATAAATACTTTATAAAGAGTGCCTTATTAGAAGGTAGTGACAGATTGTGTGTTCACAAAACAGTTGGACAGAAGGCAATAAAATCTCCAGGCCCCTAGCACAAAATGACCATATCTTTTCACGTTACTAATGTGAGATCAGTGAGTCGACCATAATGTTGCCTGTGGCAGAGATTTGAAGCTTGAAAACTGTCTTTGTTTCAAAATGTTTTTTGGGGAAAAAAACATTTCTGTTTTCAGTTACAGGTTAAAGCAGGTCAGGGAGTCACAGGCTCCTGTGTTGCCAGTGTGGTTGCAATGCCTACATACTACAGATTAAGCAAATTTCAGATAACTTTAAGGCTCTTCAGCTTCCTCGCTGGCTTCTGAATTAGAAGCCACTGCTTTCTGTCACATTGTGTCAAATGATACTGATTTGTGGTTTTCTTCATAAAACATCTGGCCTGCGTCGTGGCTCCTGAGAGTCCACTGTTCACATTTGAGTCAGCTGGTCCCCTGCTGCAGTGTGAGCAAACCTGCCCGCTGGTGATACTGCTTCTCCTTGGCCGCGGCGATTTTTGCAGACAGGTCCACTGGCTTCTCGAAGAAGTTCACCAGCGCCTGTTCGGTCAGTAGCGAGGCCAAGATCTGAGCGTGGCTGACTGTCCACTCTTCATCTGCCGCCAAACTCCCGTCACCTCTGCTGGCATCCACCCCAGCATCTTCGGCAGTCACCTGTCCCGCTCCTTTCGCCTCCTCTTGGCTGGTGACCTCTGACCCCAAGCTGTGTCTACGGTGGCCAGCCTCGCCAATCTGCAGCACAAGACTTGTTACAGTTGCAATAGCCTGGAAGAGGTCGTTCTCCTCTGGGTCGCCATGGAACATGCTGTAGAGCGTTTTACAGAACTGGATGAACTCGCGCTGTGGAGGAAGTGATGAAGAAGGTGTATATCAGTGTTTAACAACATGATATCATCTAAGTTTTTATTTACTGCAAACCAACAGATTAGTGGGGAAACAAAAAAAATGATAAGTAGATGGATAGAAAGTTACTCAACAATTTTGATCAATGAATCTTAAATAAAATATTTAAAAAGTCATTTAACAAACATTCTCTGCTTGCAGCTTTTTCAAATATAACAAAAAAACAGTTTTATCACTCATTATCACTGTAAATTGAATATCACTTTACATATCCCAGCATGCATTGAGTGAGAAGCAGACTCCAGACAGGTGAGTGCCTAAAAATTTCACTTCATTAGAATCTTTCAGTTGTTTGTTTTTTTAAATTGAATGCGATTATAGTTCAAACTGTCTTTTCTTTTCTGATATTACCACTGGGAGGCGCCATTGACCACTATATTCAAATTCTGTATATAGTGGCTCTAAGTAAATTCTATACACTTCATTTTACCACAAAATAATCTATATACATACAGACTTTAGGGGTTAAATATAGGGAAGCACCACTTTTTTACTGAGGACCAGTGTACTGTACTATTTGCAGTGTAGTGCAACACTAGTACAGCATGTTCCCAGTACCTGGTTCATGAGAGGCAGAGGCTTTTCCACATCTTTCTCCTTCTCTTTAGCCAGATCCTGCAGCATCTGCTTCAGTTGCTCCTGGTAATCTTTCACTTCACCTTCAACATCTGGAAAAATATTCAGTGAGTCAGAGTTTCTTTAACCAGACACACAAAATACACTCACAATCACATAAATGTATTTCAACCTTGCAAAACACATTATACATTGCTTGTGTTTTCTCTATGTGCTTGTGTTTCCTTTAGTTGTAGTGTGTTTAGCTAATAAATCAATAGTTGATGAATTGCAGTGTGTTTGGACTGACCAGAGGGCAGATTAACATAGAGGGGTCTGTTCGTTGACAGCAGGGGGCTCTTCATCAGAGAGGGGTCATCCTCACTTTCTGTCAGAGCTGCAGGCGCTCGCACACACACACACACACACACAGTAGAGTTAATCAATCAATTACAGCCCTGACTGCAGCTTGAAACTCTCATGACTTTAATTATGTTAGCAGAATGAATGACCTGGTGGGATGTGCAGGCGGTACAGCAACCTTATTTTCTCATTCAGCTCTTCAGAGTACAAAGTGTCTGAGAGGGAGAGAGAGACAGCATATCAGATGCACAACTCCCTCAAACCATAATAAGTTCTTCACAATGTTTCTATGTAAATAAATGTCTGTTTTATAGCAGCAACACATTTGCAGGTTTTCACTTGCTGCTCTCTTTGGGAGGGCATTTACTTTTCCAATTTGTTTGGTGGACACAAGACACAATAGAGTTCCATCCACAAAAACTCACAACACCAACCACAAGACATGACCATAAAGCAGTGTCTCAATCTGTCGTGATTAATCCATTCCGTCTTCCCTCCCTTTACCTACCCAGCCAGCCTGCAAACTCTCTAAAGGTAACAAGGTTGTCGCGGTCCTGGTCCAGCAGGGTGAAAGTGCGGTTGGCCAGCGTGTCGGTGTGCTGGTTCAAGCCGCTGGGCCACGGCACCAGCAGCCCGTACAGGCTCTTGAACTGGGGCCGGTCCAGTCGGTATTGCCTCTCCATGTAGGAGTGACCAGAGTCACCATAACGCCAAGCTGCCGCCTCCGCCGCTGCTGCAGCGCTACTGTCACCCCAGTACAGACTGATGAAGTGCTCCGTCTGGAGGGGGAGGAGGAGAAGATAAAAAAAAAGGAGGGAATGGATGGAGGAGGAAGCAAATGACAAGCAGAAGGATGGTTAGAATTAAGAAATAGTTTCCTTACACAAGACAACTAATAATGTTATTGCTAAAAAGGAAATTGGTTCATTTGAAGAGGAACAAGAAGATACCTTGAAGAGGTCGTAGGCCTCAGCCAAGTTCTCTGGAGAGATGGAAACATCTTGAGCCACCAGTCTCAACTGCACAGACACACAGAGGGAAGAGATGGAGGTCTGAGTGCAGGAATTACAGGTAATTTGTTCAAAAGGTTGTAAAAAGATTCAAGATGCTAAACTCCAATGTTAGCCTTAAATTTACTTTTTTTTTTTTTTTAAAGTCAGATTGTGACAGTGTCACAATTATTTTCCCTGTCTGCTCACAGCATTTTCTTTGGTGGTGTCTTCATGAGCCTGCAGCACTTGGATTCTGTGTCGACAGCGAAGCCTCTCAATCTGTCTCACTGACAGGTCTCCGAATTTCTGAGAAAACACAAACAGCAGAGAGTAAACGGAACTTCAGTGCAACAGCAAACATGTCATCCTCCACAAATGTTACCTATGGGTCAGATCAACCAAAACGTACCCAAATTAGCTATGCGTGACTACCTCACTTGTCCTGTAAAATGTGAAACTATTAAAATCACAACATAAAATGTGCAAAAACCACAACTATCACATGTGTGTGCTTCTCACCTCGTAGGACTCATTGATGAGGTTAGTGATGTTTGTGTGCCCCACAGCAGGAATACCAGTGTCGCTGCGGCCTGTCTCCTCCACTGCAGGCGGCGAGGATGGAAGACAAGACGATTCTTCACATCCCACCTGGTCCAAAAAACTGCAGAGCATAGAGCTGAGGGTTCACATCGTGCCATTCCATGTGCTTTCAAATATTTTCAAAAATAAAAATAATCCCATTCACTCAATGTACAAATATCGAATATGATTTAGAATTCATGAATGAATTTGGCATCATGGGTTTGATTTAAGTTTTTTTTTTTTTATATGACATCAGGTTCTAAATGTGCAACAGGCTCATCCCTGATTGTCTCTTACAAAACTTGAGTGATTTAAAAACCAGGAAATGCCTCAAACAGAAATGTCAAAATTATTATGAACATACTTGACAATTTAATTTAGTTACTAAAATTTAGTTATTTAGTTACTGACTAAACACGACTTGGATTTACTTTTAGAATGCAGTCAGTCAACTTTACCCAATCTACCTTGCTAGAATCATAAGTGCTTGTCCATCATCTGTGCTGGCAGAGAGCTGTGCGGCGTTGGCGTCCAACGCTGCCAAACCCAACTGGAATATGGCTTTGATTCCATGGAAGAAGAAACTGTCAACCACGCAGACAGCGCTGTGGAAGGGCAGGACGCTGAGGAAGAGGGTGAGGAACCAAGAGAGGGAGACAGAAGAGAGGGTGGAGAGGTCTTGGACGTTTTCGGCCAGCTCTGGCAAACGCTCCCTGATCAGCTCCTCAAACACGGACTGGTCCACCTGAGCTCCTGCAGGAGGAAATAATGGAGTCACACGCATCAAGCATGAGGAAGTGTGTTTGTGTGTTTCGGTTGGAGTCAGTGGAGGGGTTACAGGATGGACTTGAGCATAGACAGGACTAAATTAGAAATTCTGATACATACCCATACAATATCTGAGTTGCCGGAAAAAAACAAATTCATTAAACAAACGTTCTGATTTGTTAAATCTTATTTAATGCAAAAACAGTCATACTAACATTGTCTAAATTAAATACAGTATACAATTGGAAAAATTGTGATTAAATCAGCAACTACTTGATCAAAGAAATACAATTCTGACCAGACATGTGATGCCAGTTTTTGGTACTTGACTGTTTGCTGCTTTGATAGTAAAGGTATATCCATATCCTGTACTTTTACGTTCTTATAGACTGGAAGTTTTAGTTTTGACCACTATAATGCAGCAGACAGCTTGACATTCAATTTGACTGTTATTACTTAAAGGACCAGCCTACAGTACAAACACTGGCTCTTGAAAGGGCCTTTCGCATTTTTACGCAAGCTCAGCAACCATGACGTCCCAAATTTGTTAGTGGGCCACAGTTTTGAACCCTCAAGTTTGGCATATTGTGCATCACCATCTTGTTTTTTTGGAACCAGGAGAGACTGTATTTGGACGAGAGGGTGAAGTTGGGGTGGCATCCGCATTTCTATATCAGACAGGTTGCAATAGTAACTACTCGTCAATCACAAGGTAACCATGCCTTTAAGTACATCCTGCTTTATCATCTATTTTCCTCTAAATGGGACCATAATTTACAAAATTAACATGATGCTGTGTTGAAGAAGACTTGAAACTAGCAATAAAGACCTAAACCCATAAGGAAAGTGTTTACTGAGGTAATAAATCAAGTGAGAAGTAGGGTAATTTTGTTACAGACTTCTATACAATCTGATTTCTTTTTGCAGCCAGTGGAGTCGGCCCCTGCTGGACATTAGAAAGAATGCAGATTTAAGTCGCTTCCCCATTGGCTTCACTTTTCATTTTTTTTGTTAATACTAAAAACAAGATAAAATAACTCAAGCCTCATCCATTAAGTGCCAAATCTATGCCCCACATACATTCTCACAACACAATACAAGCGTCTGGATATTAAAATGGAGAAGGAAATTGCTTCAAATGCACCTTGTCATAAATAAACAGCCCCACAAACACAGGAAATCACCCCTTATTCTAGAGGCCAAAATAAGCCTTTTGGGTTGTTTTATGAAGCAGCAGCTTAGAGAAAACAACCGCAATATAAAACAGATGTTTAAAGATAGATTGCAGCTCTTTAATGATCCAACAAAACGTAATGTGGTTGAGTGACTTTTAATAATTTGTGTACTTTTAAACAAGGTGAATGAGGAAAAGAATCTTAAAACGCTTCATTGCTTCTCTTCTTTTTGGACCCCCTGACCTCTTACCTATGACCCTGCGGTTGAAGTAGTCAGGCAGCATCCTCTCACAAACGGCCACCAGCAGCCAGAAAGCTTCTTCTTCTTTAGCATAGAGCAGCAGCACCGACGACAGGATGTTCATAGACTGGACAGGAGCAGATGAGAAAGCGTAAAGATTCAAGAAACACACAAGGATCAGCAGCCAAGAAATGTTTAATTCCAGATACGATACTGTGTTTACGTTAATTGATAGATAGTCCATGTGGTTATCGATGAATGATGCACAACGTGGCGGCTATTATACTGGATGTAGCCTGGAATGACTTTTACAGTGTAAACATTTGCTTTAACATTTACAGTTTTTATTTCATGATTGGTTTCCTTTAAAGATGTCCAAGCTGTGTACCACGTAAAAGTTACATCAGTCTAATCTACAGAGCAGTAGCAGGAGTTAAATCAGTGTAAGACAACCATTACAACTAGTAATTTTATTAACTATTGCTGGTAATTGGCTCTACTGCAACAGTGCCTACAACCGCCGTTCCTACCAATCCTAGTGCTACTAACAATGACCACACCTTCTAGCTCCAGTACTACTGCTTCTTCTGCTGCTGCTGCAGTTTCTATTTATTTACCTGCAATATTTTTTAGAAAGCATGATAGCCAGTTTCAGGATGATATGGTATTTGCTAGAGTGATAAATGCAGGAAATAACATTCATATACTTTCAGTCCTTGGTTTTCTTTTGGTTATCTTTGTGACCTCTGACTTCATGTGTTCCACTCACTTCTGAAACCAAACCTACGCCCTTGCTGCTACTACTACCACCACTACTGCTGCTGCTGCTGCTGCTGCCACAATTACAGTGAAGTCATATGCTGCAATATTTGTAAAGTCATCAGGTCCCTACCTGACAGTATCCGATCTTGGGGTTGCGGTGAGCATAGGCGGTGAGCACACGTCTCAGTGCAGCGATGCCGGTGGGGTTTTGAAAGGCAGGATGGTCCGGCAGAGAACGGTGAAGGTCCCGCTCAATCTCCTCTGTGGCCAGGTTGCTATGGCCCATTGACTTCTGCACTAGGTTAGTGTAATAGCCCTGATGGGACTCTAACTCTGAGGACGCATCTGCACACAGGTAAAGGTAATGTAAATAATAAATAATAAGCATCTTTGCCAAAGATTAAAATGGCTTCCTTCTCACAAGCAACTTCCAAACAGCCCCTCAACTCTCATCCATCACATCATACTGTTTGTGGTCACTAATTGCCCATCTTAAAGATTTTCACCCCTTTTAAAGCAGTATGAAAATCATACTGTACTATCATAGAAACAAGAAACCAGTGGCTGTCCTGGAGGTAGAAAAATGATCGACAGGATCTGTTGCGTTTATGCAGCTGCTCTCCAGACAAAAGATTAATCAAGATAAAAACCACAGCAGATACTCCACCTCATTGTGGCCATTCTCTATTTTAAAATCCTTTAAAAACTATAAATTCCCTCAGAAAAAAAAAGATAGTCAAACAGAAGTGTGTTCTGAATGTTTATTCTGTTTATTCATATGGCAGTCTTTCTTTCTCTGCCATGAGAACAACTTATTCAGACACTCACTAATGAAACTGTTCATGTGGCAGTAGAATACATCTGCTTCTCATAAATCAGTACAAACTGTCTAGTCAGATTTGGTTTTATTTTTTGCTTTTTCTGAATGTGAGTACTGAAAAACTTCAATTAAAATCTTAGATTAAATAATTGATTCATAATTGATGCATTATCCTTTTAATCCAAGTAATATTCATACTGGTTGAAATAAACAATTCGATATTAGCCTGTTTTGTTTGAGAAATAGAAATGCTGCAACAAAATATCCCAGGAATAACAGTCATATCAAAACAGGATACAGTAAGCATAATTAGGATATTAACAGAACTGTATGATTACATGAGAGTTTTGTAAAGAAACATCAGTACTCACTTTCTTTGTCTTACTGCTGAGAGGTTTTATTTCCCAAGTTAAATTATTTTTTATTTTCCAGGCATCAGTTTCAGTTTATGTAACCCAGACATAGTCTTCCTCAGTGAGATTGAACTGAGGAACTGACAGCAGACCAAAATAAAAGCTGGTAGTTTGGTTTTGAGGTGTTGCCTTGCAGCAGATGGAGAGAAGAGGATGTGAAGCCCGAGTTCCCTGCACTGTAATTTCGTGGGCATCGCTTTCACTTTCCCTTTTCAGTTGAATGCACCGGTACAACTTTGATTTGATTGCTTTTATTGCAGCGCCCCAAGACATTAATGTTAGCCTTGATGAGCCGGTACCATTAACAACCCAGCATCAAATAACTTGTTTATGCTCATGCTGAACTTATTTTAAATCTGTACATTAGTCAACCATTTATATAAATTAGTGTACACTAAATGTTAGAAACACCTCTCAGTATAATACTGTGTTCTCCAAAATGACTTTATAGTTGAATAAACACCTCTCTAAAAGAATTTCAACAAAAGTAAATATTATAACCTTCATGAAGGTAAGATTTATTGCACACTGTGTTGAATGTAAATGTGCAACCCTTCTTTTGTCAATTTTTCTGATGTGTGTATTGTCTTCTGATAATGTGTAATTATGCCACAAGTGTTAATATTTTTACTGTGATTTAAGAGTAAAAAATGATATGGTATTACTATTCTCAACTTAAACCTAAATCCAAGTCTGACCCGAAAAACAGCCTGTTGACAAAATTATTGTTCTGCACAATTCACATAGAAGCCCTATCTTTCTTTATTTCTCTAGCTTTCTCTTACCAGAAAGTGTCATCCACAGCTCCCCTCGCAGGGACTCTGGTATGCCCATGGCAACGAGTTTTTGGATCTTCTCTGTGCGGAACATGTGGACGCCGCGACCGAACTCTGTGAAATGTTCCTCCCACAGCCGCTCCTTCAACTGCTCCGTGCTCTGGCACAAACGCACAGAGTCAGAAATAAACATGATGACTTGCTGACTGCGTGACTGGTTTTCTAACGACGCTATTTCAGGTTCATGCACTACAGGTGGTTTTTCATTTGCAGCAACTTTTTCCTCTTTCTTATGTTTGTAATTTGGATGAACAGATACTTTTAAAATGCTCAAGTCTGGGCTCTGATTTAACTCTGAAATCAATGAATTAGTCATTGAAAATGTGACTTTGACTGAAGCTGAAATATCAGACTCCACTATACCTTTTTGTGTTGGTTCCTGGCTGGTTTTGGTGGAAGGCTGTCATCAGAGCCTCACTGTTGATTGTGTTACGCAGAACCTGCTCCTCTATTTCTTCTTCAGCAGAGAACCCAGTGTCATAGTAGAAAGTGTAGTAAGGTGTCGGGGAGCTCTGAGGAAAATATGAGAAAACAATCTGTTTTTTGCAGAAAGTTTTCTACATGTCAAAAGTGAGCAGTAAAAATAATTTATTTTAACAGTAATAGCTTTGACTTCACGCTGTGTTCTTCAAGATCTGGGTGAAAAACATCAGAAATATTTTACTTTTTTCTTATTTGCCCCTTATCTCAAAGCTTAACAATGTGTTTTTAGCTGTGCAGTAAGTGTTAAAAATATTACAGGGTCATATTTACTGCAGTGACTTTTACAGACGAGTAACTAAGGGTCTTTTTCAAACATAAAGTTTACAGAATATTTACAAAATGAAGGAGATGTCATTCACTTTAACATTCCACCAGCAGCAGCTAGCCTTCTTTTTCTTTTAATAACTGGTGTTAGGTAAATTTGTTATAACCTATTGAAGAGAGGCCCCCCTCCCCCCCACTTCCATGTCCCACTTCCTTGCCCCATGAGTAACCTTTTCATGAAGTTTCACAAAAATCCATTCAGAACGTTCAGAGTTAAATAAATAAAATTCACAACATCACACGTACCATACTCCTCTTGCCGTCTCTCTTGCTGCGGAACATGGACTGTTTCCACTGCAGAGCTCGGAGTCGGCAGTTCAGGCTCTCGACCAGCTCGTCTCTGTCCTGCAGCTCAATCAGCTGGAAGGCCTTCTTGGTCCGAACACTCACTATGACGGGGTTGGGAAGCAGACTGGTGCTCTCTGCTTTTTCTATGGACAACACCTGATGAGAAGTCAACAAAACACAATCAATTATCCCTCATATGAAATGAGAATCAGAAAGTAGGCTGGTTCGGTTCCGAGGGATGAGAAGCAACAAGCAAAAACTAAAATGAAAAGGTGCACAAAACACTGCCCTCATAACCATTTGTGTTAAACCATACAGCACAATTTAAAACATCCACAATCAATAATCATGGTACAAAATTAATTTTGCTACTCAGTTCATCAACATACACAATCTGGATACTTTAGAAATAAACATACTCCACTTGAAATAGTGACAAAATAAATTATCAAATTACCAAAATGTGTAACTTAATACAACAATATCAATAATGTGATGACCTCTCCATGACATGTTGCTTTCATACTAAACTTAATTTAAACTAGAGTTGAGTGGATCAGATAGGTACATCAATTCACAGGTAATCTCTTACTGTAGCTCAAAAAACTGTATCACAACACAACTGTAACAGATGGGAAAAACTAATATATTAAAGTCAAGCTTTGCAATAAGTGTGCGATAATAAAAGAGACTACAGAGGTTAAAGAGAATGTGGAGAAGCAGAAGGGAAATTATTCCTTCGCAGTGGCAGATTGTGTGGGTGAAAGTGATTTTTTTCTAAAGACTTTTCTATAGACAATGCTTCAACAGGAACCAGAGGAAATAGAGGATTAAACTGCAGCAGTGGAGGCAAGAAAGTATGAATGAATCCTGACATTGTTCATGAACTGGGCATCTGGCTACTAATCTCTGCTTACAATGAACTAAACCCAACTCAAATAGGCCAACAATAATGCTAGAGTAAAATGTACAATTTAAAATTTTCGGTAAAGATATTCAGTTTTGAAATATGACGGAGGGGGGGTTCACATGCAAATACATATGTAAAAAGTGTGCTCTAATCTAGAAACTACTTGACTGAATACCCTAGTGAAATCAGTTAGTTAGCCCTGCATTTCTCTCATTATTTACACATGGCTCACACCCTCTGTTCGGCATGCGTCCTCTGACAGTTTGTGCATTATTTGAACATTTAGAGGTGGAGTGGCCCTAAATCCACCACTGTAACAATCATAAAAGCAGCTATGCAATGATCAATTCATATAAAAAAAAAGGTATATCTTTAATTCAGAAAGATAAGGCACTGTTGTCCTATGATAGAAGAGCTTAGTATTCACCTGATTTCCAAATCCTGACATTTTCATTTAGACCACTAATTTTTCAGTAACAAAGTTTTTCAGAATTTCTAAAAGGCTGAATTTGTCCTTTAACAAAGCATACATGCACGCTAACAGCCACTTAAATTACTGCAGCTAATAACCTTCTCCTCTGTACTATAATGTGTTAGTTGTGTCAACATTATCTGCCACGTGAAACCAGCAGCTGGCAGAGTAAACACAGCAAACTCACCTTTACAGAACACTCTCAGATAAAGGCTCTTACATCACTTAGACAAAGAGGCACACAAGTCATTGGTTTAAAATGAACAAATGCTCTTGGACATGTGTTTCTTGCTTCCTGTAAGCCTTTACAATATTGAACTTTACAGAAATAAAAATAACATGTATTTAGTCTGAATATAAATGGCACAAAGCCACAGTGTGCACAGTGTCATCATTGAACACTGAACTCTAATATTGCCAACACATGGATGACTTCAGTTTCTGTGTGTTTTTATTTTATTATTAAACAGGTAAGGTGGCCAAAATGACTTAGTATATATTACATATCATATATACATCAGATTGTACTCTGGGCCTCAGTGAGCCGTGACGCAGGCAGGTACTGTACCTCTGAGAGAGGTATGAGCAGGATGCAGTTGCCTTCCTCTCGGCTGGAGAAACACAGATAACTGTCAGTGGTATAGAGAGTCCCGGCTGTGTGGCAGCGCGCATGTGGTGTCCATACAGAACACGAGGCCACCTCGTGGAGTTTTTCAACGCGAGGTAGACGAAACAGAGCCAGGACGTACTCCCTTAATGCCTGTTCCTCTAGGATCCTGGGAAGAAGTTGAGGTAGGGGAAGAGTTAGGCACAGATGTAGCTTGGAAAAACAGGTTCAGAAGCAAAGAACCTGGGTTCTATTTGAGGTTCAGTCAGACTGACAGCTGCAAGAAAAAGTCTGCCTCTTGTTCACTTTCTCAAAAAAAAAAAAGGCAAATGATTATAATTTACTTTTTCCTACTTAGTGAACCCTGACAGCCGGCCAACTCAAGTGCTACTTCAGTCAGAGGCACTTATGTCAAGGAAGTGATCATTTATAGCAAATGTTTATACAGTTTGATTTGGCAGAAAATGCCCTGTTCTTTCAAGGAGCTCTCAGAGACTCAGAGCGGCCACAAGGATTCTTCTGGGAGAACTAATTCCCCCTTTAGAGTATCTTCAGAAACATAAGCTAAGTGGAGCTGTTACATGGCCTAGTTTGCTTGTTGTTAGGCGTGATAATTTACCACAGTACAAGGCTAGGAAGTGACAGATTAGTATAGTTCTGCTTTGCAGACTGTAATCTATATTAATAATAACTTCTATCATTTCATCCTGAAGGACCAAGAAAATTCTCTGGATCACTGGACAAAATCATGTGACTTTAGGTAGAGGCGGACAGAAGTTTGCTGTAAATAGATCTCATTTTCTTTCCCAATGCAAACACTGTTCTTCAGCCCAATAAATCAGGACTTGGTCAATAACATCTTTTGTTTTCTCTATGTATGTTTCTACCGCTTCCACTGTTCCATTATAAACTCCTTCATCTGGCATGTAGACCACAGACAAACAGACCTAAGAGCTGCAGTGGGGATACTCACATTGCATTTTAGGGATGTTTGGTTAGCCTTTGTGAGAACAACAAGGGGTTAGACTGCTGTCCTGCAAAGAAATTCCTTGCCAACTTTGAAAAGTTAGGTTTTCCGTGTTATTGTAGTTGGTCTAAAACGCAACACACAAGGACATTGTGTTTATATGGATGGATTTGGAGGCAGATTTGGACTAGGGAGTCTGCCTCCAGGCTGTCATGAGAGGCAGCTTACTGCCCTGCCAAAGTCTGGTTTTAGCCCTGAGGAGACGAGTTCAGTTTGAAACACAGCAATTGTTTTGTTCTTCTTTACTCTGTGACCCAAATCACAGATAGATGTGTCCTTCAAGCACATCTAAGAACCTATATACAAATTAATTTGTTTTACTATACATATACTGTATACTCACACAGATACTGGAGGATCATAGAGATGCACAGTAAGCCATTTAAAACACCATTTCTGGTCAAGTCCAGCATGACAAAATGCAAAAAGTAGGTTTTAGGTTATTTTATACAATATCCAGGTAGGTAGCACAAATACAAGTTTAAAGTTTTCTAGACAGACACAAATGGTTTCAATCCACTTCGTAGGATTTTTTAAATAAAATGTAGTCAATCGATTAAAACATACATCTTACATCCAAAACATATCCCTACGACCTAAATTAAGTAAAAAAATCTCCTGTTAGTTAAAATGCATTCCGAATTTACCGAACTTGTCATGTTCTGTGCGATTTATGTCATCCGATGAGCAAGGAAAATGGCATAACTGCACCATTAAAATGCCAATAATAGACATTTTCAAGCCCTAAAGGAGTTCACCATTGTTAATTCCTACATAGGCACTACGCATTGAGTTTACTGATTGTTACTAAATGAACTGCTATTTCTTTATCTGACAATTTCTCTTTCTATATTTTAGTGTCACAGCCAATCTCACCTGCATGGTGATTTCCTACTTTCTTTTTGTCCCCATTCTGGACTCTTTGTGGTTTCTGTGACCCATGCATGTGCTTTTTATTTCCTCTTCCCTTTTTCAGTTCTCATCTCTTGACTTATGCATGCTCAGAGGAACCCTATCTACCGTGTATACAAAAACACATTTGCTATTCACAGGTCCAAAAACCAAAATACATTTGTGTGATGTGGTCTGCCACCCAGTCTTACATCCGCCCCGCAGCTCAGGCAGTTTACTTTTAACTCACTCGACTGTTACTTACCGGCTGTTCATAAAACTTGGGTTATAACTCAACATAGGCCTACACCTAACGCACCATGTAATCTTGGGTTATTTTTAGGCAAGGCCATTCTTAAGCTGCCAGTATGCTTCTTCAGAATCGTTTGTCAAATGGTCGAATGGCTTCTGAAACCCTCTCCCCCCTACACATTTTCCACGTCAGATGAGGGGGAACTTTGTCCGCCCATTTTTGTAACAAACACGAGAAGTTAAATTAAGGCGTCTTCACGGTGATGCTGTCGTTTTCTGTTGGTAACAGATACTAGAACCAGCACTGACCTCTTGCTGATGCGTGTGGGCTGCTGCAGGACTCGGTCCAGCTCCAGGCCTTCGCTGTCCATCAGCCGCCTGAGGGCAATGTCAGCCAGCTGACCTATGACCCCGAATGCCTCGTCCAGGTTCAGGAACATGGAGAATTCCCTCTGCCGCTGCCTTGTGTTGACCCGGATCGCCTCCGTCATCAGACCGGTGGAGACCCGCTCCAACCGTGTCACCTCCGCCCAGGGAATCACAAACTTCACTGGGGAAAAAACAAGAGAAATATTTGACTGACTGACTGCTTGTCATAGTGAGCCACCCTATGGCAAATGTACATGAAACTTTTCTACTTGTATGGGGAAAAAAACAAAATCAAGCACAAACATTCAAGTGTGGAAAAGTTACTTGCTTATACTATGTCACAATATAAGAAGTGGGGTAAGAATAATAAAAGGGTATCTCTTGAACTCAAGTTAGTATTCTGAGGAATCATAGTTTCTCGGGTGAAGCGAAAATTATCTGAAACAGTGAAGAAGTGGTTTGTTCTGCAGGAGTGGTTTGAGAAGTTTCTACGGACGTTTTGGTTATTTTTTACATTGACTTTTTCTCTGGGTTACTATTGAAATCCAATGCAACCCATGGTAAAAGTTGCCGTCCACACAAACGAGCAAGCTACATTTTCACGGACACCTTCCAAACATACACGTGGTGCTGCTCAAAAGACTTTCAGTAGAGCACTCCTTTGTTGTTACTTCGACGCTGACCTATGCGTAAAATACAAGCATGGGTTTGCAATTATTAATTTTTTTTATTTACGTTGACAATATACATATACCTCCCCAACTGGCTTTGCGTTCAGTCTTTTGGTTTGAAAATCAGAGCTCTCACTTTGGAGTACAGACCTTCCTTCCCCAGCAGGAAGGAGTAGAAGGCCATGTGGTTGATGCTGAGGTAGAGGAAGCCCTGCCGAGGCACCCGGCCCTTCCAGCAGCAGCAGGAGTAGTACGTAACCAGTTTCTCTGACGAAGGGAGGCCAAAGTGCAGCTCGAACTTCAGCAGCGCCTCCCTGAACTTCTCTGGGTCCCCCTCCTGGGCGGCCTGGCGACCCCGAACCTCCTCTGCAATAAGACCCTACAGAAGAGGGAACTTTCATTCATTACCTCAGAGCAATTTACATGACTTGCATCATCAAAGGCATGGAAATGTAGGTTATAATCATCATATAATCTACAGTGAGGTGGAGGTTTTACTTTGATCCAACAAATGCCTTAAATCCTTTGTAAATCCACAGGCTTTGTCAACAAATCTCAAAATCTTCCTCTGACAGGATTCATGTCAGCACTGGCAGGTTTTGCACCTTGACTTTTCCTTTGACAAAGCTGGCGACATCCTCCTTGTTCTCAAACACAGACAGAGAGTGAAGCAGGTTGTGGACCAGCCAGTCCCAATGTTTGTTCACCTCCTCTATGGCAGCTCCTGTCAGACAAAACACAGGAGGGAATTCAACAGCTGTGACCCATCTAATGGGTCATTTGAGGGTACAGCAAAACATTGAGATGTTCTCAGGTAAACTAACACTACAGATGGCAAAAGAAAGCACCCAACTAAAACAGCAAAGTATCTGAGATGAACAGATAAAACAAGAAAGCTGAGAGCAAAGACAAACAGCAGGAAGGTGGAAACTTGGAAGAGGAGACTTGATGGTTCAGCTCACCGCTGGCGATTACCCAGCTGATCTGGGAGCCGGGAACCTGGAGGAGAATGCGGAAGGGGGTGACCCTGGCATTGGAGTCCAGCACTGTGTCAAGCGCCCCAACGAGGAGACCTGCAGAGATGACAAATCACAGAGAATCAAACTGCGGTTGAAATTACATATCAAAAGGGACAGGGCTCAGGCAGCAGCAATATTTTTATTGGCTGTGTCCAGAGTCATTGTCCATTGTCCTCTGCTTTGCACGTTTGCTGTTTTGTAGTGCTGTCTGAATTCTCTAGTGAGAACTATTATAACCTACCTTAAGAAAATGCGGATCCACATTAACGAACAGTGCAACATAAAACCAGAAAACAAGCTCCTTACAAAAGTTGTGTCTACTTACTTTTGACAAAAAAAAAAAAAACACTAATCAGGCCTCTAAAATCCCCACTGCAGTGAAAATGAACAAATATAAATGCAGCCCTAAATTGAGACTGTGAGCCCCAACAGCCACAAAGTTAGCACAGGTGTATCTGTATTTCATTATTTTGAGTTTTTATTATCACATTATCAGGCAAAGTTGAGTAAGTCAATAATTAGATGAACCAATGTCAAGCTATTAAGTTAATATCTACATGTTAATATGACCTAAAGCTATGCTAATTATCTAATCTACACAATTAAGCAACCTGACTGTTTTGTTTTTTTTGCCAAGCAGCAGTAACCTTCATGATATTAACTTTGTCCTCGTTTAACTCTTAACTAAGTACTGGGTCTACCTACAGAGGTTTTACATGGCGACATCAACATGTAAACATAGTGTAATGCCTTCACATGCCATTGAAAAGATGCAGATTTAACTATTAATTTTACTATAACATGATGATGTGAAACTTTTGCGCTCATTTAACATCACCTCTTAAACAAATAATAACAATAACATCTACTAAAAATACATTCAAAAACACATTCTTACTACACTGTACAACTACATGATGAATGCCATTTTTCCTTCTCTCTGTTCATTATGTGTCTCGCAAAGAACAGAGATGAAGAGTTCATACACAGACAGCAACACTTCACAGCTATATGACAGAAACACACCCACAGGTCTAAAGTTGACAGAGAGATATTGACCGGAGGAAAAAGAGAAGGCCTACAGGGGAGAAGACTGCTAATGTTTTTAATTTTTGTTCTTATTTCTGCTTTTATTGCCATTTTTATATTTATTATGATGCTTATGTGGCCACACTGGTTCTTCAATTCTTTTCAAAGGCCTTCATATTTATGTATTTTTTTTTTATCAACTTATTTTCCTTTAATTCTGATATCTGCCTACATTTGTTAAGGTTACACAGTTTCTAGATAAAAGTGAGCACTGCCAAGTATTGCGATAACATATTGCGATTTATTACCTTTTTTCAACTGCAAACTATGTCCCCAAAGGAAAACTTTTATTAACATCTGTTTTAGGATAGGATAGGACAAAGTTTTCATTCTGTTCATCTCACTGTTTTGACCAACTTTCTACCAATCCCGCTGACCGTGACCTCTGCACCTTAGTAGTGGACTGAAAAAGCAATAGATTTTATTATTCTAGTACCAAAACGTTATATTTTTGTGGTTGCAATATTAATCATTTACGAGGGGTGTAAAGAGACACTTAGCTCAAGAGACAAGAGGAGACACAATATATGACGAGACAAGATTTTAAAACGTTTTTTAAGAAATCATTGCTGAATTGTATGAAATGACGTCTTAATCTGACAGATGGCAACAGATCTCGTCACATGCCCATCATTTACATAATAAGAGATCAATACTTTGCATCTGTGTATTGATATAATATTGCCAGGTGAATTATCGCGATACTATACTGTATCGATTTCCCACCCCTAGTATATTGCATGTTATTGACTGATTCAGTGCTTGAGGGTGGGCATAATTGTAGTCCTTATTTTACAACATGCAAGATTGAGAGTATTCAGCACTTTATTATTTTTCAGCACATTACACTTATGTATAGCTTTTTTAAACAAAGCTCCACAGTCCAACATTTTTATGTAGACTTCTTTTTTTACCTTCACTGTAAGTCAAAGGTTAGGACTATACTTTAATACATACATAAACAGCCAAGATTTAAAAAAAAAAAAAAAAAAACTCTGGAATGGAAGTTTTTCACCCAGCTTTACTTTGACCTGGTTTCCAAGGCAGCATTATCAGCCAGATCAGCCCTGCACAACACATCACTGCATTTCAAAGTTATGACTGAACAAGATGGGGGCAGTCAGATCTCTATCCTCATGTTTAGCAGTGCCTTCTCTGGCCTGGTACACACAAAAGAAAAAGCATACATCTATAAAAAAAAGTTATACATGGTGAGAAGAGGAATCAGTACCAGCTCTTCTGCATACTGGAGTTTGTGTATGATTTAACTCAACATTTTCAGGATAGTCTGCCCATAAAACATTCAGTGAAACTGCCTACTTCTGACTAAAAGAGCTACTATCCTAAAAGTATTTCATCAGAGTGGGATTCACTGTAGACTTTTGTAGTCTTGTGAGGGTCAAAATGCTGTCAAAGAGACTTATTCACCCATAAAATGTATGCCTTTTCTTAAAATTATAAATGATTAAATTCTCTGTATGCATCACACAGAATATTATCCTAAAATATCATCTGCCTCAATCCAGGAGATTAGAGCCTTCAAAAAGCCCATAATGGTGAAATCCTAAGCAGGTGTAAAAGTGTAAAAACAAAGTTTCTCCTCCAGCAGACAGCTCTGGCTCTCAGCCAAATGTAAACCACATCAAGAATCAAAGCCGAGCTGCCTAAAGCTGCAACCCCGGCAGCTTGGCAACTCAAAACCATCCTTCTGTCACCACAAAGCCCAGAAGGAGTTTACACTGGTAAACTCCAGAAAAGGGAGTCACAATGAATCATCAGCTTTCTCTGCTATGGGTCACATTCTGGGGGAATACCGCTGTGGAGACATAAAGGCCACTTTAAACCCTTATGAGGCTCGTAGAAAAGAAAAACAACGTTCTGCTTTCTAATTATCTATGTGTCTTTTTTGTGTTGCTTTGTGTCATTGAAGGCTAACTGGTCAAAAAACAGACAAGCAAAAATGTACTTTAAGTGTGCTTTGGCTTTATAGAGAAAGGTATTTGGTTAAAAAATAAAAAAATAAAACATGATTGGTATGAAGGGATTGATCAGCTGCAGATGTTTAGTTGCCCATCCCTTCTCAGAAATCCTGCTAAAAGTATGTAATCACTGGTGGGACAGGGGCTGGAAAATGTGTTTTCACAGCTTTGAGACCACACTGAATTTCAATTTCTATATCAAGCTTTATAGCTGAAATTTATTTATTTATTTATTTATTTTAAATCAGACATGACCATAAAATAGACAAGTCTGGTGTGTGTCATTTCCTCCACCTGTGTGGCAGGAATGCCAAAGTGAAGGCTGTTTAATTAGTTAATGTTAAAAGATGTGAGAACAGAACTTGAACCTTGATCCCTCTCACTATGGGAACAGTGGGAACAAACACAAACACAAAGTAAACCCCGGACAGGAAGTCCCTACTATTCTATTTTATGAGAAGATATCTGGTTGGGTTTCCAACAGGGAAGAAAAAAAGAGCACAAAGAATACACTGTTTGTAACATTTGCCTGGTTTAACGACATAAAGATAAGCTCATCATCATACTGTACAGGCAACGTGCCAATGTGTCTGTAAAGCACGTTGCACAGATACAAAACACAGAGAGGAAGTGAGACAAAGGAAACAGCAAAAATGCCATTATGGAGAAAGCTGTAACTCACAGGAGTCAGTTGGGTTACAGCTGTCACAAGCGTGTAGTCAGAAATTTGTACAATAATCACTAAATGCAACGACAGAACCTGTTCTGCAGGTTGCACTATTTTTAAATCATGGCATAGTAATAACAGCATCAGTGCTGTGATCACCACCTTCGACATCTAATACAACAGAATCCCAAAGAATGACAAAACCTGTAATTCTCCTACAGGAAATTACAGTGAGAGATCAGTTTCCCAGACAAAGTGTAGATGAAACTGAAAAGACAGGCCAGAGTGTTTCTGTGGTTAGGAACAGTGATCCTGTTATATTTAAAGCATTATTGTCGCCTGTAGAGTCACGAGAATACTGCTCTTGAATATTATCACATGTAATTATGTTCAATTTGCTATGTGATGTTTGATTTTCATGTGGATTACAGGACTGCTACAGTGTACTGTGTGCATGATTGAAATGAAAAGAGGTATAACAGAATGGAATTGTGATTTTAACCTGGTTAATTAACCAATATAAAACACATCAGCAAGAATAGTGAGATATCTATCACCAAACGATATTGAAAATTGCTTGTATGATCAACACAAAAGTGGCAAATCCTCACATTTGAGATGCTGGAACCAGAGATCAAAGAGGAGGCTAAAGCTTAACTAAGCTAAAGCATCAAGTCAGAAGCCTGACCTAAAAAGTGAACCTAGAATTTGATTCACATTTCAGTTATTCCGTAAATCTTAGAACCAAAGCTAACGCAATCAGGCTAATTCAAGCCTGGTTTAAATAGTCACGATAACTGCCCGAGCACGACTCTGTAGCGAAACAGTCCTTAAGTGTTGCTGGACTTGTAGGACCTTTCAATATGCACATCAAAAGTAGGCTTAGTAATGCCCCCCCCCCCTTACTTCTGATCTTGCCTTTGTTATTTTCTTTATAGGAAGTGAGAAAATATTGATATGACAGAAAGGATTGGTTGCAGACTTTTATAGAAACAGATGTGTTTCTATAATGGTCACAAATTGTTAACTAAAGTAGACAGATGGAACTTAAAAACTGGTTTAGGACCAGTGGTTCAGATCAAGTTAACCTGTCATGTAGTTATAACCTTATTGTCATGGCATAGTAACACACACAGACTTTAGTAAACCAAGTATCTGGAACAGGGGCTTTCCTGTGGATCCTGTGATTGGAACAGTCCAGAATTTCCCTGCTTTTGGGCCAACAGATCTAGTTAACTCTTTAACCCTAATTTGAGATGATCCTGCCTGCTGTCTCTTTGTGGTCTTTCCCTGTGTTGTTCCTGTCGTTCCTATTTGTGTTGTTTACTTGTTTACTTTACTTGTAACTCTGGCTTCTCCGGCGTTGTCATTGTTTCCCTGTGGCCCTGCCTATAGTGGCTGTGGGGCCTTTCATTTGCTAGTCATTTTTCCTGTGTTAAAGTGTTTTTTATTTACCTGTGATCCTCCCTGTCGGCTCCCCGTGGCCTCTCCTCCTCTGCAGGAGGAAGAAGTCGTTGTTCCTCTCGGTCACCCAGAGCTTCAGAGCATTTTTCAGCAGAACTTCCTCCGGGTTCAGCCACATTTCTTCCAGCAGGGAGGGACCAGAGGAACCCCTCCACCGTCTCGATCTTTGCAGCGAGGGTAGATCAAGTTTTCTCCGCCCGTCCTCCGGCTGGGGAGCTGCCCGATCGATCCTACAGCGGCGGGGTTTCGGGTCTCTCCATGATTATCCTGCGCTGCCAGCTGCAGGCTTCAGACTTCCTCGCCTCACGTCTGCTCCCTCACGCCCGATTTGCAGCAGCTGTACACACCAGCCAAAGATTGTCAATATGAGAAGATGACTCACTCTGTTGTGAATCTGGTTTCCGCTGTTTTGCTGAGTGAAGTTTTATTATGAATAGAATAGGCCTATAATGTTATTTGAGGATCTTATAATAAACTAATATTTTCGATACCAGAATCACAAATAATTCATCTTTTTTAACAAACTCTTAGTTATTATCTGATAATGAATATAAAATAAATAATAATAATAACAAAAGTAACCTAATAGACTGTCAGGGATCTTAATTTGTTTTGATCCTTTTTGTTGGTGTTAAAGTGTAAGTCTATTATTAATTATACCCATAAAATTCTATAAGCCTCACTGTTTTTAGCTTAGTATTTATTTTCTTTTTCTTTTTTACTTATAATTTCCACATATTCTAAGAGAAAAAAGTTAACAAAATAACCAGAAACTGAATCTGTAAACTGCCACATAACTAAATCCCGTTTACTGTATGGTGCACTTTGACTTTTGCAGTTGGAGGAAGTGGCAAACAGTGTGCATGTTAAAACTATTGGAATGCCTACATCCAAGACTAATTTATGTACGAATTACAATTTTCAAACGTTGGCTCCCCCCAGTGGTATCCACACTTTGACCTGAATTTTCATGGCTTGTTACGGCCCTAGCCGTGTGTCCTGTGTTGTTTTGTGTACTTCTCCTTCTCCTGTAGTTCTCCGGGTACTGTCCTTTCCCCTGCCTCGCAGCTTTAAGGGGATTGGCAGCAGCTGCCCCTGATTTCTCAATCAGTCCCAAGTGCAGAACAAGGAGAGAACAGCAACCAGGCTATGTGGTTGGTCTTGAGAGGCCATCCTGTGTGGCTGCCGAACAGTGGGTCAGATGGTGATGCTTGGGTGCAGCAGGAGTGGAGCTGCGTGGAGCTGTGGGCTCGCAAACTCCCTCAGAAAAGGGAGGGTGTTAAGTGTATCTTTAGCTAAAAACCTATATAATCTCTTTTAGTTAAATAGTTCTTTGTGAAAACTGTGTGTTTCTGTGTCTCTTCTGTTCCTGTAGGGTTGTTTGTTAATATCTTTTTTGTTTGCACATAATCTGTTTCCTGTCTCTTTTTGCCCAGTGTTCAGTTATATTTGTTACTCCTCTTCATCTCTGGGCTTGAGCCAAGTGAGGAAGTAAAATGGCTACTAATAATATTATTTACAAACAAAGTTTTACAAATTGCCTTGCATTGTGTTTTTTATTTTTTTTATTTCATTTTACTGATATGGGCCTATGTGATTGAAGTTGATTGATTTATCATTAATAAATTATAAATAATGACTTTAAAATAATTTTTTTACTGTGCATTTCAGCGAATTTCAGATTTTGAGTACAGCTCTTCTGCTTTGTTTTGATCACATAAAGTGTGATATTAAAATGCTCATGGGATTTTATTGCCACAGTTTTGTTGGTACTTGAATGGCTTTATTATACTGTAAATCCTTCAGTCTAAGTATCTACAAATCATTCATTCTTGTTTTAAACTAATTTTAGATATGTAACTATCTGCAACAATCAGTAACATATTAGGCTACAGCTTTTTGATGTTTTAGCTTACAAAAGAAGAAAAAATAAAAATAAGTAGGCTATAGACCATATTGAATAGCATATACAAATAACAATCAATTTCTCAACACAGGGGCATGAATACTCCCCAATAATGATAATATAAATAATACCAAGAATTAGGAGGAGAAGAAGAAGAATTGATAGTAGGCCTATGGTGTGGAGTAACTTAAAAAATTAAACCCAAAATAATCAATAAGCCGATAAAATCCAGTTGACAAAACTAACCTTAAAATGAAAAACAGAAGCAGCTCCCGCAGAAATTAGCAGATGTTTTCTAAACAATTGTGAACTAAAATATGATATACTGATTGCAAAAGAACTACAGCGACTGGAGCCTTAGTCACATGCACAAACATAACTCTTTGAGGCCGTCTGCGGTAGCCTATGTGAAAAACGGGGGCAGAGTGGGAGCTCTTCTTCTCTTCCGCATTTCACCTTTCCTTCCGCCAGTTCCGGCAGCGAGCCACTGGCCCTCCTGCGATTGGCTGTTCAGCTGACACAGTGTTCAGGTTTTTATAGGATTATTAGCAAACAATGGTTTATTGTATTAATTCAGTCATTCAGCATTATGAAGAGATATTATTATTATTATTATTATTATTATTATTTAACGTTTTATATAGGGCCTATCTTAATTTGTTATTTATTCTGTACGCTGCTGGACCTGGGAAACGAATTTCGTTCTTTCATGTTTTGCATATTTGAATGACAATTAAGAACTGAACTGAATTGATAATGCCTGAAGTAATTTTCTTCTGTTTGATTTCAGCAATTGAATGTTTAATTAAATGACGTCTTCTCATTACATGCAGTTTCATTTTAAAGCCCTGAGCTGTTGTTGTGTAATATCTAGAGTGATTTATAAAGAGCATTCCTTACACAAATTATACCCTTATTGTACAGTCAGAATTTTTCTTTATTTGTGACAGAAACATAAATTGTTTTATTTTTTGTCAACACAAGCACAACACATTATGATCATCATATACACTAAGATTTCAAGGATTAGAATATAATTGGTGGAAAAAGTCCATTAGGGAGCTCCAGGCCACAAATGTGCTATTGGGTTTCCATTATGTGCAGTACACATCAAACTATACATTATAGCTTTCATTATTTGGTCATTAACCGCCATTACTCCTGTTGAAATAACACAACCTGGCCCTCATCAAGACAGGGCACCATTATTAGGTAATAATCCAGGACCTGCCTTAGCTAATAGTGCCAAATTTGCCATCAATGAAACTATCAACCTAACAAATCAGCATGCAGTGAAACTGGGGCTTCTGGTATCCTGGGGCCAGTTTTGCTATCCTGGATAGAGTCAGACCAGCAATTAATATCACCAAATATTCATTTGATCACAGATTGATCAGACCTCTGTAGAGTATAATAAGAAGGAAGATGAAGCAGAAAAAGAGGAAGTGACACAAGTAAAAGCAGTAGATGCTTAATTCTGACAACAACATCTCTACATGTGACACCATTTTCAGATAAAGACAGTCCAGTTAGATTGGCCTCAAAATACTGACTTTAAGTAAATGATCAGATTCTGATCAGTTTCACTGGCCTAGTATGTTATATTATTTACCACCATATTCAGTATTGTGTGTGTTTTTAACGTGCAATGTACCTTTTGCCTTATACAGTATGAGTTGCTATTAAGTTGTTAATTTACTTTCTGTAGCCTAACTGCAATTTTGTAATTTTATTTTTTGTGTGATAATTTATAGACCATCATTTTACATTTCAGAAATAAATATTTTACTTTTAACTCCATTGGATCTATGTGACCATGTGGCGTTCATACTATACTAGTGTAAGCACAGGTATATCCAATTCCAATTTCATTTTAAAAGGGGAATTCCTTACAATTGGTGTATGTGTGTGTGTGTGTGTGTGTGTGTGTGTGTGTGTGTGTGTGTGTGTGTGTGTGAGAGCAACAGCTGCTGTTTGTACGTTTCACTCCCGGCAGCTACAAATGGAATGCCCCGCTCCCACTCCTTATATGGTCATACTGAGCCTCAAAGGGAAGTTGGTGTCACTTTTATTATTGTCCTACCCCATAAAGCGTCCGTTCCTCATCATTTTAAACAGGAATTAATTACCGAGCTGAAGCAACATATAAAAAATAAATAAAAAACATGGCGTCTGTCTTGACGTAATATATTCCTAGTTAAAGTTATTTTATTTGAACCCTGGTCGTATTGTGTGCTTATTTGAGACAGTCATAGGTTTTTGTTTTCAGCCGGAATCGGTCCGTCCGCGGTCCTTCTGTTTCCGTGTCTGGGAGGGGAGCGGTGGTGTGATTTTAGAGGAAACTTTTTATCTGTCAGAATGCAGGTTAGTAACTCTTAATTAGGCTTTTAAGTGCTGTGGTTTAACGTTGATGAATGAGAGGATCTAACATCGGTGGATGTCGGTGTTGTGTGTTGAAATAATTTCAGTTATTTGAAACTTATCCAGCCGTGTAACGTTAGCTGGGCGCATCAACTGTTCAAATGTTAGCTCTCCCATTAACTTAGCTAGCTAAGAGCTCAAAGAGACAGAGAAAAACGTGTCAAACATGAAATTAGCTGGCCATCTACTAATGATTTGGTCATCATTTAGTTACAGAGTTGAAACTGTGAATAATCTGATTATTTTCTCAATTATTGATTGGCTGTTTGCTCCATAAAATGTCAGAAAATAGTGAAAAATGTCGATCACTGTTTCCCAAAACCCAAGACGACGTCCTCAAATGTCTTGTTTAACGTTAGTCCACAACCCAAATATATTCAATTAACTGTCATCTAGGAATAAAGAAACACGAAAATATTGAGATTTTTATTTTTTGCTTTTTCCTCTTATATAATTACTCAAATCCATTAATCTCATAATTGGTTACAACAGTATTTGGGACTGGAAAGTTTCAGCTACAGGGGTGTCTTTTGGCTTGCAGCCTCCATCTTCTCATTTGTTAGCTGTTAATCCAGAGGAACAACAAATATGGTTTGTTTTCTCCCCAGGACCCGAATGAAGACACAGAGTGGAATGATATCCTGAGGAAGAAAGGGATTCTTCCTCCCAAAGAGGTACCTAAAGATGATGAAGAGGAAGAGCTGGCCCTCCAACAGCAGTCTGTCGGTAAGAGAGACGGATAAAAATCAGTATTTCATTGTAACTAAATGTGGGAGATGCATGTTTCCATCTCACAAAACATTGTTGAAAGTGTCACCCAAATCAATTTTCCCTATGGTTTTTGTTTTATTTACAAATGTACCAATGAAAATCATGTAAATTATATCAGATATGATATGCAATATTTCTGAAAGAATTCAGTGCAGTCTAATAATAACATGGGATGGATTATTTACAGAACAAGCAATCAGCTGCTGTGACTGTTGTTTCTCTGAACAGTTAAAACGTATGAGAGCATGACGATGGAGGAACTGGAGGAGAATGAAGATGAGTTCGGTGAAGACGATGAGGCTGCCATTGAGATGTACAGGTGAGGGGAGGTTATGCAGGCAGGGGTCTTTGTGAAGGGCTTCAGAAAAACTGTACTTTTGTACTAAAGGACACAACAGTGGCCAGTTTATGTCAAAATGTGCCAGCGAGCTACTAAATCATGGCTTGATCCCAATAGAGTAGAATGTGAAAAGTAAGCATTTGGCTGATGGCTAGGGTTATGTTCAGCACAAGATAGTTTCCAGGAAATAATCAAGCCAAAAAACATAGTCACATGGTGACATAGCGAGTTTCAACATAGTCATCCCAACCAGACCAACATGTCAGTTGTGTTGATGGTCTAGATTGGTAAAGAGTCTTTTAGAATCTGTTCTGATATAATTTGTTGTTTAAATATTGTTGGCTTCATCTGAAATCAAGTCAAATTGTATTTATACATTCCATAATCACAAATTTGCCTGAAAGCATGATGGCAGAAAAGAACAGACACACAGAAGGAGAGAGAGACACAAGGACAACATGCACAGAACACAGAGAGAAAAGAGGCAAAATCTCTTGTATCCAGATTCAAACGTCTGTAATAGGGCACCAACAACCAGGGGGGAGAGAGAGGTCCCAGGATGGTCCAGCACAGAGAAGTAGGGCTGAACGATTTTGAGGGGGGGGGTCTGATAGCGATTTTTCTGCCAGATATTTTGATTTAAGATTTTATTTAAAGTTTAGCTTAAGTTCAGTATTCACTGCCGGTCTATTTTTGACTGAAGCTGCGTCAAGCAGTACAGAGCAGATGAACCGGGAAGGAAGGAAGTCAGGCATAGAACGGCGGAGAGAATCTGGTTAAGTTTCAAAATAAAACACCCTTGGCAGACTAACAATCGTATATCAACAATAAATCACAGTTAAAACGGACAAAAAAGACACAATTTAACTACATACCCTACTTAACTATAGTAGAAGCATAAAAATCAAGGACAACCGAACAAATCAACAAAATCTGACCAAGTCAGCAAAATCAGACAAGTAAAACGCTCTTATTCTGAAATGCTCCATGTGGGATATGTAGTGTGCACAGAGCGGAGCGGAACGGGCTCACATAGAGCTGTTATCTGTAGTTGAAGCACAGAAAATGGGAAATTAACACATAAACAACGTAGGGCAGGCTAAACGCTCCGCTGCTGGAACACTTGGTGTTAGTTGACGCCGGACAAAACCGCAGCACAGCCGCTGCTGCCTGTGTCTGTTCACCTCACGCCATTATCCCACATTTTTCTCTAATTTTGTTTGCTGTTGTAAAATGTAGGAATCGACCGATATGTTTTTTTCCAGGCTGATCCCCATACCGATATTAGTAACCAATTAGGCCGGTGACCGATGTGTGGAACCGATATACATTTGCTGTAAAATTTTGTCATGTTTAATCTTTATAAATAGTAAATTAAATGAATTAGAGATCCACCCCAGAGATGGACTTTTTAACTATGATTGATAAAATTATCATACACTTTAAATAAACTGTATTTATTTTATATTGTTAGGATTTTATTGATACTATTTATTGGTTCTGTTCTTTAGCTATACTCGTATTGGTTGTTCATTACTAAATAATTGCCTTTTAAAAATGTTATTTATAAAAGACTAAATTCAGAGCAGCAAAAAAATTAAAGTTTACAGCAGCAAAGTAACAATATGAAATCAGTATCTCATTGGAAAGAAATGGAACATGTTAAATAAACTATATTCCTGACGTCAAAATACTGAGTGAAGTTTAGAAAGAAGAGCTCAGACGTAGATATCAGTCCTTCCTCATGTCCTCCTCCTCCCTCTGCTGCTGCTGGTAGGGAGGAGCTGGTTTCTCTCAACAAGCAGCTGAGTTTACAAGGAGTTGCTAAATTTTAAGGTACGTAGCATCTCGGCTAAACAGGCTACAGACGGAAAGATTTAGCTTATTTATAACTAGCTATTAGCCGAGCCAGCACATGTGCTTGTGTAAAACCAAATACAGCTGCGGTGGTCAAAATAAGGCTTACCAGTAAAAGAGTGATACTGCATCAGTACAACAAGCAGTAAAAGACTGACTGACAGGTATGACTGATATTGCTTGGTGCACGTTCCTGCTTGTTGTACTGATGCAGTATCACTCTTTTACTGGTATTGCTAATTTTGCTGTAGTTATGGTCAACTTGTGTAATCTACACTGATCTGCTCCGCAAGCTTTGCTCTGCGTGTGCATGCGGAGCTCTGCTGAGAGAGGAGGGGAGGGGCTGCAGCGTGATGGCTCGCTCGTTCTATTGGCTACTTCCGCACAATAGTCAGTGTTGATAGGCTATTACTCGTGACTTGTAAACAATCAGTTTGTAGCCTACTGTGGGCGGGACATTGCTCCAGCTCACAGATTGGTCAGTACAGATGGAGAGAAGCGTCTGCATCAGAGCCAAAGGAGCACGTTTTTTATTAATCAATTATATCGACTATCTGTTTTTAAAATAACCGATGCAGATTATTGTAAAACTGCTGAATATCGGCCGATTAGCTCATCGCGTTCTTTCAAATCGCAATTTTGATTTGAAAAAGATTAATCGTTCTACAGAGAAGCCTGAGAGAAGGAGCCGAGGAGAAAACTAGATGTCTAATAGTTTAGGTTAACAAAACTCAATTACTTTCTCACAGGTGAAATTATCCTTCTTAAACATATGTGCACATTCTGTTACAAGTACTGAACTGTGTGTTGGTACTGCACATTAGGACATTGCTGTCATTTTAAGACATGTATCATATTTTCCTCTGTTTTTGAAATATCAATTATGGGAATTTTCTTCAACTCACATAAATCTATAAACCTTTAACAAGCTCTCATAGTGGAATTAGACTTCTTTAATATGAGTGCCCACTGAAACCCATTCACTCTGACACTGAGATGTGTCCCCTTGCAGACAGAAGCGTCTTGCGGAGTGGAAGGCGACTCAGATGAAGAATGTGTTCGGGGAGCTGGGGGAAATCTCAGGGCAAGACTACGTCAACGAGGTCAACAAGGCTGGAGATGGCATCTGGGTGGTGCTGCACCTCTACAAACAGGGGTAGGTCAACCAACAAAATATAGTACCTGAACAAGTACTAGAAAATATTTGAGTTGAATTTACCTTGTCTAACTTGGGTAAATTGACTCTTTAGACTTTTAAATCTTTAAGATTACACACATACAGCCTACACAGCTGTTAAGATAATATCAGGACTTGTTTTGAGTCAGGTTTTTGGGGTGTATGTAAAGTTTTCAACAGATTTCTATGACTATTTTCTTTGTTGCAGCTGCTGACATGTTAGCAAGCAAAAACTCAAACTAGTCTACTTTAAAACATGAGTATTGTTTTTCCTTATGTGAAAATCTGCTTTGGGGAAATCCTTAATCCAAAATCCTATTTTGTAGGAAAGGAGTGCGTAGATGTGGGGCAGGACTTAAACTACAAACCTTGGCAAACATTTTGTAGAGATAAAATGATAAGTTGAAAAAAATCATTTGTTGCAAGCGGAAAGTGCAGCACTAATAGGTCTATGTGATGTTTTCTCTGCGTTCCCAGCATCCCTCTGTGCACACTTATTAACCAGCACCTGAGCTTGTTGGCCAGGAAGTTCCCTCAGACCAAGTTCCTCAAGTCCATCTCCACCACCTGCATCCCTAACTACCCCGACCGCAACCTGCCCACCATCTTTGTGTACTTTGAGGGAGAGATGAAGGCCCAGTTCATTGGGCCACTGGTCTTTGGGGGCATGAATCTCAAAGTTGAAGGTAGGAGGGGAAAAAAAGAGCGGCAGGACTTTGAACACACACTTAAATCTTCAGGACCATCAGGGTGGATAAAGTAACGCTAGTGTGACCATAAAAACTTGAAGAATTGTTGGATCCCAGTGTGACTGAAATAGCTGTAAATGGACATTTTACATTTATTAGACTTGTTGTCTCAGCAGATTGACATGTTGATGAAAGCGTTATGAATAGTCAGTTAAAAAAATACACCTTGCTCAGATTAGTGTCAAATGTTAGTCTTTCAAAAAACATTTTGTTTAGGCATATTGCTGCAGTTTTAATGTAGTTTAGTCAGACAATTTGGACATAGACATGTTTTATCCATGCATTCTTAAGTAACAGTTGTACTATTTTATTAAATGTTCACACAGACCTTTGATCAAACACACTAATGGTTTTAGCTGTGCCTCAGGGTTTCTTCTGAGGAAATTCCAGCAGTTGCCTAAACTTAACAATGCATTTATTAACATAAAATATCTGGAAACGTTCTATAAGCTAACCTTATATGCACATTCTATTACCAGTACTAAAGATCCTTAAGCTACTGACCAGATCAACGTTATCACTAGACAGCGATAATGTTGGTTTATTGGGGTGGAATGGATCATTTTACACTTTAATTTGATAGACCTAGCTAAAACTAATGCAACCTCCCTGCAAAATTATACCTTCTTATGAAGGTTAAAATATTTGTTGAAAGTGTTGAGGTGTTGACTTTAGGGCCATTTTGGAAGCTGTAGTTTGTGGGGCTGTTGAACTGCAATGCATTATTAAAATCACCACTCACAGTGTGTAACATTCTGTACATTATTTCATAATATTTTATGATTGAAGTGTTATCTGTCTTGTCTGTCTCACCCAGAGCTGGAGTGGCGGTTATCAGAGAGTGGGGCGATAAAGACAGACCTGGAGGAAAACCCCAAGAAGCAAATCGAAGACAAGCTAATGTCATCGATCAGAGGTTCCCTTCCTACTCGAAAGGACAGTGACTCTGAGGACGAGGACTATTAGGAAAAAACGCCTGTCACTCCAACTGACCTTAAATCATCTGCAGATGGTTTGAGCAGGGATGGCATCTCCTGTATCAGCAAATGCATTTCATATTTTGACCATGTAGATGGCGCTCTCATACAGGGATCAGTCCTGCTCAAGGGTGTCGGACGGGACACTTAGCTGGAGAGAATCCAACCTATGATCTTGTTGTCGAATCAGCCAGCCTCCTGTCTATCTCTGTGGGAAAATCAGCACAACAATCACTCCTTTGTAATTTCAATAAACATCCAACCCCATCACTTGAGTCTGTACAAAAGCATCAGAAACCGATTTTAACTTTTTTATTACGTTTCAAGAGAATTGTCACAAAATGTACATGTACATTTAAATCTGTTAAATTAAATGTGAGTTCACCTTTTTGCCACAATAATCTGTGTGTTGCTAAGTCCTATTTTTTTTTTTTGGAAAATGTCACTGTTAATTACAAAGAACTTGCTGAACAGATAATTTGAGTGTTTTGTTTGTGTTTTGACACCCATGTCTTGTGTAACGGTATAATGTTTGTGCTTGGGAGCAGTTTACATTAACACACACCAATTGACATTTGGAAGCAGGAAGACACATGGCAGCCTTGGCAGTGCAGTTCAATTTTTTTTTTTCCATCTGTACAATAATTTGTTTTTTGTTAACAAAAAGTCGTGTTTCTGTCTTGAGACTTGTCAGAGATGCTGTGCGTTGCCCCATCAGTCTTTGGGTGTGATGTTCACAGGCTGCGGTTCTTCTGTTAAGCCTGATGTCCCTTTTTGTTTTTGTAGATTTTTCTATTACAACATCCCCTCCGGCAGACCTCGAATCTTCTGTTTCATTAGGAAGAAAGAGAAAAGTCAGTGTCGGCAGTAAATCGAACCTGAACCGTGATGTAATTAAATGTAATTTGCGCTGGCTGTCTTAATGACTGGTTCACTACTTTTTCGCTTCCTGAAAAGGTTCACTTTTTGTAGACGGAAGAGAAATGGAGAAAGTCCCTTGTTGAACCTTATTCCAAAACAGTGGTTCCTAAACTGAGGGGGTCCGGAACTCCTCCAATTTATTTATTTTGTTTAAAACTGAATAGTTTCACCTCTTCAAGACTTGTTCATTTATTCACACAGGCCTTCACATCTTAGGTTTTCTCACCAAAAGTACCACCTTCTTATTTCTTCTCTGGGAAAGCTTGGGGGAAAGTCGCATCAAGGGATGAACCGAGTGAGACTGGAGGAGGAAAGAGGAGAGTTAATTTAGAGAGGATTAAATAACCGGTGACTCACTGTTGTATATCGAGATGGTGTTTTAACCATGGTATTTTGAGGCTGCGTTCAGACCTATATATAGCACTGGGTCAAAAACATGCAACAGTCTGCATTTTTATGAGCCTCGTAACAATTTATAGAAATACAAAATACAAAAATGAAATTATAATCTATCAATATGATTATACAATGTGTAATGCAAATGAAGTCCTTGGATTTATGTCTAGTAAATCCAAGGAATTGGACAAGTGAACAAGCAACTGGCTTTGGTCCTGACTGAAATATGTCCATAGCACAGAATCTAAACTGTTTCTACTCAGATTTGTAAACCTGTTTCTTTAGTCTTGATCAGATATTTCTTACATCCTTTTATTTAAGCAATAAAATGATTTAGGACAACAGTTGTTGTACGTGTTTAGACTCTTGAAAATGTTCCACCAATACTCAGCCTAAAGCTTCCAGCAGATATTTCATGTTCTCTTTCAACATCTAATGTCAGTGATGCAAAAACTCGATTGGAATCAGTGACATTAAATGAAAGCAAAATTACATTTTAAAACAAAAGGAATCAAAAAGGTGACCCCACCAGTTTGTTTGTTTCTCTGCTCACCTCATGTTGTACAGCTCCGACAGAGTTACGTGCTTTAGAGTAATGAAACAGGAACTGGAAAAAGGGAGAGATTGAGAAAGTCAGTGAGCTGCTGCTGAAAAACATATTAGAAATCAGAAATAAACAGAACTGAGGTTGGAAGCTTACTCTTTTGAAAACATTCTGGACTTGCTCCTATGGGGAAACACAATTTCCGTTTAATAACAGAAATAACATGTAAAAATCAGGTTTTTTATATTGTATTTATAGGATGATCCTGATGGTTGCATTGCATCATTGTCCACTTTTACTCTCACTACCATACTTTCACTGCATAACTGTTATTTCTAACACTCATTCTTGTCACACAGAGTACAGTGGAGAAACACAACCACAGTAACTCCTGTAAAATCTAATTTGAATGCCACAACCAATAAATTAAAAGCCATTCACTGACGACACTTTGTCATAGACACTTTGATTCAACAACTGTCAGTTCTGCAGCTACAACCTAGCACAGAGTGCCCTACCTGCATTAAAGGTGTTCTGTTTAACATATCATTAGCACATAATCCTCACATAAATTGAAATAAACAAAACCAGACCATCACTGAGCAGACACTCAGCAAAGGACTCATGGGAAATGTGGTACTCTTGAATGTTAACAGTAAGTGCTAAGGAATATGTCTGTCTGATAATCTCCACTGTACTGTACAATATATATGATATTATGTACGTTTAAAGTGTTTTTATTGACCATGAAGTGTTTTTGGTGTTTGCTTTTCACCTACCTCATTCTGGTCTTGCCACAAAACATCACTCAAATCTCCACTCTGGATGCCGCGCATCTGCAGACAAACAATGTATAATGTATAATGGACAATTAATGCACTGCAGAATCCAAGGATAACAAATAAATATTACTTTTCCTAATAAAGACAGTTATAAGTTTTTTGTTTAGTTTAGGTAATTTGCACAGTAAAGAGGACACAAATACACTACAATACACTAAAAAAGACAGTAACTACAGTGCAGGAAAGGAAGAAAGCCTAACCAGCTTATTCCTCCCCTTATTTAAACAAATTGAAAAATGTATCAATATCTATTTATCTATATACACAAAAACACACAAGCAAGCATAAACAGTAATAAAAAAAAAGAAAGAAAGGGCGAAAACTGAATGCATATTAAAGGTGGTGGTTAGCCACTGAGAAGAAATTATGTGAAAGTGTTAATGAATGTTATAGGGATGAATGTAAAATTAAAATATTATTCCCCACCTTTCTTAACACTATCCCATCTTCCCACTGATCGACAGGACTGGCATCTGAGAGAAGAGCACATGTGAGGACATACTGGAAACACCTTTATACCAGGGCAGAATCACAGTTATGAGTATGTGTGTTTGTTGTCCGCTGTAATTACAAAAACCTTTATACAATAATCTCACGAGAACTTCCAATATATATTTGGTGCAATACTAAATGTAGAGTGACTTTATGATGAAACCTGTTTGTATGAGCCGCTAAGCCAGTAGGTGCTCGCATTTTAATGAAAACGCTGAGGCCTTCTGCAAAGAGTGCTAGGAACTTTACACCTATTGATATTATTAATCTCCTTATACACATATCTCCTTATATTAATCTTCTTATATCCAAATGTAATCATAACCTACAGTATCTTGAGATAATGTGATTGAGAATCCCTCAATTCTAAACCTAGAGTATGTAAGAGTAACTTAACACCAGTCTTGACACAGTGAAGCTGACGTGTACTTAAGATGTGTTACATGTATTACAAGTGGTTAGTGTGACAGAGCGCAAGCTTTCAACTAGTAGAGGTCTGTGAAATTATGCTTTTTAACCAGGTATTAAGGTAGTTTCCAGTGGTAACAAGTAACTAAATGCATTTACTCAAATTGTGTACTTAAGTATATTATTAAAGATATACTTTATTTAACATATATAAATGCTCTCCCAGCATAACTTGCTTTGTCATTTAATTCATCAAGAAGACTCCTCCAATGGACAGTTGGATCGTTTACCCTCTGAAGCATCTCCACTAAAATGTATTTTTTGTTAAATATCTTACTACAATTTGGTACATCTTCAGACATGATGGGTTAATGTAAAATGGGAAACCCATGACCTTTTGTTACTGACATGTAACAGCTGACCAGGTGGCACTTTAGACAGTCATTAGTAAAGAATATTGAATGAGTTTCTTACTGTTTAATATGTATTCATAGTATGGTTTATTTGAATAGCACCTTTCAACCACAAAGGCAACTTTACATAATGCCATAAAGGTTCTTCCTTTACAATGATCCAACAAGTCTGATGTACATGTTAATAAATTGTTGATAAATTGATTGTAGGCCAGATACTCTGCAGCTCCAGTAAGTATTGGAAGCCTCCACTGAATGGCTTTTTCTTTCTGAATTACAGAGGAGCAAGCTAAAACTACAAAGCAACTTACTTTTATCTCTGAAGACCAAATACACCAACTAATTTCTCTTAAACCCCTTATAAATGTTAAGTTGAAATACAGTTTGACATTTTAAGGAGTAAGACCTCATTAAACCTATGACAATACCTAGTTAATGCTCATGATTCCCAAAATACCTACTTTTACATTTTACAGGAATTAAATGTAATTATTAGTTTACATTCGTGTGTGTGCGCACATTAATATATAAAACAGAGAAAACGTTTTTTGGTTAAGTTTTTAAAAAGTATAAAGTATCAGCCATTACTGACATGAACAAACCCTTACGATACTTTTTAGCAAAATAACGTATTCATTTAGATGTAGGGCCTAGTTGAGTTCAGTCCTTGTTTTTAGGGGTTTACATGTAGCCTAAATCAATTTAAATATGATCACCCACCTGTTGTGCTCCAAGATCCAAGAAACCAGAATAAACATAAAAGAAAAAGTTGTCGCACAGTTGGCAGAGTCATGACTATGTTTCCTCGCTCCTCTTCCCGTCTTAATTCCTCTCCGGTCTGCTGGGTTCGGTTCGGTTCGGGATCTTGGTGCCCAAACAGCTTTGCGATGTGAACGCCGTGCCCTCAGTTTAAAAGCACACAACCTGCAGGGTGACAGGCATCCGCACATACGCAGAGGTGACCAATCACACCGACTCGGTCATTAGCCCACCCAGTTGCGCAAATCCAACCACCCTCCACCCATCTCTCTCTCTCTCTCTCTCTCTCTCTCTCTCTCTCACACACACACACACACACACACACACACACACACACACCTTTTTCTGGGAATAACACTGTACTAGGATTTTTTTTAACACAACTGATGCAATTTGGGTTGTCTGCTGATGTGTGGTTGTTAATGTGGATACTATGAGTGGACATGATGATGAAAGCAGCTAATGAACTACATGAAAACTTATAAGGGAGAAAATGCTAAAATTTCACCTAAATTGCTCACATATTGTCACATTAAAAAAAGTTGATTAGTAAAATGTCCCTCAACTCCGCTGACTTTCTAGTGCATAATAATAAAAAAAACACTTGAGTTATATGTTTTAGGAAAGGAGCTGCTTTTTTGGTGGATTTTAGTTGTAGCAAGTGAGATGTTATTCTGTATTTAAGTCCTTTTCTGCC